CACCCAATCGACGAATAACAGTTTGTGAACCAACTGACGCTGGTGCTCGTGGTGGACGTTCACGAAGAATAAGGGGTGGTAGTGCTGGCTTCGATTCAAGCTCATATGGATCATCAGCTGGTTATGGTGCCAGTGCTGGTGCCAGTTATGGTGGTGCCAGTTATGGTGGTGCTAGTGCCAGTTATGGTGGTGCTAGTGGTGGAAGTGGATATGAATCGTCATCAGCGCAGAGTTCACAAACTGTTGTTCAAAAATATGCAACTGATGCTCAAGGTCTCTTCAAAGATCCAAATCCACAAATCATCCGTCGTCCAGCTGCAGGCGGTGTACAAACCTATACACAAAACATCAAAGTTCGATTTCTTCAACCACCACCAATCCCACCCCCAGGCGTAAGTGAAATTTCTCTTTCTCTTTCTCTGTTCTGTTGTTATTATTATGATTATTATTATTATTGAGCAATTTTGATTTTCTAGCCACTCATCATCAAAGAAGTGCGCCCACCTCAGCCACCTGCACCACCTCCACTTCGTATTCGTCAACAAGCTCCATCTCTCCCAGCACTACCACCCCTTATTCTTCGTGAACGTCCACCACGAGCACCAGCGTCAGTTGGTTCACAAACTGTTATTCGTCGATTGGGTGCTTTACCTGTTCCACCACGATCAGTTATCATCGAACGTTTACCACCCCTCCCACCTCGTCCACGTATGCAGCTATTTTCTTCTCTATTTAATTTTCATTTGTTCGATTCATTAATTTTGTTTTTTCTCTCTTACAGGTGACATCATCATCGAACGATGGGTTCCATATGGAGCACAAGCTAAACGTCGCACAATTGTACAACGTGCCGCTGGTGGTCAACAATATCCTGCTCCACGTAATGTTATCATTCAATACGAGCCCGTTCAAGTACGTGTTGTTCGTCAATTCCAACGATTTGGTGTTACTCAAGCTAACCCACAATCTTATCTTCAACAATACGGAGCTCAACTTCTTGATGCTAGCACACTTGTTCAACGAGCTCGTTCTGCTGGTGTTGTCGAAGATATTGTAAGTTGAATTTGTTTTTTAATTTCATTAAGATATATCGACATATTTCAATTGTATTTTTCAGTCAGCCCCAGGTGGTAGTGCTGGTGGTGCTGGTGGTGCTGGCGGTGCTGGTGGTGCTATTGGCTTCGGTGCAGCAAGTTACGGTCAAGAGTCCGGTGGTGCTAGCTCATCAAGCTTCGAAAGCAGCAGCTTCGGTGGTGGTGCTGGCGGTGCTGCATCGTTTGAATCATCTAACTTCTCATCCGGTGGTGGTGGTGGTGGTGCTTCATCGTTTGAATCATCTAGCTTCTCATCCGGTGGTGATGGTGGCGGTGCTTCATCGTTTGAATCATCTAGCTTCTCATCTGGTGGAGGTGCCGGATTTGGTGGTAGTGGATTTGAATCAGCATCCTCATCATTCGAATCAAGCGGATTCGGTGGTGCTTCTGGTGGTGCTTCTGGTGGTGGACTCGATGTTGCTACTGCAGCTTTCCACTCTATTGATGCCAACCGTGATGGATATCTTGATCGCGATGAATTCAACCGTTTCTTCCAACAAGGTTTATAAAGAGTTAACTCAAGCAACGTCCAAACTTTCAAATTGTAATTTTAACTGACAGCAATCATAAAATATGCGATCTTTTCCCATACTCTCTGTAGTGCTTTGCTTAGTTTTTTTCCTTTACGCCTGTTACAATTTAAGTTTTACGTTGATTATAAAATAAAGGTGATATTGACATAGGTACTAGATATAAAAAATAGCATATCTATATAATATCAAAAAAATATGATAAATCAACCCAGTATATATTGATCGCATAAGTATTCAACGACACGTATTAACATGTATTAGTGGATTAATGATTCACTCATATATCACCATTCGTACACCAGATAGACACAATTATATTCAATTCAATGATAGTTTACCTTTCTACAAAAATCATACTTTTTTTGCTGATTAGATATTTTTTTTTGTTTTTATTTCTTCCTTGTATAACACTAGCTGGATTTTATCGAATAGAATGAGAAATTACAAGAAAAAGTAAACACTAAGGCTATATCACCTGTTACATCAATACATTTTGCATGCATATAAAAAAGGAAAAAGACATATAGGTAATGTTAAATTGTCAATATCATGAGAGAATGCTTCTGTTTGAGTTGTAAATAGTAGACCCAATGAAACAAACAGTAAATTATATTGAGAGTATGGAATAAAATCTAAAAAAAAGAGACGAAAGAAAAATCATTATAACTGGGAACAAATTTTTAGAAAATTTGTTTTTCTGCAGCAACTCATTTTCAAACGAAAAATCAACAACTAATTGCCACATAGAATTAGTAATAATATTTGACAGTGACACGATGACTGTATTTTTACTTCTTTCAAATATGAATATAGCTGTATGTGATTGCATAACGTGTGCATATTGAATGAGAGTAAAATATTAAAAGCAAAATCAAGGACGATCTCATAGAAAGGATAAGTAAATGATATATTGTCATTGAAAACAAAACTGAAAGAAAAACAAAGAGAAAATCTCAAGTTTTCGTCTTATATCTAATTAAAATTCTTTTGCTTATTGTTTTTCATATTGTTGTTCTCGAAAAATTAGAAAAACTATTGCGGTAAAAATATTTTCTGTTGCTTTACTAATAAATACGACATTCATAATAAACATTGTAACGACCAATATTTGTCTCTCGTTGTTAATTTGATACCACTGAATCACAATCATTCGAAACAATCACATCTTGATAAAAACTAAGCAAAATACTTACCATAAATACTGTATAATTTATTTTTCAAAATTTTTTGGTTACAATTTGGATTCTTATTATATGTTGAAATGGTTTACAATCGTTCTCAAATTTCTTATTTCGCCTAGAAATGTTCGTGTCGTATGCCGCGAATCATCCGAGTGCAAACTAATCGTAATTAATTAGCAATATTTATTTTTGTAATCATAACTGGAAAAAAATATCAATGAATATTTTTCAACTTCATATAAAAATAGTACAAGGGTCGTTTGAAAATTATTGAATGAATCTTTCGAACATAAAATAAGATTCAAGTCAATTATTTATTTTTATCTCTTTCTCTCTCGAAATCAGGAATTCTAAGCATTGAACATGTAAAGTAAATGATCAACATTAGTGAGATCTATCATATGTTTAATATTTTAAGAAATAACCTTGAGCAACTTTATATTAAATATGAAATTTTCGTTGTTTAACTGCATCAGGATGGCCTTCATGATATATAATGAAAATCTGTCAGTTGATATAGACACGTTTGTTGTTTATAGTATATATATATCTAGGTCCTTGTTTTTCTTTTCATTACTTTTCTGCTTTTTTTCTTATTCTCAACGATTATAAAACACAATGGGGTGTAGACATTGAATGATGCACTCCTGTCATAAAAATAACGTCGTGAAAAAAACTTGTTTTCGATTACAGTAACGATCAGCTATATGCATATTTATCAAATGACGAATCTAGTTTCATTGATGCGCGAAATAAACAAAACGAAAAATCAGTCCTCTGAATTTCTACTTTCCGAAATACCGCAGACAAGTAATAAATAAAAACTGTGTAATTAAGCCAGCTAGTGAACCTTCTAAAGTTCTTTTTGTTCCGGGCCATTTATAAATACCAACTTTTGATCCAACAATAGATGCAGCTGAATCACCAATACCAACACTAATAATTCCACTTAATTGTGCTAAGCGTTTACCTAAAATTTTAATTTGATACATTCATTTATTGTCTTCAAAGATTAGACTTACTATCATCAGCTATCCATACTGGATAAGATAAACCAATAATAAGAAATATATGCGAAAACATAATTGTTCCGATGTCTTTTTCATTCTCATACATATTCCATGCATTACGTATGATATCTCCTAATGGTGCAACTCTCTTAATTTTAATACACTAAAAATAAATAGATCATAAAAGTTGAGGATTTTTATTAGTTTTTGTAACTATCAATATCTATACCTCTAATAATAGAAGTAATACAATGAATGCAACCGAACACATGGTTAATAAATGCGTATCAAATAGTATTCCACTCGTATAAACAATAATAGCTAAAAAATGAAAATATTTTCGTAGTATTGTTTTCTCATATGTAATATTATTAGCTGTTGCATATCTCAAATGGATATTAACTATTAATAATGATAATAATGATACAGTGAACCAAAATAGTAATAAATAAATCTACAACAAATGATAAATAATGAAACATGTAGAAACATCACGAAGATTGTTTTGTTATATACTCACTCACTCTATGCGATTTATGAAAAATATAATTAAATAACCATATAAATGGATTTTGATTTAGAAAATAATATGCTCGTGGAAAAAAAACAATTGAAAATATTGTTACTAATGATATATAAAATTGCGTAGTAGATTTTATTGCTGTTGACCATGGAATCATTTGTAAAATTGATACAATCATACCAAATAAAAGCAAACACTAGAAGTTTCAAAGCTACTTAAGTAAAACTTACAAAACTTTTCTTACTTCACAAACAACGACATAATCAAAAGTATAAATTGGACGATTTATTGCATCCTATGAAACAAAAATAAAAAACATACTATAAACCAGGAAATTTAAAAATAAAATTTACTTCAAAACGTGACCACCAATGCAGATTAATTGATAAAAAGAATCCACTACAACCCATGGATATTAATAACCATTCAATAAACGAACATGTATTCGGACAAAGTGTTGGACCAGCAATAAATATTGCTTTACTCAAAAATAAAGAAAGTACTAATAATAAACATAAACCAAAATCTAAAGAAAATACAATTCGTTTTACAAAAAAAAACAAAAAACAGAATGCTTAAATATTCAAACCTTCAAAAAAAAGCATCATAAGCATGGCTGAACCACTCAGTACAGTTACTGTACATTGAAATAACATGAACGTAAATCTAGATTTTGACGTTTGTGGTGAAAACGTTCGTATTGCATATACTACAGTCCATGTTGATATAAGACTATTTTGAATAAATATGGCTTTGCAAAGTTCATCTAATAAAAAGAAAAGACATAAATATTGTAGCTTTATCGATAACACCTATCAGAATATGTATGAAATGTAAATTTTTATTCTATGTGTTTTTTCAAAAAGTATTTTATCCTCACCGTTTGTTGATATATAGATAAATAACCAGGTGAAAATAAAACAAATTAATATTAGTAAACATTGAAAATCAAATTGATTCCTATTTGAGCCACTAAAAATCAACAAAAACAAAAAATTAATTAATTAAAACTCAATGGTAATTTTTACCGAAAATTTAAGTTAAATTGAGCGTTCATTGATTACAAGAATAAAAGATCTAGAAAATAAAATGAAAAATTGCAAATCACAAAATCTCAAAATCATTAGCTACTATGAATCATTTGACTACAAGCAATTATTGCATTATTAATTTAAAATATTATAAAAAGTTACTAATTTTAAAACGACTTAAATCTCTTTTATATCCATTATCATCTGTTGCCATCATGGAAATGATTTTTCCCAATAAAACTGTAAACTTAAAGCCATGTCCCGAACAGCCACTAACTAAAAATACATTGGATTGATTGGGTACACGATCAATTATAAAATCTGCATTTGGCGTATTTGTATAAACGCATGTTTGACTATAGGTTACATCGGAACCTAGATTTGGAAAGCGTTTTTTAGCATAACCACGAATCTCTTCTATATAACTTTCATCAACGGGAGCTCGTTCAGCACCTAAATCCGATATTACTTCGCCACAATGATGATACGCTAATTTAATACCAGTAATCTGGCCATCATTTGGAAAACCATACAGATTATCTGTTGAATCGATCCATACAGGAAAAGTTCCATTAGCTTGAAAATATTCATTATGATCATTTATATTAAGATAGACAATCTGTTGACGTGTTGTAACTAATGGTAAATCTAGAGATTTAAATAATGAACTCATCCATGGACCTGCAGTTACAATAACACGATCATATTCTTCTTCACCTGAATTTGATCGTACAAAAGTTTTATTATCTCTTGTATAAACTTCTTGAACTTTTGTATTCTCGTGAACTATTGCACCATATTTTTTAGCTAAACGAACATTTGCTTCTACACATCGTGTTGCACGTAGAAAGCCGCTATCTTTTTGAAAAATAGCTATTTCATGTGGATATAAATGAAACGCAGGATGTTTTTCTTTGACTTGTTCAGCATTTAATCGTTCATAGGGTAAATTCGAGTCGATTAATGCTTGTTCAGTAGCTAAAACATCTCGATCATTTTTATCACCAAAATAGAGACCGCCACATCGAATAAATAATTCTTCTTCCGCTTCTTTCTCCAAATCGAACCATAGTTTATATGAATCACTCATCATTTGAGTATATAAAACATCTGGATAGGTGTAACGAATGATTCGTGATTCTCCATGTGAACTGCCATGCGCATGGCCGATATGAAACTGTTCATAACCTACGGCATTATGACCGGACTGAGCAAGAAAACGAAGTGCCGCACTACCGGTTCCACCAAGACCTATAACAGCTATTTTCATCTAAAAAATACGCATAAATAAATGTGTCTTCGTTTTTTTATTGAAAAGGAAACAAAAATTCTAAATCAAAATCAACGGATCATCTTTTGCAATTTTGCTATAGCGTAACGAGTACTACGAAGAAAACCGGCAGTGAAAAGGCCTTTAAATGTTTGGGATATACTCGATCTTGTAACAATTGATCGTACGGCATGTTCAATTTTTTCTTTTCGTTGTGTACTAACACATAATTTTCGGATCACTTCTTCTGCATCTTGATGTTGTCGTGTTTTCAATGTTGTCATTTCCATTAAGTTTTGAATAACAAATTTTGGTAAACCCAGTAAACGTCTAAAGATTGCTGCTGCTGTTACATCTTGTTGAACTATTGTATCTAATGTTCGAGTTTTATTCCAATGTAAATGTGAATCATTCAGTATTAAATTTGAATATAGTTCAACAAATGCATCGACTTGTGGTAGAACTATATTTGATATTTTATTTTTATTTTCTCCAACATACATACGAAAATCGCCTTGATATGAAAGAGATGTTATTTTAAGAAATAATTCTTTTAAAGTAAATTGTTCAGGTAAAAGAAGTAAAGCAACATGAAGTGCACTATTTAAATTTGTTTTGAGAGCATACAATAGATCTTGATCGGATTGATCGATTTTCATAACACTAACTGGTTTCTGAAAGAAAAATTACAGAAATTAATTTCGAAATTAAATGAAAATATTTTCTAACGAGCATTTTGTTTTCAACTTACAGTAAAATTCTCGATTTGACTGATGTATTTAGAAAAAGTTGTTTTCTTACTCCATCAGATTGATGGTTTTACGAAGTACTTAGTGATTTTTTTATATAAACATCCAAGCATTTTATTATCCCCAGCAACAAGCTGTTAAATTTTGTGTAGGAAAGTAAAGTTCGAAAATGTTAGAATCTACATTGAGAATTGTTTGAAGCCTTACTCGTTTGTTGAAACTAAGTGTAGTAACTAAAAATATAAGTTTCTGAAAGTTTTTTTTTCAACTCAAGAACCATGTTGAAGAAAGGTTTTTAGCAAAGTTAGTAAATTGAAATTTGTAACGATTCGATGTTTTCAGAGTACTGTTGCTTGATTTATTGTTAGTCTGTTTTTCAGCAAAGCGCTGAGTGAAATTCCTTCTGTTGGAAAACTATCTGGGACTTATACACCGAACATCATGAAAACATAGATTCTTATCTTGAGATTTTTCAATGTTCAGTCAATTGAATTCTTCTATCTGGAGAAATTATAACTATAGAATGGAATCAAAGTTCGTATCAATCAGAACTTAATGAGTGAAAACTAAAGACTAACTTGTAGACGACCAGCAACATAAAGTGTTTCCCAATCAAGTAAATCTCTAATAAGATGTCTTCGTGAAATAATTCCATATTTATATAGGGTATTTGAATCATTATTTAATTTCACATACGGATTGAAATAAATTCGAGCGCCTCTTGTTTCTTGTATCTTTGCTATTGTTGATACACCAAAGTATTTTAAAAATGAATAATGATGGGGATTTAATTGTAGATTTTCTTCATGAAATTTAAATGAATGATTGATAACGAAAATAAGATCAATTTGATTTAGACTTGTTGGCTCTTGTATATCTTGTTGTTGTTTTAAAACGCCAGAACCATAACCAAACGAAAATACTATATGTTGTTGTTCGCTCTGTTCGTTGATTGCATAAGTTGAAGGAAAATTAGAGAGTATTTTTGATGAGAATTCGGTCATTATTCAGGTTTATTAGAGAAGATTTGTATGGATTGAACACCTTGTCCTTGCAGCGTTTTTAATTGAGATTTAGCTCGTCGAATAAGATATTCGATATAGATAAGATTATCTTTTGGTTTGAGATTTTTATTTTGTTTGAATTCAACACGTGCGATATCTCTTAAGCCTTGTACTTGCCGACTTACACGCATATATTGAGCATAAAGACGGAGAACGTCTAGCGCAAGTTTAGTACGCCGACCAGACATAGATCATCTTTAATAGAAGAAATTTTTTTTTCAAACAAAACAAAAAGTTTCTCTATCATAATGTATTTTGTTCTATAAACATCGGTACAATGAGATTTTATTGTCTTTCCAATTGTGTCGAAAAAAAAAGAATAACAACAAAACGAACAAATCAAAACAGAAATAATTAATTATTTCATAGCTTCGGTAACCATTTGTTCTGTATCCGATGTTTCCATAGTAACTTCGATCATTGGTGCACGACGACGTAGTGCACTAAGTTTTTTCGTTGTCGCTACTGTTGTTCCAACTTTTGTTAATAGTTCACCAGCTTCTTCTCGTTTGGCGATAGCTTTTTGTACCATTTCTATTTCTTCCATTGGTTTCGTGGCATTCGGTGCTCGAACAAGATGAATATAATCACGTACTTCACGTAAGTCAGCCGCTTTTCGATCAAGTGTACCTTGTCGAAGACTAAAAGCAAATAATGATATTCAAAATGATCCATACAATAACTTGTTAAAAATAAATCATTCATTATTTCTAGCATTTGTTTAGAATTCCCTCTATCAGTCTCACTAAAAACATAAATAAATAATTATAGATGAGTTCTATAACTTACGACTTGAACATTGTATAAAAGATTTGCAACTTCTCTTTTCGAATTATAGAACTCAATATGATAATGATTGTCATGTCTGAGAATATGAGTTCAACTCAAACTACCAAGATTAGATTGTTCCTAGGGAGATGTATTCCTAAGGCAAGAGTGCATATCTTTAATGAATTCAAAATAGTATATTCATTAAATAGTTTGTCCTATTGATCTACTTCAAAATTATTACCGTTTCATAATGTGATGACGCTCTCGTTTAGTTCGGATTTTTTCGATTTTTCCAATGGCTTTGTCTAAAAACGAAAAGATTTATTTTTCTTCTGAGAAAGCAAATTTTTCTATCATACACGTATTTTCCCATAATTCACGACTATATTTCACGGGTTCATTACGACGTTTCTCGAATTCAAATGTTGCATCTGTTGTTAAATCTTTTCCAGCAAATTTTCGATGTGCTTTTGTCCATTTTGATTTACGTGGATTCCATTTCTTCTTAAAGGCCCGATGACAACGCGATCGACAAAATCGAAAGATCTATTTTTTTGGAGAAAACATAAAATTATTAAAAGCAAAAAAGAAACAGCAATCATCTTTTACTTTGCAATCGTTTCGTACAAATTGAATGCCATGGCCAGGCCAAACCGTTGATGAACAATAATAGCATGTTTCGAGACGCATAGTTTATGCTGTTTTTTTAATCGTCTGAAAGAGAATAAAATACAAAAAAAGGTGCGTATAAAACATTTTCTTTTAACATGAAACTGTTTTTATTATACATTCAATCAAACAAAGTTATCTTGTATAATAGAATATAAATATTCAACGATAGCATTAAAAACTTCGATTCCATCTATTTCAATTTCTTCCGGACCAGACATAAAACCAATAGTACAATTCTGATCTTTCCTTAAATTTCCATCGTAGCACAAAGGTAAGCCACGATACATAGGTGATAGTTCTAATGTCATTGCATGTGGCATTAATGTCGCAGCAAAATCAATACTTGTTCCACTACATGAATACAATATAGATGATGCTTGTCCAACTTTATATGTACCATTCAGAACAGTTGATGCCACATTATTACTTCTCTTCAATAAATCATCATAATTTTTTACTCTTTCCAATGTTGTATAAGTCCAAGGTAACAACCAAAATCTTCCATAAGCATGTAAATTAAAATATGCATAAAATTGATGACGAGTATATGTCTTGTTTCGAAGAAAATTCACAACACTTTGAACTTCATTTTCTGATAATGGCTTTAGCCCGCTAAATGAATGTGAACATGGAAAAGGTGAAGCACCAAATGTATTATTCCATTGAAAAGGAAAATTTCGATTGAGATCAACTCCAAAACATGATGCATCAATACTCCAATAGTCCGATACAATAGTTGGTGCACGATTTTTTCTCCAAAGACGATTTTCATTTCTTGAATATTCATAACCATCAGGATTCATCATCGATAAAATGAAAACATCAAAATAATGTAAAATTTTTTTAACTTTAGGATCTTTTCCTTTTAATTTAAGAAATTGTACGATAACATAGTTTGCTACACCAATAGATAACCATTCTCGTGCATGCATACCGCCATCAATAAAAACAGCATTTTTACGACGTCGCCCTTTTCTATATCGAGGATGAGATTTTGAATGAATTTCAATAACTGTAAGCGAACGATTTTCATATGTTTGACCGATTGTATGTAGACGAATAGATTTGTTTGTTAATGAAGAATTGGAAAGTAAACGAGACCAATCTTGTTGTTCATCATACGAAAGAAAACGTTGATAATAAGTTTTATCCAATGGATTATCGGATGCAATCGATCGTTTTGATTGTTGACGAGATTTTTTCAATAGATCTTTTGTGTTATCGACAATAATTCGATAGGAACCTTTTGATTGATGTATAAAGTGAGTAAAATTTGATGCATAATTTCTTGGTATGAGAAAAATATATGATGACTGATAATAGTCATATTCAATTAGATCAATTAATGGAAATATTTCTTCAATACGCGATAAATAATTGTGTTTATAAGGAAATTTAACAAGCCACACTTGTTCTGCTTGTAAATAGTTTAAAAGCAACACAAAGACAAGTAACAACTTCATTTTATGAATCAAAACAATGAACAATAAACATACAGACACGAGAGAGAAAACCAGACGAATTCTACATGACAATTAGTTTTTATCTTTCTACTTCAATAGGAAAGATTAAGTATACTTCTAAAGTTTATAAGCTCTTCTTTCTTTTTTTCTATCAATCTTAGTCACTGAAAAAGAACAATATTATTACGTACACAAGGACACAGAAGAAAAATGCCACTGTATGAGGGCATCTCTAATGATAAGGATATTTTCTTCGCCTAGAGTCATATTACAATTTTTATACAAATGCAAGTATACAATAATAAAAAACACAAAGCATATTTTTACATTAAAATCTTTTTGTTTTTTTATAGAAAAAATAGAAAGCGCATAAATATGAAGTAATATTTTACATACGAACATTAATGACTTGATGATGCTACGTCAGCTAGTTTATTAGGTGTAGCTAAAATAAAGAGTAAAACAAAAATTGATTAGCTTTCCTTTTCAATATTAATTACTGAGAACTTACGTTCTTTAACACCTAATTTTTGAAGACGTAATTCAAGATCAGCAAATGGGTCTTCTTCAGGTATTTTAATAGCTTCATTAGGTATGGATATGTTACTTATATCATTAGCATTTGGAACAGTAGTTACTGCTGGTGTTGGTGGTATTGGTTGCCTTAATAATTCTTCAAGTTCAATTTCCAATTCTGTCATATCAGTTGTGTCATTAGCTAATGGTCGAGTTATTGCATCATCTATTTCATTTTGTGTATCAAGCATCTATAATTACAAATAAAATAAAAAACAAGATTTACAATTAATTTCACTCTCAATTTTATCGGACAGATTAAGATAGTGAAAATGCTAAATCTGAGTCAATTTTTTCACACGATCTGAGTGTTTTTTTGGCATATTCAAACGAAACTTTTCAAATTGAGATTAGAGATAAATTATAAAAACTGATCAAAGTTAAAGACTATCAAGTCTGGATATGTGTTTTGGATTTTTCTTGAAGATATAATACGAAAACGAATTGTCGACGTTAGATGAATCGAAAATGAACAAATATTTCCTCGTCCTTTTTAATAAACAAGATCGCGACTCCTCATAGGCTTGATAAAAATGGCAGTGCCCGAAACATTCCGTTACACTGGGTACAAATAGAGACCGAAATTTACTAGAAATTGTCTTTACTATTACCAATACTATTCTATACAGCTTTTCCTTTCTACTCTCGACTAAAAACAAAGACATCATTTTACAGATGCCTGAAACTTAATAAATCCGATATGACAAAAATCGCCCTAACAGTACTAATAAGAAAAGATTTACTTACATCATGTACTTCATCAATCATATCTTCAACTGCGTCTGGTGTTAGACCATTTTTACGTAATAATTCTTTATGAGCTTGAACACCCGACGAATAAGCATTGATCACCTTAATAGTAAAAAAGAAGAACATTGTTTTTTCGATTGAATATAATAAGTTTCATATTTTTACCAATGATGAACAATCTGTTTGTTCGATTTGTGTTAAAACAGTATTGAGATGTTCCACAGTACGATCTTTTTTTTCATATTCACGTTCAAGAATTTTTTTCTTACGTAATAATTTCATAGCTGCTGTACGATTACTATTTTTCAAATGACGACGAATATCAGTCAGTAATCTAAACAAAATCACACTTATCAGTATTCGATAATGATATATATATATATATATATATATATTACCCTTCCATTTGCTCATCAGATTTTTTCAATTGTTCTTCTAAACGATCTTTTGAATGGCGTAATCTAAATGAAATCGAATAGAAAAATTTCTCAACTGTATAAAAGAAACCAGCAGTCTTCTTACAAAAGCACACTGTTTTCTATTTCAGTGATTGGTCGAACAGTTGGGGTTCCTGGTGCAATAAATTTAACAACCTAAGAATAAAGAATTAAAAATTTAATTCATAATTTTTCTTTTCTTTACTTTAACATTTTTCGTTTCTCCAACATAATCGATTAAAATCTTTTTATCTCGTACTAATGTTGATATAATTAAATTAATTGAATTTTCATCAATTAATGCACATCGACGGCATGCATCAATAAATGAACCATATGAAATAACACAATCAAATGTTGCTACACAAACGTGTGATTGTAAAGATTCAATTACTTGTTGCGCTTTTTTCTAGAAGATTAAGCAAATCGATTCATTTAGGATTTCTACATCAATGAATTCTTACATCAACAAGTTCTTTGATAACAAAAATATCTTGATCGACTGGTATTTTTGTCGACATCAAACTAGTCAGTGGACTTGTTAATTTATTAAATGTCCACGATACCCATGATGATTGTTGTGAATAGGTATAATCATTTGTTGATATAAGGCGGCGTTGTTTTATCAGTTCTTCAAATATTTTATCCAAACATTTAGAAGTTTTTCCTTTACGACGAAAACGTGAAACGATCGTCGAAATATCAATTTGTAAAATACCATGATCTTCACAATAATTTATTATTGTTTCACTCCAAAATTTCATTTTCGCATCATAATGAACAGGATTCAATTCACGATCTTTAAAAAATGCAAATAATGCATCCATACGTTCATCATTATGCCAATCTGATGGTAAACGATCCCAAGATTCAACTGGAGATTGCTTTGGCGTAAGTGATGTCATTGATTCAATTAAATAATATATCTAAAATCGGGTTGTGCACGTTATTATTTGTGTTTGAAGAATATAAATTAAGAAGATGATAACAAGTGAGGGTACGAAAATTGTAATAAAAGATGATTGGCCCCCGTAATTTTCATTGGTGTTAACGATGCAGATACGAATCCGTCTCTGCGAAAGACACGTCGATAGGTGTCACTGATAATTAAGCGACAAGATTTTTGTTCCTATAGATGGTTTTTTTCACGAAATATTTGCAATTCATTTTCCAATTAAATAGAAAAAGTTTAACAATCGAAGATATGTAAAAATGATACACAAATATATATGCAATAATTTCATACGCAATAGAAAATAGATGAATTATAAAACGATGAGTTCGGTCTGTAAAACTTTAAAAGAATCTTCATAAAGAGAATTTTTGCAAAAGGATTATAATATTTAGAGAGGAAATAGTACAAATAATAGAGAAGCCAGTATCTCTCACTAAAAGAACCATTTTCAGCAAAAAAATTGTACAATATCACTCGATGCAGAGTACTAAAAGAATGTAAAGTAAGCCTTGATTTTCTTCTAGATAAATTACTCTGACGTATGCGTACATTACTAATAACATAAGATTTAACCTTACGTATATTTAGTACTAAATATTCACTGTGTAAATTAGTTCAACTGAAATGAGTGAATGAGTTCAACTAAAAAAAATGATCAACCATTCGTCCTCAATTCGACAGGGATAGCTTTTACGTGTCAAACTCTGATTAATTCTTCAGTTTTCGATCCTCGATTGCTTTTTTATAATATAGAATTTAACATTGTCATCCTATTTTTAAAGAAGTCCATCCCATGGGGCAAATCAAGAAATTCGAAACCAGGTGCAGAATCATCTTCTCTACAGCCCTTCGAAGGCATAATAAAGATACCATGGTTTTTATTTTGATTCAAAGTTGAAATGTTGAATACATAATCCATGGTTTAAATAAACTTCGCATCGTTCTCTGTATTAATACACATTATTTTATGTGAAATCGATATATTATTACTCTAAACTGAATATTTATAGTTTTAATCAATGAATATCTGGAATTAATGACATCTAACTTATTAATCGCGACACTATATTTATAGATGATCAGATAAGAAAGTTGCTTGGAGAAAAATCTTGAGGATGGAAAAATACGAAAGTTCTTGGTCATATAAAACAATCATGATAAGTAAAGCTAATCTGAATTAAAATTAAGATTGACATTCATTTATTAAATTTCTCAAATCCTGACCATATTCAACAGTAAATACTAATCTCTTACGTTGGTCAACGAAATACAAAAATCATTATTCATTCTTTCAAAACATATTTTTCATCACGTGAATTATTCCTAGCTAATGAAAGAAAGTCATACTGTGTCGTAGCATCAATCAATACGAATCATAGAACTCTGCTAGAACCAGTGTGCATGTGAATACGTTCTACTAATTAAGTGCACATCAACATTAATTATCACAAAGAATTTACTGTAGAAACATAGAACTAGAAATAATTGTAATAATTTCGAATACATTTATTTTCTTAGTGTTTAATTATAGTCTGACATTAAGTTAATTCGAGAATCCCATCGTAACATTCATAACCATCTGAGGCAATATATTTTTCTCGAAAAATTTTGAAATTATTTTTTTCATAGAATCGAATTGCTTATTTATTATCGATCAATACACCATCCCATGCAATAAGTCGACTTTTACCGAAGTGCTTAGCTAAATCAATCATTGCGTGAAGCAGTTTAGTGCCCAAGTGTTGACTTTGATATTCATCACTAATACAAGGTGCAAACTGTACGTCACTAATGGGATTTAATTCCAAACCGTATGTACGATATCGTTTTATATCAAATTCGCCCAAACGAAAATTAAATTCGAATAGTGCAATGATTTTTTTATCTTCAGAAATTGCTACCATTCTCAATATATCATCATGATCGATTTCGTTACAATATCGTTGTGCACATTCCAAATCGTAGCTAGGATGAGTAGCATATTGACGTGTTGCTTCTGACAAACACTCAAGAAACTGTTGGACAGCAAAAATATCATCACGTAGCAATGGTCGAAATAGAACTTTTTCAGAGCCAGTTTTCTTCTCAAAATGAACAGTTGTAGTAGACAATAGTGGATTTTCAGCAATTTGATGTATTGTTAAGAAAGCTGCCTGCATTTTTTGTTAGTGCGGAGGTTGGATTTGCAGTTAATTTTCCTTGTGTACGACTATAAAAGTGGATCCTCAATAGTTTACGGCATCATGTGTCATATATTAAGCCTAATTGTTTTTCAAGATTCTCATTCTGTACGGACAGACCAGGTGTGATTACAATGGGATTGAGAAACATAAAGTTGTGTAATTACATTTTTCTCGTGCATAGTCGATTATTTATGAAGTATATTGTTGACATTTGTTTTTATTTTTATCTCCTTGAATGACAAGTATTTTCATTTTGTTTTGTTCTTTGACAGTAAATGCAAGGCCTTGAATAGCAAGGTTGAGGCTCATCATAGGATGAGGACTGTCACTCTTTCAACGAGAGTCTAATTTTCTCATGAATGGTTATCTATTCTAGTCTAAAATATGTTAAGCCTTTATGAATACAATCTAACTCAAAAATGTAAGAAGTTAATCACAGATTCGAATTCATTGATTCAAAACTTTTGTTCTTATGAGAAATAATATTTTTCTTTAAAACTAATTTCAATTCAAGATTGCGAAAGATCGATTGCAGATTTGAATTCTCTGATACCGAGTCGCTGTGATCGAACTCTATACATGCATAGATTACAGCAATATACCATAGCAATTAACTAATTATATGTACAGAGAAGAATAGCTAGAACTGCATTATTACTTCATATAATCTTCTCTGAAGTCGCTGAAATAAAATTCTACAAAAGGTGAAAAAAAAACTCAACAAGAAAATAGTTGCTGAATTATTTCAATAGAAAAAAACCGCTCGAAGTTTATTCTTCATATTTAACAATCAATAGAAAACTTCTTCAACAGATAATATAACTGGTCACAAATAAAAATATATCACTAAACAAAAACGAAAATTATTCTTTTTGACTTTTATTTATTTTTCGTTAATTCTTTGCATGATAAACAAGAATATGTTATCACCTGCACAACAAACAATATCTTCTTCTTGTCCTACTCCAACTGGTGCAACCGGTACTGGACATCGTAGAGCAGCACTTCTTTTTAAGCATTCATATTCAACGGGTAGTGCTACTACGAGTAGTGTTGGTTCGCTTAAAACGCCGAAAACCGGTTCAGTTCTATCGGAATATAGTGTATTCGATGAGCATGATTATGAGATGACACGTCAAACAATGCGTGATCTTATCGAAGAAATTCAAATAGAGAAACCTTTTATAAGTTTTAATGATATGTTCCTTGATCAAGATGATATTGTTGGTTGTTTACTAAGAATATTTAATGAATATGCTGAAAATATCAATGGAACAAAACAAATAAAACGTGAGCGGATGTCAGAATTATTAGAAAATTCAAAAATATTTAATAATAAATATACACTATCAATGTATATCGATGATTGGAATAATTTTCGTAAACAAATGATAAAGAAGAAGATATATGAGCGAAAAACTAAAACTTTAGATTTTTGTGGTTTTGTTCAAATTATTGATATTATTAAAAATCATTTAAATACAAATAAAGATGAAATTCTAAAGAAAATTATTGGTTCTCAAATTTACAATGATATTATTAAATTAAAAGAAATTCGACACAAAATTCAATATGGTTTATTACCATCCATGAATATACTTGTTAATCAATCTAGTGAAGTAATAAAATCGGCTCCGTTTTAATAAAATATTTTCTATATCTTAAGTGCTGAAGAGGCAGACAGAAAAAATATTTGAACTCACATCCAATAGGATGTGATAGACATTGTTGGCAAACAATTAAAAGTATAATATCAATAATATATCGTTCTAAATATTTGAACTACTTCCTTGTTGTATTTCTGAAGGATTAACCAAGAAAATAGTAAAGAGATTGTGTCGCAAAAACAGATAAAACTATTTGTAATCATCAACATTGAGTGGCAGACTTTTATCTAACAAATATGACATTGACAGCTTTTTCTATTTGTGATTGATTTATTTTGAGATCAAAGAATATTCTATCATAATTTTAATTTATAGATACAACCCAAAATAAATGAACGACATTTGATTAGGAAAAAGAAAAAGAAAAAGAAAAAAACAAAATCAGTGTCAAGTACTGCAAAGAAAATTAAAGCAAAAGTTAAATCGAAGAATAAAAAAATCAATTCATTAACACGTAGTACCAAAAAACGAGACAAATCGAGTAGGAATAGAAAAAATCCAGGCATTGATAAGAAAAAATCAATGCAACAGCGTGTTCAAACTTCTCCACAAGCAGAACAATCACGAGTATCAATAAAAGTTTCATCAAAAGAGGTACCGAAACTCAAAACAGTGTCTATGTTAGAACCATGGATTGTACGTGATGACCTTGATGTAAGAAGATCCTTTCTAAATCATGGACGACTAATAGATTCTTTTCAATTCATTAGAATGAATTGAAGACTAAATTATTTGAACTATTTAAACTATCTTCTGAACAGTTTGAACATGGATTAATTCGACAAAATGTATTTATTCAATGGCTTCGTGCATCACACGTCATTCCAGATACATATTCAACAAATATTATTGGTATTTATAGTAGCATTGATCTATATTTTCCGTCTAATTTCCTTTTCTTGTAGAGGGTGTGCTATCTGACGTATTAGCTCGTAATATTAATGTTGGTACCTATCAGTTGAATGTGGAAACTTTCGAATGGAACGGCTTTATGGACTGTATTCAAGCATTGGCAAACGAAATTCATCTATCATCAAACGAATTCGTAAAAAAGATGCTTATAGCTGATGAATTTTCGCTTCAAAGATGGCGTGTTGAAACTGAACGTATTCCCTTGGAAGCAGGAACCGGTAAACAAACAAGTCGACCATGGGATTCTAAAAAGGTAGATATGTATTTCTCTTCGCCTCAAAGCAAAACTATTTTTTCTTTCAATGACTCAACAACAAAAAAAAACAGGTACTAGCTACTGTTAATATTATGCGCGATGTTATTGAAGAAAGTCGTAAATTACATTTGACGGACGATGAACGGAAACGTCTACGTTCACTTTACAAAGAATTTGCTGCATTTGCATATCGTCGTCAAAGTGCACATTTAGAAGCGCGTTTAACAAATTCTGTCCTGAGTAGTTGGATGCGAGAATGTCGAATATTTGATGATAAATATACAATAAATGAACTTGATAAAGATTTTATTTCAATATTAGGAGATTTTACATTAAACGGTGTTTATCCACAAGGTACACGTGATATTGATTTTGATGGTTTTCTTATTTTAATTCAAACAATTGCTGCACATAAACATATTCGAGCTGATGATCTTGTTCAAATGATTTTTGCTGGACCACGTAGTCCATTACAAAAAGCAAGTGAATTCAATGAACACATGGATCGCACAAAAATTCAAACAAGTCAAATCAAATAGAATAAACGAAAGAAAAATTAAGCTAAGTGTAAAAATAAACGTCATTTGAATTTCGATCAATGATTTGTTCTATTTGTCTGAAGTTCGATGAACAGATGACTCTTCCTTCTAAAAGAAAACAGACGCATAAGTAAAGATAAGAAATTGCCGAGAATCTATGAAACATACAGCATAAACACGTGCTTTTTCCATCTCTTGAATTGTTTGATCACGTTGTGAACATAGCGCATTGAAATTTTTTTCTGTTCGTCCCATTGGATGAACATGATAAGGTCCCGGTATTTTTTTTGGTAAATCCCAAGTTCCAACGAACTCGCCAAATGGTGATCGTTTTGATTTTGTTATACCCGGCAAAATATGACCACGTCCATTAGCCACAAAACTACTAGCATTCAATGACATTGTTGCTTTTGGATGCTGAAATGTACACACTGTTTTCTAATTTATCAATATTTATGCTTAATAAAATTTCAAAGAAAACCAATGCATCTCTAAATAATTTTATTTTTTCTCGATGAAACAAATTCTTCTTTTTTTTCTTTAGTTATTGTGAAGTTTATTTAGCTATCGTTTTTACTAATCCTATTTAACAATTTGCTTTGTAGCTCAGGATTTAAAAACATGCAATGTAAAAGTTTTACTATTGTTAAGATTACTAACCACGCCTGGTTGCGGATCTTTTGGTACTTGATACATTTGTAAAACTTTAGGTGAAAATGATTTTTCATATTGCGAAGCACTGTAGTTACGTGACATTTCTTCTTAACAATTGTTGAAACGAATAAGATGAACAAATGAAAAAAAAAAATTCATTTCGGTTGCCATCATCAATGTAAAAATAATTGTTATTACCAAAGCAACAGAAAGAGGATTGCATAATGCGTGTCGTTAGTTATCGATACAGTTATATTCACAAACCGTTAACAATATCAATCTTTATTTTTCATCACATAGAAAATGTGTAGTTTTAATTAATCAAATAATAATATTATTTATTTTGTAATTAGTCATTGGCTAGTGCACAAAAGTCAAAGACCAAGAGAAAAAAAAGAAATCACCAGATGTTTCAACATAAATGTTGTATAACAGAAACAAAAAAAAAGGAGGGGGGGAAGGAGAGAAAAAAAGAAACAAACTATCTGCTTGTGTCAAAAAAAAAGAACTTTAAGATTTGTCGCTGTCATGTAACAGAGGATAAGAAGTGGTTATCTATATTTATATATATATATGTTTGTATACAAGTATAAAATTGATTGATGAGAAGAAATGAAAATATATTACAGAAGTTCTTCATGTGCTTCATTACAATCATGATTATTATTAGGTGGTGAAGATGATGATGATAATATTTCACATCGAAATACAGGTGTACCTAATTTAATAGGTGCTGCACCACGGATAGGTACAGATGTTTGACTAAAATATTCAAGCATACGTGATACACTTGGAAATGGTCTGGAACATTCACCCAGAATATAAACACCTGTTGAATAACATATACGCATATGCATACAGCTTCTTGGCGTTCTATTCAAAAACGAAAACATAATTATGTAAGTGCAAAGATAAAGTTTTGTTTTTATCATACTTAATTGAAAGTGAATAATCATTTTGATTTCCACTTTCACTTTGACGTACAAGAAAACTACCAGGCGGACGAGTTTGTAAAATACTTTCAGCTGCTCGTCTTGACATTGCATAATGATACCAACTGAATAAATACATAGATATAAACTTTTGCGAAATCTGATATAGGCACTTACAAATAACGATCGATTGGAATTGCTGTATCAATATCCGACGCTAATGGAACAAGGTTACGACTGTTTGTCTTATTGATTTCTATTTGAATAGAAGAAAAAAATATGTTTAGAGTTAATTACTTATAAATTTACATCATTTAAGATTTGTATAAATAGAACATTCATTGAGAGTTGCTTTTACCTCCTGTATTTGCATTACTGCTATTATGTTTCTCATCTGGTGAACATGTGCTATGTCGGCAAGTAGTAATAGTAGGAGAAACGATTGGAAATGGGGGATAATGTTGCTTCGATTCTTCTGCACTTGATGTTTTTTGTAATGAACCTCTACTACGATTGTGTATAGATGATGATGGTGGAGATGAAAGACTATTGATAAGAGATGTTTGTAATGTATCCCATGGTCGTTCATAAGCTGTGGGTGATTCTTGATTAGTTGTAATCTGTGGTTTAGGTAATGAAGATGCTGAAACACTTGTATTATTATTGTTAGATCGAGTTGATGAACTTAAACGTTTAAATCGTTGTAGAGCGGCCTAGGGAAAGAGAGAAAGAAACGAAAAGAAAAATTTACGATGTATGTAAACAATTGCTTATCAGCAAAAAAGACCTACTTCAAATGACATAGGCTTCGAATCGTCTGTTATCGATGGAGATTCATTTGATGATGATGTTGTTGATAACGAAGATATTGTACTATTTTGCGAAGTTATATGAGATGGTTCTTGTCGGTTGTCAATTAAATGAGATAGATCAACTTTAGCTGGTGCTGTATTAACTCTTTGTGAACGTTCATTAGTTGGTGATGTAGCAGCAAAAACAAAACTACGTGAAGTATCAGTACCAGATCGAACAGCATGTGCATTGAGACAATAGGAAATTTTCTTTAATGATGGATCAAGAGTTTCATTTAATGGATGATTATTAATAGTATTGTTAAGCGATCGATTTCGAGTATTGTTATTACTACCACATTGACATGTAAGATTAGGCGTTGGTGGTATTAAACCGCCAGGTGGCAATGGAGGAAGTAAAGGTGGTGTTGGTTCACTAATTGTAAGCGATTTTTTCGTTGATGATGTTGTACGTGCTGAACGAGTTCGATGAAATGGATTATTATTATTATTATTATTATTATTAACATTGAAAGAAGACGATGATGAAGATGTCGAACGATTGTTCGTATTAGATGGATGAAGTAAAGCATCAGTTAATGTTGTTATAGTATTTGATGATGATACAGATCTTTGTTGACTAAGTAATTTTAATTTTTCTTCTTGTGTTTTCAAATCCCATGGTGAACAATATGATTCTTCAGGTACAACATGTGGTTGAAACGACGAACATGATGCTGTCGCTGTACTCATTGAGAAACTGTTATTGTTTTGATTATTATTATTATTATTTGAAAAATCGGTCAAAGTACGATCACTAGCATCTAAAGAGGCACTCGGATATAGATGTATGTAGTCGTAAATATGAAGTCATACATGACAGGTGAAGTGGTTATGACGGGAGGACATACACCTTTTCCTTCGACATATACATGCACGTATACGCGTGCCCGTCAAATGAAAAGGTGAACAGCTGCATCAAGAAAGCAACTCAGTTGAGCAGAACAAACGATGAATTCCATCTCAATAGTCAATGTGCCCTGAACATTCATTATCCAACGACAAAGAGAAAAAGCATAAGGAAAGAGAGAGAGAAAAATATATACATATAAATATATAAATGTATATGTGCAGATATGTATGACCGATGCTGCTGCATAGTCTCTCAATGAACACAATCTGTCTATCTTTTTTTTGCTTTTCTAGAGAAAAGAGAGACAGACAATTCTTGGCGAATAAGGTCAAGAACTATCACAATAGTTGAAGCAAATCTATATGCTGATTAATTCTCGGTTTGTCTGTCTCTTTTAATAGGGATGAGTCTGTTTTGTTTGTCTGCAAGACAATCTATGTTCTAGCCTTTTCTTTATTACTTACGCAATTGAACGAACACGAACCAGCGACGATTGATTCAATTGTTGATCCGCATAAAGAAAAAGACTGATGGTAAACAGCCGACTAATTCTTTCTTTAACTCTCACACGACTACGAAACCATACAACACGTTCTGTTCAATCGTCCGCCTTCTCATTGACTCATTCGTTGAGCTTCTCATACCATACTTCGATTAGTCTCGTTTCTTTTGTCTATTTTCAATATATATATATATTGAAATGTGCTTCACTTTATTTTCTCTATTTCTCTAGTTGATGATTAGAGTGAGTGATGACATCTAATCATCGAGACTAAATGCTATTGTAGTATGCAGTATACCATATAAAACTATAGTAAAATCAAAATAAATGATTATTCTTATGGCGACAACAAAAGGGCAAATCTACAAACACTATCGACCAACTAATGGCACATACATATTGTCAATACTAAATGGGCTCAATCGTCTTAATACACATACACACACACACGTACACACAAACACATAGAACAGTGAACCCGCCGATATATATATGTATACACTAGCTTTATAATATTCATTCTTCATATCGGAATTGATAGGGTATAATTGAAAGAAAAACCTTGATCGATAAAGAAAAGAAAAGAAAGAGAGAGAGAGAGAGAGAGAGAAAGAAAGAAAGAAGAAAAGAGTTTGCTGTCACGATTACAAAACTCCTCATTTTATTTCTATTTCTCTCTGTTCATATGGTAATCACGACGAATATCCATATTCCAACACGCAGCGGGAAACATCAAACATGTGAACACGTTTGCGAACAGCTGCAGCTGTTTCTTTGTTTCGTTCTTTTTATCCACCTCTCGTGTTCAATTTCATTCCGTATAGTGTTATGATTAACCTCGGCTGGATGCAATAAAACTTACGTTGATGATGATGATGTTGTTGCTGCTGCTGCTGCGGTTGATGCTTAGCAAAGGATGATTCACAGCCATTTTCCTTGGCAGCGCCGTTGACATTTTGATCGGAAAGAATGCATGACTGTAATACAAAAAAAAGAAGTCAAGTATTCATCCAAAAAAAAGGAAAGAGAAGAATCCAATCGAGAAATGTAACATAGAAAGGGAATAGACATCCAACAATGTTCGCTTGCGATCTCTCGTGCTACCAAAAATACAAGATGGCATTGTATTCGATCCGCTCATACATAGAATCATAAATTTTACAATAATAACTAACGTGAATAGTGTTATTGTTACTCGAATCACGTATAATTATAGTCGATTATAACATAAATTTGGTATTAGAAGCACACACACACATATACAAATAGATATTTACTTATGGTTTCATTTCTAGCTTACCGTTTGTTCAATGTCTTTCGTATGTATATAATATAAACATATACATTTATATGTATATGTATATATTTCGCGAAAAATTATCCAGAAAATCCTACTGAAATGTTGACAATCGTAATGATGCCGATGATATTACGTTTAGTGACCTCAATAAATAACTGAATATCTGTCTGAACACATATACAAGAATAAAGATGAACTACTGAGATAGAGCTTGCGTGATAATTAGTGTCAATGTTTACGGTAAAAGACAATGATATGTGTATAGGTAATAGTTTTCTATCTCCTCGAATGAATATCGATTTAGACAGCAATAGTGATAACCAGTTACGTATGTCTATATCTAACTATTACTTATATGTAGAGAGAACTAGATGTTTTTCCTTATCATGATAGACATTTGGTTCGAAGGATAAGAGTGTTGTCTGAAATAGAAAAATTACCATCGTGGGATGAAAAACGATGAATGTGACCTTCACTTTCCATGTCTCATTTGCACATTCATGAGGCTAACATATAGACCACTAGTGGTGTCGATTACTCTTTATATTATTGATGATATACATCAGAAGGACACACTAAATAACATAGGAAATTATCCGATTACAATATGAAGATCTTTAACAAGATACTTTTTTTCGAATGACAAATAATATTAAAATGCAATACGCAAAAAAAGAACGAGCACTACTATGAAAGCAGTGATATAATAATGACATTTACCTGGGCTGTATGAACACTAGTTGATTGTTTAAATGAAGATGAAGTTGATAACGATCGATCAAAGATAGAAACTAACGGCATGATCTAGAACTCGATCGGAATGTGTCAACAATGTAAATATTCACTAAAGAGAAGTTCATATAATCATAGTCTATAGTATGTTCAATAATAAACAAGAATAAAGAACGCAAAAATACCAAAGAGCTTATTCGTTGAAAAGAATAACCAATCGTATTTGAATTCTAGTGTTGTTGTTTTCTTTTCGTATTTTGTGTTTGATATTGAATTCTTTCAGTAATTCGTTCAGCAATGTCACGTAAAGCGAATTATAATGATGACCAAGAATCAGTAGAAATTGAACCAGAACGTCTACTTGTTCATAAACTAGTCGATTCAAGTAAAGCTCAACGAGCGAAAGCAATTGAACGATTAAAATCATGGATCAATGCTCGAACACTAAATCCAGCTAGTTTTTTCACCTATGATGATTTAATTAAAATTTGGAAAGGTCTTTATTATAATATGTGGATGGCTGATAAACCTATTCTACAGGTAATTTTACAGTTATAGGATTTTTTTTAAAATTCCGTTTGTTTACTATATAGGAACAATTAGCTACAGAAATATCATCTTGGATTCATGAATTTCGAGATAATGATCAAGCACGTCTATATATTGATGCTGGTTTTGCTACATTTGCTCGAGAATGGTGGGGTATTGATCGATGGCGTCTGAGCAAATTTATGACAGTAAATTTTTTATTTCGCCATATTTAATATTATCTATTATTATTGAAATAGTTTGTTCGATATTTTCTACGCGAATCATTTATGTTTCTTAAAAATCTTAAATGGCTCAAAGTTGATGTATTAAAATTTACCAAAATGCTTCGTCAAAATGTTCTTAGTGCCAATGGCAATCGATCCTGTGATGGTTAGCATAAGAAAAAATAATTTTAAATAAAATAAAATAATGTTTTTATTACTATTTTTTAGGTTTAAAACTACATGTTACTGATATTTATTTAGAAGAACTTGCACAAGTTGCTGGCGTAGTATTAAAACCAAAACGATTAATTCTTTTGTTATCACCATTTTTTAATATTATTAAAACATCTGACAAGTAACTAATTAAGCTATATTTAAAAACGATTTTTCTGTAATATTGTTTTTTGAATGTATTTAGTGAAGTGCTTGTTAAACATGTTTATAAAAATTTGTTCATACAAATAATTCAATTTTCGGATGTTGGTATTGATCCAGAAGCGGAAGAAGAAATGGAAGCAATTCAAGCATTTGGTCGACAAGCAATTGAAGAAGAAATGGAAACCAATAATGAAAATGACGAGCAAGAAGAAGTTGCTTTACAGGTATAGTTTATCGAATTTTGTTTTTAGAATTATTTTAAAATTATATTTTTTTCTATTTTAGTTTGATTATAAACTTCTTTCGGAAAAATTAGTTAAAGTAGCTAAAGTCGAAAATTGCAAACAACGCAATCGTAAACAAATATATGAATTAGCACGAAAGTAATAGTATCCATGTAAATAAGAATGTCTATTAAATTGAGAACATTTTTAGATTTGATGCACTTTCACGTGGTATATATCCGTTATCAGATGAACGATTACCAGAAGTATTTGAATCAAATCGATTATCTTGTGAAGTTGACGTGAACGTAAGTTTATGTGCAAATGAATAAAATATTTATTTATTATTGTTCTTTTTTCTTCTATCTAATAGACTTTACGAGAATTTCAAAAAGACTTAGGTGAATTGGGCCACAAGAAGAAAAGTAAAACAAAACCCGAAGAAATTGATCAACTTCTAGAAAAATATGTAAATTTTGATATAATAAATTTATTCAAAGAAAAACTTTTTGCCGTTCTAGGATATTAAAAAACGTCGGAAGAAACATCGTGGAAAAGGGGGCTCAAAAAAGAAACAACAACAAAAAAATGGTGATGATCAATGAATAATTTTGTTACACTTGCAATGTTTTCATTTTGTTTTTGTTATTCCGTTCTATGTGCAACAATAAAACGGTTATTCATGATCTTTCAAAAATGATGATCGTTGCCTTTTAATTCAGTATGGTGTTAAGAAAATATTTTGAATCATTCACTAAGTGACTGAAATCATTCTGTAATTATAAATACTTTCCATGAGAATGATAGCATGTCTTCGTATGTTTATACGAAACATAAAAACAAAATGAAGACTAAAGTCTACGGTAAACAAATCAAATTATTTCTAATGAAAATGTGACAATGATAGTTTTCATCGCTCAATAAATTTATTTTACATTATACTTTCAATATTATATTTTTTTTTCAAAGCAAACCGAAAAAGGAAGCCAAGTCATTAATAAGTTAAGGAATAGAATGCATGCGTTTATAAAAACAAAAGAAAAACATGATAAACATAAAGAAATGTTTGCTTTTGCAGTGCTAGAAAGACAACCCTATTTTGATTGATGCATTTTGCAAGTACAAATTGAAAAGTCGTTCACAGAAATAAAATGAATTCACCGGTCGTATAGAAGCAGACTATGAACTATTATTTTCTAGTTGGTAGAAACTCCTGCTGCTGTTGCCGCTGCTTGTTGGGAACAAATCATTTTAGTTGTAGCCATCGCTCGAATTTGTAGACGATTCTCAAAATCGTATTCACTATGCTTTTCCTAAGAAATCAACGAAAAAAATTTGATAGTTTTATTTTTTTATACAAATCAAAATAATTTTCCTACTTTAGCTTTTGTCAGCAATTCCTTGGCTTGTTCAAGATTCTAGAAGATAAGAAACAAAGAAAAATGAATTGATCAGTTTTCTAAAATGAATCAAATCTATACTTCTCTCTGAAGATATTCAAGAATGCCAAGTTCACAGGTAGCAAATGGTACTATATATTTGGTAAAATTTACTTTTGAATCATCTACTCGAGCTATGGCTTCTTCATAACACTAGACATTTGTATAAATAAAAACAATAGAATAAAGTAAAGTCAATTAATAAAACAATAGACATAACGTACATTTTGAGCATCATCATAGTGCAAAAGTACGTTGTGAATGGCTCCTTCAATCAGGCAACTAATGGAACGAAGTTTACTATCATCTTTTGAATCTTGACCATAGGCTTCAACCACTATTGTCAACGAAAGAAGACGAAGAAAATAATAATAAAAATAATAAATTTATTATTTCAAAAGTTAAAAAAATTTCCAAAAGTATTATTTTTACTATAGGAACTTATGAGAGACATGTAATTGTATGATACGAAGAATTCCAAGTGAAAATCGATTGACTTGAAAATTACTATATGAAATTTCTGTAGATTTATTACATAAAACACTTTCCCACTGTCTATGAATAGTTCTTTTGTTTTGTGAGAATCGTATCTAATGTATTTACTCAAAATAAAGAATGAGACACACTTTTTGTAGTTTCGATCTATTTCTACACTAAGGAACAGTCTATTACAATAGAGATAAAGTTATTACGAAAATTGCGCAATTTCCATCGAATAGTTATTTTTTTAATCGTCACGCATATTCAACTATTCACATAACAACCACAATTTTCATTTGAAGCAAAAATTATTGATCTAGTATACACAAAACTGAGCAAGAAATCATTTGGTTCGAAACACAATTTGACGTTTTTAACTTGAAAAGCAAATATTGTTGGAATATTTCACGGAAAATTTGCATAGTATTCTAAATCAAAATAGATTATCCATGCAGTTTAGAAAACGAGGCAAGTGCTTCTATTGTCTGTTTTCTTTTTTAACTCCTATAGGTACATTATTAAAATCGAGAAAATACCATAAAAACACTTTTTATAGCATAGAAATTTCTCTTTTTTTCGGAATTCAAAAAAAAAGCTACAAACCAATTTCCTGACATTTATCGTGCTACCATAACAAACAGTTAGTTTGTACGATCTCATTAAATAAGTCGAAATTTAGGTAATGGACTACGTACTTTGTAAAATTTGCCGTAATGTTCGTATTTCACATGATGGTAAAAGAATCCATAAGTATAACATTTCAAATACAAGAATATGTGCGGCAGACGAGGATATTGAATTCTTTTTCAAATATTCCAACTACACAGCCAAAAAAAGTTATCATTTTAGAATAAAATTTGAAATGTTTATATACTCACTCGTTTTTGTGCGAATAATTCAATTGGATTGGATCTTTTTTGAAGAAGTTTAATTCCATCTTTAGCAAATCCTGCTGATGTTTTCCCATCATTTTTAGCAGCAGTACAAACTAAATTAAAAAAATACATAAAAGTAAATAATAATAAAATAAAACCAAAAAATCTTCTTACTTGCACAAACGTAACAATAAAACGCTTTCGACCATCGACTTTCTTCTTTTAATCTTTTTACAAGAGAAAACTAGATGAAGTTTGAAAAAACAGCAAAAGAAAATTCTCACTTTGTAAAATATTTTAAAGCTTGGTCGAAATCTAACATCATTAAATAGCAAAATCCAAGATCATAAATTAATACCTGATCTAATTCATTGGATTTTACGACTCCTGCACTTTGTTGTTGACTATTTGGCGCATTAAGCCCATTAAGAAATGTTAATAAGGCTCTTGGAAGATCCCGCTATCAAAGAAAATAAAACTATACTTTTAAATAACTAAAAACAATGCATCAATATACTTCAATTCGTTCAATGCGCCCTTGAAAATAAATAAAAAGCGTGGATCTATCATATTTTTCTTTATTGCGTCTTAATATAGCTTTTGCTTCACTCATATCTATAAATTTAATAAACAAAACAATTAAAAAGAAAATTTATTGTATGATTCTATTAGCTACCAGGTATATTAGAAATATCAATTGCAAAGAATGGTTGGATAATACAATGATACCAAAGTAACGTTAAATTTGCTAATGGGGCTTTCATATCTGTAGTTTGACTAGCAAAACGCAGTGCAGCTAATGCAGATTTTCTAAAATCAACAAGCAACTCGTGTCATGCATGTAAATAATAATAAATATAAAACTTCACCGATCGCCTTCAAAACCAAGAAATTTGATTAATCTCATTACTTTCGGCGGAACAAATGAAAGTGCTATCTGGAAAAGGCCAAAACCAAACGACACCGATCCAAGAAGACGTTTTATGGTGTACGCTGAAAGTTCATGGGATGACTCATTTGCTGTACTATCAAAACTTTTAAAAGATAGATCATCACCATCTTCATCTTCGTTTTTCATTCCGTCAGTATTGTCAAATTCAATAATCGCATTATCTTCTGGTTTTGCTCCATAATCTTTTTCTGCATTAGAATCTGTAGACCGATACAATTCAAATAATTCACTGTGCAATTTTTCATAGGTTTTCCATGCTTTTCGTAAAAGTAAACCAGCACTAAGTAATCCAGATAATTCTTGTTTGGTCAATGTTAACATAGCTTAAAATGAAATTATTTATTTATTAAAATTTGAAGCACATGGGTACGAATCACAGAGATATTGAGAAAAAGTTTTGTAAATAATCTTCGTCACAATTTGTGATGAAACATAACAGATTCCCGAAATGTTAGTCTCGCCTGCAAATTATCATTACTAATGTTCTGTTTGAATATGAAATTTTAATCCTCTATGGTTCAATGCTCTTTTGAGGTAGTCTTTAAGAAAAAAAATAATTCTTCCTATTTATTACCTTGATATAATTTACAATCAGCTATAATGATTCGACGAGTGAGACTTTCTTCATGTGTTATCGTCTTCATTGATAAAAGATTTTTGCAAAAAACAAAAATGAGAAGTCAAGAAAATTTTACTTTTGAGTCAGAAGATTTTATTGTACGAGTAAATTTTGATGCATTTTGATGTGCACAGAGTTTTTCTGTTTCAGCTAAATCACGGCCAGCTTGTGATAGTCTTTGATCATCGAAGGATATGACAGCTCGCTAGAACAGATAGAAAATTTCAAAAAATAGAACAAAATAAATATATACGATGTACGAAAAGTTCTGAAATTAACTTTATTTTTTAATAATAATTCGAAATATTGATCGGCTAGTATTAATAGTTATTCTCTTTCTGCATAAATTATAGATTTTTATATTCATGGAAACACAGAAAAGCCTACGATTATCCACAGTGACCATCGACAATTGATTATACTCGGTTGACCAAGTTTCAATCGGCTTATCGTTTGACTCGAAAAAAATTTCTTGCTAATAACATTCAATCTATTACCATAAATGAAACAAATGACCATCCGCCATTCATTAATGGTGAGTAAAATCGATATCGATCAAACAAAGCTTCACACGCATCAATATCATTATTCAGTAGAAGTTGCATGCCTTTACAGCTCATTTCTACATCATCAATGTCTGTAATAAATGAGGAAGCCATCTAGAAAATACAAAGGAATCATGAATTTGTAAAAAATTAATTTATCATGAAAGATAACAGATTAAAAACTGAGAGTCGTTCATGAGAAAAAAAATCATTCATAAAATATTATTAAAAGTGAGATCAAGTTTAGTATGTTGTTCACTCGATGCGTAAGCATGTAGATAATTCAAACGACGTTCTTCTTGTAAATAATGTAACATTTCTAATTTATCGAATTGCATTTTATCTAGATAATTACGACCATTGTATGTAACTGTGTCGCCAAAATTCGTTTTTATTGTTTTCAAGTGTTCAGTTATCTGTTTTTCAAGTATAGATAATTGGTTATATAAATATGTTCGACGACGAGATTCACTTAAACGCATTTTAGAACTACCCATAGGACCTAAAAGAAAAATTTAATCTCACATATTCGTATACAAATGTAAAATTTTGAGCCTGTCATTAAATATTCACTAAGCAGAATTGTTCTCGAAAAAAATGGTATTTAGTGTTGTTGAATACGATTTATCGTTTAAAAATCCCGTTTTTTAATTAGATATTTAATGGATATAAATGTAGAATTGTTTACTAAAATGTATCTTCTTTATAAGTCTCTGTGTAGAATCTTCTTTTGATAATCATATTTTCCAAACAATAAATTACCTGATTCAAAAAATCGATTCGCATCCGAAGCAGTGCGCTCAAAATTTTCTAAATCATCAATAAAATTCTCTCGTCGAACAATTAATTGTGCAATTGATTCCCAAGCATCAAGTGCCTATTTAAAAAAATCACAATAAAAAAAATTCACAGATTTTTCTTCTTTTATTTACCGCCTCGATTTTTTTCGCATATTCAATAGTACTATATTTAACCGCCATATGCAAACGGTCGTGATCAGTCATTTTTAGTAATTTCCAAATTTGTTCTAATCGTTTTTGTACATTATCATGTTTAACATTATTTAGAATACTCGATAAAAATTGTTTGCTTGATAAAGCTCTTTCATGAGCTACAGAATCGAATAAATCGATACGTTTAGCTTTAGGCTTTCGTCTTTCTAACTCTTGTTCAAATTGTACAATTGGATCATCTTCTGGATTTAGAACTGGCTCATGGCCAAGTCCACCCAGAAAAATACTTTCAGCATTCCAAACGCCATTTTCAAATTTATTTTTTCGTTCTTGCAATTCGGCAATTTTAGCTTCACGTTCTCTTAATGCTCGATTGCGTTCATCAAGTAATACTTGATTTTCTTCAGTTAAACGATTATCTTCGGGTAGTCTGTCATGTAAGTGAAATATATGATGTAGATAATCGGTTGATTGTGTACTTAAATATTTTAAATAATCATCCTCTGTATATACTTGTGACCAGTAATCTTTCCAAGTTTGAAATTCACGTGCTTGACGCGCATCACGTGGTTTATATGCAGCAATCGAAGCAGGATCAGGTACTAAACTCAAATTAACTGTTGGTTCACTTAGACCTTTGCTTCGACTTTTAAGATTTCGTTTCTTTTTTGCTTCGGCTTCTTCTTCTAATCGACGAGGATCTGGTGTTAGAACCCAACGCTGACGATCACCACTATAATCTGCCCAAGGTGGTTCATGTTTTTTTGATAAAGATCGATTATATATTTGTTCGGGATATGGTTTTGTTAAAGTAGATGATGCTTGAGCAGCCAATAGATCGAGACTATCAGGACATTTGACAACATATTTATCCTAAAATTGCAGTATAAATTTGAAATTTTGAGTTTAACATAAAATATTGATTTCTTTTCAATTCATTCTTAGTACTGAAGTGAATATTATTATTTTTTGCTTTTGAAGATTTTCCATAAAGTTTACGATTTATATTAACTATAAAAGCAAAGTCAAATATTATTCTTTTCAATAATTGCCACATAAAGTGCCATGAAGTTGTCTAAAGAGACATCGCTGTCATCTCGTGAGCCCTTATTTCTTTTTTGAAACTTTTATAAATTATTGAGTACAAATCAAATTTATATTAATGTAACACAGAAAATAATCTAACGCTTTGCATTTTCTCAAAGAAAATTTCTCACGCAAAAAGTGTAAAAACCTCATGTATTCCAGTGGAGTTTTTGTTCGAAAAATAAAAAGAGTTGTCTGATGGCACTTTCAAATTGTCGACTTGTAATTTTGTAGTAGACGCAATAAGTTATTTCAAATTTAATATTCCAGATTTTCGATCGATCAAACTAGATTTGGAATATTTCGATTCTATTTAAAATTAACTCAGATTATCATTTTCTGTTAGTAGTAGAAAATGGATCTATAGTTCTATGCGTACGTGATGTATTGACAAGAAATGCTTGAAGCTACAACTCTTGACTACAATGGAGAAATTAATTTTTTTTTGTCGCTTGCAGGAATATTTATGACGAATAATCGTACAAAAATAGAGATTATTCAACTCTTATCTTTTCCCATTAGTGAAATAGCACTAGACTAGAGCACATAGCAAATCGTTTTAGTTTTTGTTATATGCTAACGGGGAATATTGAAATTCTACTTTTATAACATTCCTAAAGTAACAAGTGATTGTTAATAAATACAAAATAACCAGAAAGCCTGAAGGAATAGAGTAAATCATCTGCAGAAGTTCGACTATGTTGTTCTACTCGTTTAAATACTATATTTTCAATAACACTGAACTAGTTAATATTGACTGTAGAAAGTTAGTCTGCGCAAAGCTCCAGCTTAGAATAGTGTTTTTAAATGGTTTCAACAGGTCTCAAAAACAAAACAATGTGTCTAAGTGCCAATCAAACGAGTGGTCTAAAACATGAGTGCAGTAAACTTCTCTGATAAATATGAATCTAGGATATTTTGCTTGTTACGATAAGAAAGAAATATCTGATTTGAGTACAATACGGTGGAGATATTCACATCACTTTTGCTGATCGGGTTACTTTTTGGACAATCTGCATTTTGTCTCTCAAAAATCTATGATAGCATGTCATGTGGCCCAATATTAATAGAGAGCATACAATCAAATAAGATATTTGCTTGCCTCATCAGAATATTCTATTAAAAGAATTCTAATGATTGAGTCCTTACAAATAATCATATAGCTATAAATCGAGATGATATTTGTTTTTCATTCAGTGGAAATACAAGGTATTCCAATGACATTAATTATTCAAGAGAACATGTAGTTGGTCTCAAGAGTAATTTCAATCGCGCTAGCTTACATCCAGAACAATCTATTCAATGCTGAAAACGTGAATAGACATATTTCATTCTGAAAATATGAAGTGCGATAAACTCAGGATCATCCAGAATATTCACTATATTATTATTTGGCTACAATTTTTAATTACGACTTTAGGAACTACTTTCATCAGATAAAAGAAGATTTTCTGAAATTCCTATTATTAGTTGTCTACTCGTGCAGATGAATTTTATCATTAATTATATTTCTAATAATAATATGCAATATTCATATATACGTACAGTATCCAATCGGAAACAATGATTCATATCAATAGTGCTCAATAATTGTTCATAAACTTCTTTTATTTGTGATCCAATGTGTAAATTTCTATCCAGATATGCAACAGTATCATCATCAAGATCACCAAAATAATTATTAAATATAGGTGGGAAACTTGTTAGAAGAAAAGATGATTGAAAATAAAAATTTGCCAGCGTTATATCAGATATACGGAATGTGACCTAAGTAAAATGGCGCTTAAAAGAATAATCCTTTCAAGAAATTAACATTTTTACATTTTTGAATGTTTTCTCAATGGATGCTGGTTGAGAACATAATGGTTCATCTCGAACATTCTCTCTGTTCAATAGAAAAAAAAAGCATTGAAATTTAACTTAATAAATCTTTTTCTTTTTCACTTACTTCAATTCATCAAGATAATCTTTCCGTCGTTTTGCAATAGCTAAAACTGTTGTTTTACATTCATTAATACGCTGTTTTGAATCATGTGATGATGTCAGAACCTATTTGAAAAGAAATTTCATTCGTAAAAATATTTTCTCTTTTTTTTCAAACAAACTTTAATCAGCGGAGGTATTTCATCAGATTGGTCTACCTCTTCATCTGGTGGCGGTTTGGTTAATTGTACTAGATCATCTCGATTTGATATTGGTTTAGCTGATGCTAATTCGTTTCTCTTAAGAGAAAAAAAAATCAATTACAGTTGTGTAATGTAATTTATTCAATAATGTTTGTTTACCTTTTTTTCTTCATCAATAAAATATTGTTCACGTATAATATCTGTTGTTTTATATTTTGGTTTTTTAATATTATTAAAATTAAAATCAAGTTCTTCAGATAGAAAATTTTCATGAATATCCGGTAATGATCCATAATTGACTCGTTTTGGAATGCTACAAAAAGAATAACTATAAAATCAAACAAAATCAATCGAAGTAAATACTTAATGGTTTCATGTTTTTCTCTTTCTGATGTTGTTTTAAATGTTTTTACAGATGATTTTTGCTTGATTGCTTTCGTTGAAGTTTGACGCTTTTTTGGAGGTATTGGTGAATCGATTTCTCTATTCATCATTGGTGGTAGAACAGTTGGTAGACGACGAAAACGATTTAGATCAGGCATATTTGTCACGAGCTAATAGATAGAAAATAAAAATGATTTAGCATTAAAATTAATTGTATCAATTACTTGATGTAGTATTTGTCTTGTGGCATATTTTGAATCTCGAATTTCATATTTATAACTTTTACCAGCATATTCAATCTAATTAGTTTTCTTTAAAATAGACAATAAAAAAATCATTGAATTTAAATTTACCAGATCACGAATATCAGGACGATGTTGTGATAAAACAGTAGTTTTAGTCAAGCGTTTTCGAACATTTTTTAAAATAGTTTCTTCAAATATTAAACCTCTTTTTACTCGTTCTTCTTCGACCATTTCAAAAGCAAGATGTTCACGTAGAGAATGAATATTAATTCTATTAAAAATAGGATTCTTATTTATAAACAAAATAAATTCATATCTTACAAAGTATTGATTCGATCGGCAAGTAATGTTCGCAATCGAGTCATATTGGCTGCATGAGAAAAAACATATCGATCATGAAATACTTGTGCTTCTTCCATTGTATGTTCAAAAATATTTGTGCAGATTAGAACAATATTAACAAAAAGTCGACGAATTAATTCATGATTTCGTTTTGGTGATATCAGAGGATGTTGAACACGCATTTCTTCGATATCCATCCATTTTGAACGCATTTGTGTGAGCACAACCGTAGCTAATTGTGCTATATCATCAGAAGTTAAACGAGTAGTTTCAACTTCTACTTGTTGAGTATTGAGACGACGTCGAATTAAAGCTAATAATTGATCAACATTACGTGGTACCGAATTGATCGTTACTTCATCCTGAGAAATAAAAACAAAATTATTATCAACCTGAAATCTACTGTACAGCTTAAAATTTTTGCGAGACTGGAATTTTGAACGAGATCACTGTTCGTATTACGAGATTAGTCCGGAGGAAACAAGATAAATTTATTATTTTATAAAATTAATAATCTGTCTACGACGGAAAGCGCAATTCTGCCTGATTAAATCAGAACAGTAGAAAATGACTCGCGCAATTGGACGTTCATAAGTCAAAATTGTAGTTGATAGAATAGAACAATCGGTTTCTGATCCAATTTCTTATTTTAATCTCACATTGATTGTGCTATGTAGTTTGAGAAAGAACTAGAATTCTTATCTCATATTTCAATGTATAAATATTAAATGTCATATAAGAAAACTAGTGTATTGGTACAGAAAATTTCTCAACTATCTTGTGTTCTACTCAATGCAAATGTTGTCGGACTCCAAAAATATAACAGAAAGTATATAGATAGCATTTTTTTTCTTCTTAATGCAGGTTTCAATAAGATTACAATAGATCATAAATCATGAAAGTACAGCATGATACTTTTATCAGTAAACAATAATCTCGAAAGAATTATTGTTTCAAATCCTCGAGGCTTTTATATAAAAATATTGTTAATTAGATATTCATGTTTACAACTAATTATACTATATAAACTATATTTTTACTTTGATTATCATCGTTGTCGCAGTATTCATTAATTAACGAATACAACAATATGTATTTCTTATATTTATGACGCTTTCCATTTTCCGAGTACTAAATAACCTTCAATATTCATGTGAAACATGATATTGGATCTGCAACTGATTTAAAAAGACTCGTTGTTTTCTGAATTAATGCTAATCTGTGATATAAATCGACACACAAATGTGTTAGCATGCACTTGTAAACCAAGATTATGTTCGGCATGGAACAAATTCTAAAGTTTAGTTCTTATAGAAAAAAAAGGGAGACATTTAGTGAAATATGTTAATTAACTAACATCCGGAGGTGTAACTGGTCGTTCAGGTTCAAGTCGACGTGCAAACAATTGAATCGACTCTAAGTGAAAAAAAACATTTTGCATGAAAAAAAATTATAGAAAATAATATTTACCAGCAGTTTCATCGTGTTTTTCAAAAATAGTAAGTTTCCCAATCGTATTTTTAAACGATTGATCGATATCATTCTGTAAAACCAACGCAAAAAAAAATGTTTTTAAATTAAATTTTCAAAAAAGTTTTTTTTTATCACTTTTAAGTTACGAGCATCATTTAAATCAAATACTTTCTGAGATCGATTATGAATAGGCCGAAGTGGTTTTTCCTCATCGGGTGTGACAGATAGATCATAAATATTTTCCACTTGCGAGAATGACGCACGCATATTTGTTTTGCTTCTATCTCATATGATTTTTCACTCGTGTACTCATCGAAAACAACAGAAAAAACAGCGCCTCTGCATAAATTTGTGCATGTTTGAGCACATCTTACTTAAGTAAATTAAGGTAACTAGGATGCTTGATTAGTCGATCGTTCAACGAATGATCCATGTTGCATAGATGTCATGATGTGTGAGTGAATTTCTATTGGTTATCTTATGAAAAACTTACTTAATTGAATATTACGAAATTAAAAATCAGCCGTTTTGTAGTCATTTGTTATTATCCGGGACTAGTTTATATTTATTGATTTCAGTTTTATTCGGGAAATGGGTAAAGGTCATAAAGATCGAAGACGAGAAAAACGAGCTCGTGAATCAGAAGAACTTAGTAAAGATGAGCGTCTATTAAACGAAGAACTTCAACAAGAAAATGAAAAGAAAAATGAAGAATATCGATCACTTAAGAAACAAAATGAAGAGCAAGCAATCAACGAAAAATCTATTGAAACATGTAGCTAGGTTATTTAGTTTTGCAGATTTTTTACTATACCATTAATTTTTCTATTTTAGTATCGGATACAACAGAAGATTCTGGTCGTGGAAGCAGCATTACAACATCAACCGACTCATTACAACAACCGAAATCTGATCAACAAGACGAATCAATAGAGAATAGAATAAGAAGATCGTTAATAAAAGGTCTCTATAATATTGGCAATACGTGTTTTTTCAATGTTATCATTCAAGTTTGTGATTAACTAAAAATTTCGTGTGTCTATTATATTTTATTCTAATATTTCAAGTCTCTTGCTCATACTTCATTATTAATTGATTCGATGTATCAAACAATAGAATGTTTAATAAGAGAAAATGAAAAAAAATATGCATCAACAGTAACTGTTCAATTAATGAATGTTTTTGATCAATTTACATCAAATGATCGAAAGAAACCAAGTATTGATCCAAAACCATTATTTAACTGTATTATTCAAAAGTATGATTTTACTATTAATAAATTCAGATATCGAACTAAAATATTTGATTTAGAATACCATCATATAAAGGATATGATCAACATGATAGCCATGAATTATTTATGAATCTAATGTTAATATTACGCGCCGAAGAAGTTCAAGTAAATTATTTTTGATACCTGAACACAAAATAGACGTTTCTCAATGAAATTCGACTGTTTGTTTTCCTTATGTGGAGCAAGTATTTTGGATGCATGCTTGCAACAATAAAACCGTGATTGGTAGCACTGAACAGTCCTTCCGTGGTTCACATTTTCTGGAGTAACGATTAATACATCTTTTATCCTTTGAGAAGAACATATCCAACAGAAATACTTGTTCGAAAAATATGACTGTTGTATAAATGCTAGAGTTGATGAGACAAAGGCAAAGTATTACAGCAACTAGCATGCGATCGGACTAGTGTAATCATATTTTAGCAAGAGCTTGACGTTATCTATTACTAAAGATAAAAAATTTTTTTATAATAGATTCATTTATAATTTCTACTAAGTCTTTCGATAGGAGTAGGTCAATTAATTATTTATAAGAGAAGATTATCCTACTAAGAATTAGTTCGTACTCTTCAGATGAAATTCTTAATGAGTAGTTCATATTTTCATTAAAATTAAGAGGAGAAATACTTACACCCTTGAGTTTTTCACGGACACCTTTGTATATATCACCTTGGCTTAATTGAGACAAAGCAATCATATACGAGAATAATGTCTGAATCATACGTACACCCTTCGAATACGTATGAATCTATAGAGGGCAGGTTATTATTTGTGATGAGAGATTATTGTAGCATGCATGGCACAGAAAATATTAGCTCAGTAATGATATTGAATATTGGACCGTTTTAACGATCCGCTAATTTTGGTCATGGCTGCATCTATATATTTCAAAGCATGTTTCTTTCTAGTTAAAACAATTAGAACCAAGACGGCGTATTAATTTTGAAAATGATGATAATCTATCGAAAATGTTTTGTTGTACGTATCTAACTAAGAGGAAGAAGAATGTAATAATCCGTGATGTCGTTTTAGTAATCGGTTGTAATGAACCATATACAACGTATGATTCAATATTCGGTGGTCATTTATTAGATATTATTACTTGTCAAAAATGCGGAAAGGTTTGAATTATTCACATTAGAAAGAATAATATTAACTATTTTGTTTTAGTCATTAATGAAAATTGAACCATTTCTTGGCTTATTATTACCTTTGACTGATCGAGTAAATCGATAAAATATTTGTTGAAAGATTGAAAATAAAATTCTTTTCAAATAGATATCTCCATCGGAAAATTATCGTAATCGACGCAAACGTGATGATTATACAGGCTATAAGCCAAAAAGAGAAACAAAAATTTTATCAAGAAAACAACAAAAAGCATTAAAAAAACAAGAAAAGAAAAATGTACGAATATTAATCCTCTTACGAGAGCAGTCCTTCAAATGATACATTACTTTTAAATCTAGCCCATACGTATTCTGTCGTCTCAAATCAGCCATGAAAGCCCTGAAGAGAGCTGATCTTCTTTTGAAATATTCTATTAGAATAGGCATTGAATTTAGTACTTATAAAATCTGGGGATTTTAATACATCCCTATAGAAAGTTCTAACGTAAGTCGAAAATCAGCTTTTCTTGTGTTCCAAAGGAATAGATGATAACATAAAATTACTGTATCTCTCTATTAGTAGTCGAAAGACATGAACTCTTCTCAGTATGTTAGTGATTTATTTGGGTATCGATAACACACGTAGTATAGATTCAAATGTGTTCTATCAATGATATGACGTCGACTATCGCTGTTTTTTTTTTATTAATTATTTACATATATGTATATATTCTAGAGCAAAAAAGGTACTCGGGTTGCATCTGGTAAAATCAAAGGTAGACAATCACTACAAACCAAAATTGTACAAGAACAATTACCACTTGAAGAAACATCTTCTGTACCGTCCACTGAAGCAACAACTATAACTAATGGAGAAAATGAAACCAGTAAGCTCTGCAAATAGCTTTATTCTTTTAGCCTTCTTTTATATATGAATTTGCAGAAGAGTCCGTTGACACAAAAACAGAGAATTCTATTCAAGAAGACAAAGAACCAGAAACGGTGAATCAAAACAATGATGAAGTACAAGCAACAGGAGAAGAGGAAGAAAAACAACTGAATGGTGACGATAGTAATGAGAATGATGATGATGATGATGACAATAAAGAAGAAGAAGAAGAAGAAGAAGAAGAACCGAAAGGACCTTTAACAAGTGTTGAATCAACATATATACTTGCTGATATGGTGTCAAAATTAACACTAATTCATGAAACGGCATCTTATCCATTACCATTTGTTGATGAAAGTATTGCTCAAAAGTTCTTAGATTGTCGTACATCGAAAACTTCCATAACACCAAATGAAACAGATGATATTAAGAAATTAGAACAATGCTTTCAAAGATATTTTAAATCTGAAACACTTTCCGGAGAGAATTCATTTGATTGTTATTATTGTCGATCATTAGATAAAACGCAAAGTAAATCTTTATTTTATTATATTGTAGTTTTTTATTTTATTTTAAACATATATTTAGAAAAAGTATTGACTGAAGCAATTCGTCAAACAGTATTTTTTCAACTACCACCAATATTACCAATCTTTCTTAAACGATTTCAAATGGTGAGTAAACAAATAATTTGATGTTCTTTCAGGAAAAAATTAATTTCTTTTATTTGCCTAGTTTAATTCGCATAGTGAAAAAATAAATAAATTTATTGAATTTCCTCTTCAACTTGATCTAACGAATCATTGTTCATCTCAAGTAATATCAACTTCAACGATCTATTCATTATATGCAATCATTGAACATTCTGGTACACTTCGTAGTGGACATTATATTGCTTATATCAAACTATCAGTCAATGATAATGACTTATTAAATAAATTCTATTCAAAACCAATAGACTGTTTATTAAGAAATTTATTTCAAAATTCAATTGATCAGCAACCCTATATGAATGGTCATGTAACTGAAACAGTGGATCCATCAGCTCCACCACCTGCGTGGTACCATATCAGTGATAATGATATACATAAAGTTCCAGAAAGCAAGGTGCTTGCAGCTGATGCTTATGTGCTTTTTTATCGAAGGATTAATAACGGAAGTTAATTTTTATTTTCTGCTTCTTTTTGCTATCAATAAACACATTGACACTGTTATTTTCTTTCTCTCTTTGCCAATATTTATATTTCGTCGATACGCGTCACATCATTTCTACCTGTAGTATTGTTGGCTAATAATATTATATAGGTGTATATAAAGATAGTTTGCATTTCTGCATGTAAATACTCACATCTTTTTTTATAAAAATACAAACTCGACGACAGAAGATAATAGTTAATGGGTCAACTACTTGCCGGACAACAGGTAGAGGAGAGAGAACCGGTCAACATACTTCCAATTCAAAGAAATGCATTGCCACAACAAGCAACACAACATCGTTCAACTCATATGATGCGAATGATGGCGCCAACTCCTATTCATATGATGCGAATGATGGCGCCAACTCCTATTCATACGAGCCAACATCGCCGTAAGCCACGTCGAAGAAAACAACGAACGCGACACGCTCCGGAAGTTGGCCGAAAGTCTTAAAAGAAATCGAATATCTATGCTTTGAACTATATATATTGCCTTCCTCATTATATACATATATTGTTTGACTTATTTAAGCCTTACTTTTTAATGTATTTTTTCTAGGGAATAAGGTATTTTTTTGTAAGTTATTATTAAAAGAAAATTCATTTTTCGTTATGCATTACGACTTTTAAATCGTGCAAAATAGCGAAAATTTTCAAAACAAACGAGAGAAAGTATTCTTAAAAATAAATTAATAAAATCAGTTCGTTGTCAACTTCGATTGACCTATCCTAAGATTTCCTTATCATTTTGGAAATAGTAACAATTTATCTCAGATAAACCGCAGTGTACTATTTACTAACAGTTTCGGTGTTTAAATAATTCATAAGAATCGTTTGTTCGAAAATATTTACTAACAAATCAGTTCGTTTTGGCTACGAAAATATTTTCCAACATGACATGCATCATTAGATAAATACTCATCAGAGAGAGAGCGCCGTGAGTCATAAACGCAATAAACATGTTTGCCATTTTCTGACAGGATCAATAGCAATCTTTAAATCCAAGGTACGTTTTAAAATTATAATCAAAGACAGAAAATACGGTCCATCTCATACTGTCAAATATTATGTTGACGGTGGAAAACAACAAATATCAATCAATTTAACGTAATAGTAATAATTGTTCTTCGCGCCGAATCAATGATATTATTAGCATGCAAAAATATATTTAACGAAAAGAAAACCTATTCTGGTTATATTTATGCTATAGTGGTCCTATCGATGTTTGTTCATCCTTGAAAGCATTATAGTTATACCTATACGGCTTATTGAATACATCTCCAAAGACTATTATTCAAATTTCTAACTATTTACCAAATAGAGAATATGCAATAATACATTCGTAATTATATATGAAAAATCACAATTCTGCAACCTTATAAATAATCGTCGAATGACGAAATCTGAGGTGCATTGTACATATCAATGATCTGCTTGAAATAATTTCCATGTTTGCACACTATTCAGATCAGATAATTGCTTTTTAATTGTTGATTTCAGTATGAGAAAAAGAATAAATTATTCGATATCAGCACAGTTTTGCGTTCTTCAAAAAGAAGTCCGACAAATCGTTTTAAGATCACAAATATTAACATACAGTTGACAATGAATCATTCTAGATCAGTAGTAAACCTGATTTCTTTTCTATTGAAAGAAATTTTATGCACAAAAAAGACTACCTTTCATTAAACGAAGCTAGAATAGACTATGTTTTTTATTCATCCATCGCACGAAATTCTAAAATTGAAAGAAAAGTTGCTTTCGTAAAATCAATATCAATAGAACTTCATCTGAGTTTAAAATATTTGACGCAAGCTCATTCTTTTCAACGATACATTTTTTTATTCATACGTGGCTAGATGTTTGATAGATTAGAAATTTATTCTATTTAATTAGCTTTATCATCGAAATGACAACGATTTATTCAATGAGTCTGATGGTTAAATAAAAAATACAAAGAAAAGAAATTACATTCGTTTAGAAGGATATCGAAACTACTACGACGACTGCATTGTAAAATAAATAAAAAGTCGAAGAAATCGATGACCTTGAGTACTTTTTTGAATGCTTATTGCAAATCACCACCACGTAAACGAAGTACAAGATGAAGTGTACTTTCCTTTTGGATGTTGTAGTCACTGAGTGTACGGCCGTCTTCAAGTTGTTTGCCGGCGAAGATAAGTCGTTGTTGGTCAGGTGGAATACCTTCTTTATCTTGAATTTTAGCTTTAACATTTTCGATGGTATCACTTGGTTCGACTTCGAGTGTGATTGTCTTGCCTGTTAATGTTTTGACGAAGATCTGCATACCACCACGTAAACGAAGTACAAGATGAAGTGTACTTTCCTTTTGAATGTTGTAGTCACTGAGTGTTCGACCATCTAGGTAAGAAAAGAAAGGTTTAATTAACAAATTGTCAACATTTAAGAGATGAAGGTTCCTATACCTTCAAGTTGTTTGCCGGCGAAGATAAGTCGTTGTTGGTCAGGTGGAATACCTTCTTTATCTTGAATTTTAGCTTTAACATTTTCGATGGTATCGCTTGGTTCAACTTCAAGCGTAATAGTTTTGCCTGTTAGTGTTTTCACGAAGATTTGCATGATTGTATTGTTTCGTACGTATTAGTAAGAAGTAAACAAAGAATAAATAACTATTGTGTTTGGCGCGACGAGAATGAAGCGTACTGAAGAAAAACTGCACTTTTATACTAATGTGTGACAATGAGTCATTGACCATCCACGTCACGAGATTGTTGACAATGACGTACCAGGGAAAATGGTGACATGTGAGTAACAATGAGAAAGAAACAAGAGCTGTTTTCAGCTTAAATGGAAGAATTGTTCATTTTTTCTTAATCGAGAATATTCTAGATGATCAAATTGCACAAGCATTCAGAAAAAATAAATAATTTCAGTAATTATTTATTTTTTCACCTAATACTACTGACATCTGTTAGTTTTTATCATATATTATTTGAGCAACTATATCGTATCTCATTTTGTTTTTTGTTTTCAGTCCGATAAATTAATTAAAATACTTAATGTAGCTCGTTTCAATGTGATCGTATTTAAGAATAAAGGATTCAAAAAAACCACAATGAAATTCTTATATCAAAACAAATTTTGAATGCATCATGAAATTTCATCATTGGAGTTGTTTATTCGTTCGTATCTATGATTAAGAAAAAAAAATTAATTGAAATAGTAATCGCTACATTGAAATAAATTAATTTTAACAGTCGAAATATTTATCAAAAAAAAAACTTTTCGAAGATTTATCAACAAATTTTTTCCATTTGAATCAACACGTATCTTAGTCGAATCTCTGCTAGGTACTCTATTGTACAACTCTGTTCTATTTAAGATTTTTTTCTATTCCCAGGAGATTCAATCCGGCCAGTGGATCTGATCGTTTCGGCATCGGATTCTATGGATTCTGTTGCTTTTCGGCCGGCTCCGTTGAATTCCGACGATTTTCTAACTAACGGATCCCGGTCCGGCTTCTGCAGGAAAAATTCCGTTAAGTTCCGCAAAATTTCGACCCGAAATTCGTCGGAAATCGACGGAATCGATCGGAGATGGTCCGACGAAATCTGGACCGGAATCCGTTAGTTACGAAATCGTCGGAATTCAGCGGAACCAATCGATTCCAACTGACCCTGGCGTACCCTGATTCTCCTGGGTTAGCATTAACCCTAACGACAACCCAGGTCATTATCGATCAGTCGGATCTTGTCGAACGGGTTATAATTCCGATGTCACATGGTGACCGGATTCGGTCGGTTAATTTCTGGCGAATTCCGATTATTTTCTTTGTATTCTTATGAAATCTGGTTACCGGACGCTCCGAGAACCGGGCAGATTTACATTACCGGAAAAGATTAGGTCAGATGGTACGATTGGGCCGTATACGACGTGATCCGGCAATACCCGGTAACAAAACTTAACCTGAATCCGCCGCGCCGCATTACGCTCGATTTCATGATAGATCCGGCTTAATCAGTATCATCGGAACACACCAGATCATATCAGAACGGAACGGTCCTACTCGCCGGATTTAGCCGGTTCCTACAACAAAGATCCGACCGAAAATATCTCCAGCTAATTATCAGATACTAAAGGAAGATCTTGTGATTCCCTCAGACTGTTAGTTAACAGCTCGTACAAGCGATGATAGGCATGAATTAAAAATTATGGTTCATCCAATAGGTTATTTATAAAAAGTCAATCCACATCAGCAACATGATTGTGTATTTGTTGATGCTGAGCGAAGTTATCTACCCGGATGACTCTCACTCAAGTCGTTTATCATAACCCCTGCTAATATAACCTGACTCCACGATCATCTCCTGGTCTAACACGAAATTCAGAGTCATTAATGATTACCCACGGCGAGATAAACTTGCTATATATGCATACTATATTGTTCGTACGTGCAACTCAACATCATTTAAAACGCCGCCCACATTTGTTTGTTCGGTCTGGTAAGACCGAAAGCATAATTTCAAATCACCAACAAACACTCTTGATGACGCTACGATGTTCGTTACACAAGTTATTAATTAATTCATATGCCATTAAACCGGTCTTGAATATAGCTCAGAATCATGTTACACGAGGAAAAAGTATCTTGCAACGCTCCAGAATGATAACCAGAACGATTCTCTACGACTTAGTGACTTTTTCGATAGGTGCAATATGATGTGTGGAGCGATATTTTGTTAATTTGAACGCAACAAGATGACTCTTTAAAGATATTTAGAATGTTATTAAGTGATGAGGAATTAAGTGTTGATGGTCCAGAATGATATTCAGATGCATTATCTATGAATGAATTAATTATTTCTATTGGTGCAAAATTGTGTGGAGCGATTTTCCCAAGAATTAAAATGCTACACGATGACCCGATAAACGGGTTTAGAATTTTGTTTAATGAATAAAAAGTATAGTCGGATGGTTCTGTATTATTGATAGCGTGTGTATTGGTGACTCAGATATTGCTCGGTTTCGGATTATTATGTTTTTCAGGGTGGTTGCTATTGGCGGAAATGCTTGTTTGGCGATCTGTTTGCGATGATGTTAGGGAATGTGTGCGATTATTCTTTGGGCGTAGTTGTGTCGATCGGTGTGCGTTTTTGGAAGACTACAGTTGATTCATCTTCTGATTGCATAATGTTTGTATGAGTGATTTTTTTCCGTTCTTATTGTCATCGGAATCTGATGGAACCCGGTGAAATATGTGGTGAAGACCTTGTGAACACGGAATCATCCGTTAGTCGGGGTCGATCACTTTCGATAATGTTTGGTTGTATTATCCGGCAGGAAAGGACCGGGCCATTTTTCTTTGAATTCAGAGAGCAGAGATTCGGGCGAAATCCCTGTCGGATTCTGGCAGATTTTAGTGGGAAATATACCTGCTTCTGGAGTGATCCGGTGCCGCGGTTCCGTGGGATTCTGGTAGGATCCGGAGGCAGGATCGAGTGACTTAGGGATTTCAAAATATTTTATTTCTTTCACTGAATTTTTCAATTATTTAATGTTAGTTTCCCTTTATTCTTTTTCATTGTTTTGTGTCTTTTTCTTCATAATAGCGAACAAGAAATGATTATGGTTATATATAGAAAAATTCAAAACTGATTTATGTATTCTTGTTTGTGTGTTCACATAACGTTTTCAAAATCAAAATTCAAAGTACTATTTAATTGATTAGTTTATTGCATCAGAATAAAAAGAACAAAATAAAGAATTTTATGAAAAGAAAAAAAATGATTCTTTATATTGAATAAGATGCATCTGACATTATCTAGAAAGATAGTAAACACGAAGTGCCAATTCACCATATAAAGGAAATGGCGAAATCTCAGGTCAAACAGTCCGGCCTGGAAACAGCTGGTTCTGTGTAGTTCAGTTGATTTGGTGGAAGCAGTATTCCGATCGGAAAATTTTCGGATTTTTTCCGGTGATTTCCGATCAATTCCTGTCGGGAAGCACCGGAACTTGGCAGGAATCCGCCGGAAAAGTTCGACCGTATTTTTTACCAGAATACTGCTTCCATGTTCCAGCGATTTCCTTGTTTTCCTGCAGGATATGGTGACTTTCCTGCATATTTCCTGGAGTATCCTACGGGATCCGGTGGCCGGAATGTTCGACCTGGGATAAGAAGAATCTAATCGTAGGCGCATGAGTAAACATTCATTACAAGGTTGCCATATATTTGTTAAGTCCATCTCGTAATGCTGTAAATAATTCATTGCAGATTGATCACGCGCCACCATAATTGTCGTTTAAATAAATCATTTCATGACGCAAGATCTATTTTAAATGATAGAAATTTGAATTTCGTATAAAGTTCATTTCCTATTAATCATTCCCAGGTCGATCAACTGGGGTCGTACGCGACCATTTGCGTCGTGCCAAAAGCGACCGTATACGGTCGCATACTGAAATATTCGACCACATTACGATCGATAGTAACCGTCTATGTTGCGTAGAAATACGGTACATGCCAAAACGTCAAATTACGGCGACTTATGGGCGGAAACGTTATAGAACGGTAGTATACGTTGCCATATGCGGCCGTTTACGATCGTATCTGGTCGTCGTAATGTTCGTCTTGAGCATATAGATTTGCTCATTCTAATAAATATATTGGTACGATTGATTTTAAGTTGAATAATTCTACTATCATGTGCATGTGGAGATGTATATTTAGATGCTGATTCATTGTAGAGACTTGAGAAAAATGGATCGGCACTCGTTTAATTTCTATTGAATTTTGCACTTCATTACAAGACATCCTAATAGGATGCCAACGCTCGCACCTATCATACCCGCAGCCAATGTTGGTATTGTTATATGCATGTAGTTTTCTAAAAACAAAAAGAATCAGAGATGAGATACTTTGTTTTACATTATTTACTTGCTTTTAAATTATCATTTGGTAGTGACGATGACGTGATTGTTTCATTCTGTAATACTTGTGGATTATCAAAATTGTTCATCGATACATACTGAAATTAGCAAAACAATAATTTTCAACGAAATTTTCATGAATTCTACGTAAATATTCCTAAAACACTAAGAATTAGACAAAATACAAAGCTACTTGAATCATTATGATATCAATTCATAAGAATAATTTTATTTAAAGGCGATATTTAAGTATTACCCATGTCCAAGAAAACGGTGCATAAATGGCCGTCAATGGCGTAAAAACGGTATAAAGAGTTGAAAAACGGCGCCGTTTTCCGTCAGCCCGGAAAACAACGGTCCGTGAAAAGAGCTGACGGGTTACGGCGAAATAAGATGAAAATGAATGCCTTATTCTATCGTTTTATAGCCGGTTCAGGTCTGTTACAATGACCATTCCGACGGACGGAGTGATCGTCTTGGGTATCTGATTAACTTGAATACCATAAATATGGGTAAGGGTATGCATTTAAATCATCTCGATAAGATGTCATTCCTGATAACTGAGGTGTGTATATGAAATGTACATATAGAAAACTTAGAACAGTTGCATCAAGTGTAGTAAAAGCCATTTCGGCAACGAGTATTAATGATTTTCGTATTGCAGCTTCGTTCCCCTTCCTCCATTATCTGTTTCTTTTGTGAATTCGAAAAGAAAGAATTGCACAACATTGAACATGACGCTGTAGCTTTTTGACCTGTTTCACTACTCGATCAGAGATTGATCGATGGTGGCTGATCATAAGTCACTTTCACAAGAAATTAAGACCAAAACCTGGCCTCAATCCAAAGTCTGTAGATAGTATGTGTATCTAAAGAGAGAGAGAGAGAGAGAGAGAGAAAGCAGAAAACGAAATACGTGAAACATTTTTAGTATGGAAGTTTTGGAAATCTCATTACATCACTAGTCGACGATCTTGACTTCGATCTATCCAGATTCTTGTTTTTCTTGAACATCAGACAAGATTCTTTTATCATTCCTTCTGTACAAGATTCTTGCCTGAAAAATGCAGATCTTGTCTTTCTGGCAAGATTCTTGTTTTATTATAATTCTTGCCATTTTCACAAAATCCTTCTAATACAAATGAATTTCATTTAGGCATCCATATGATTGCCTCCTTTCGGTACTTTTATATTTTAATTTCGAATTTAAAAAAATATACAATAACTTCATACCGCGTACAACAGAAATAAGAGAGAAGAAAATCGAGAAAAAAAATGAAAACGAAAACTAATTGAACAAAACTATCTATTTAAAAAATACATCTGTTACAGTTCGTCAGCGTCATCTTCATTATCATCTAGAAAAAAAATATATAATGTTCAAACGTCTGTATATTTATAAGTATATATACACAAGACATCACGTGATATTTTTCTTTAAGATATGATACAAATCGTTGAAAGAAAAAGAGAAAAGAAACTTGTCTGAATTTCAAGAAATTTGAAATATCTTGTAATTCTTGCCTGACTCGTATTTATCTGATCAATCAGACAAGATTGTGTTTTTCTTGAATAACAGGCAAGAGTCTTGTTTCTTTCCTTCCGCGAAGAATCTTACCTGAATATTATGATTACGAAGAATCTTGTATGATACTCAAGAAAAACAAGAATCTGGACAGAACGAAGACAAGATTGTCGACTAGTGATGATCGCTGCAGACTTCACATTTCTCAATTAAAAATATCTTACTTACATCGAAGACTTCTTCAGAAGACGTTGCACGACACATCTTTATTTGGAACGTTCACTATCACGTGCGTTCAGAGAACGATAGAAAAATGACGACAACTCAATATGAGACAGCATCATATGTACTACTGGAGTATCGTTGCATCGTGGACGACTTAACAGACTTTTTTTCTTTCTTACCATCTGAACTGTTTAACTGTCAACTGATACAAAGAACAATTAGTCTATTGTTTGGCAAAAAAAATCATTCAGAATCACCAATTGACTGCATTATCTACTGTCAATAGCAGCCTTCATTCACATTTCATATCAGAAAAAAGAAATGATATTAGAAATAGTATAAATCACATGCGTTATAAAACTATATATTTTATCTCTCTATTAAGATGAATTTCACGCGCAAGATATCACTGTACTACGAATTTTCAAGTACGTTCACATAAGTATAATACATAGGCCATCAACAAAATGTAAATGTATGTCGTAAAAAACAAATTACAATAGCGTCGTTGATTAAGCTTCAGCATTTGGATCCATCTAAAGATTTGATATGCAGACACCTATCATTGAAAACACAGCAAATCTTTTACAGAAAGAACTTTTAAAATTAAATTTCATACTAAGTATATAGGTAAGAATGCATTATGTAGTTGCACCCATAATTCATACATATATGGTAATGGATTAAATATTTGTTGATTCTTTCTACTATGAAATACTAGTCCTTGATTCACCCAGATCAATGATTCCGGAGGACGGATAAGGTAGGAACCAACCGGAAAGATGCAGAAAAATCATCGTATCTGACCGAAAGCGCTGGAAAGTGGAAGCAGTATTCCGGTAGGAAGTTACCGGATTTTTTTCCTCGAGATTCCGGTCAATTTCCTGTGCTTTCCAGCTGGAAACTGACCAGAGTCCCCAGGAAAAGATCCGGCAATTTCCGACCGGAATACTGCTTCCACCTTCCAGCACTTTCCCGTGCACACTAAATTAAAATGCGTCGGCTGTATGTGTCGTAAATTTTTGTGTCGCACTTGAATGAAAAAAATGTGTCGTATCTTTTTCGCGTTCTGTCAGTCGACTAGTCGTTCACCGTTTTGTTATGAACATACAGCGACATATAAGCAACATCATTGAACGCATAGAAGATAAGTTCTCGAAATAAAATTTTCTTTGAATTTAATTCTTGGTTACTTTATAATCAAGGAATTGCCATCCCGATCCATGATCCGGGAAGGACTACACTGGATAGTCTGATAGGAATCGGACCAATTCCAAATCAGCCAGATCTTAGGATCTGATCAGATTGAATTTTCAAAAAATAAAGAGATATATGTAATTAAATTAAAAAATATCGAAATATGCGTTTCAAAAACAACCAATGAAAATGTGTCGGATGTGTCGTGAAAAATGCGTCGTGGTCTTGCTGGGCAGAATGTGTCGCAACGAGCACCTCATGTCGTACTCGAATGTGTCGTGCTTTGTGTCGTAGTTTACGACACATCCGACACATTTTTACTTAGTGTGTGCTTTCCGGCCGTTCCCCATCGTACCTCCACGACCTGGGTACTTAAAACACTCTCTTAGACTTCGCAAACCTCTTCGATCAAAGCTTGCTGTTCCTTCGTTCAGCGTATATGAAAAATAGAATTTCACTGTCCTGAGGGATTTTGCTTCACTCAATATCACATCATATTGTTCATAAGGCGTTTACTATTTGTAAACGAACTTTCTAGTTGTAGTTACTTTTCTTTTGTAAATTGATAACTGTTTACTCAGAATTTATTGAGACTTTGCTATAATATACCTTAAACTAAAATCTTGTTTTCGTCATAAATGAACCGATGCATTCATAAAGGATTTATCGTTTTATTATCTAGGGAATATGTTGGTCTGTACAAATTTTTTTCTTTTGTGGAAGACAATAATGCTCTAGATTACATTTAAATAGAATTAAGGTACTTACAAGTGGATCGTTTCGTGCTTTGGCAAAAATGATTTTTTTTAGATACCTGAAAAAGAGACCGATAATAGGAATAAATACAAGTGCCTAGTAATGCAACTGATGTGCAGCTTTTATAATACATTTTTTCCATTCCTTCGTCGTCAGTTCTTGCAGACACAAACGAAACATTGTTTTTCACCATTATCTCGACTGTCCATTCATTTCTAGTTCTTATGAACATAAAAAAAATTAAATGATATCCTCGATATCATCATATTGTTTCGAGAAACACGGAGACATGGAGAAGAAATTTTCTCTAATACTGTCTTGATCGCAGTCGATGAACCTAGATATCATGCATACATCAATGTTTGTTCGTATATTCCCAAAAGCCACACTAGGGCATTCTTGTTTTTCTCTATTACACAGAAGCATGATCTTCATGGAAAATAATTTCATATATTCGCTTCATCTATTGTTGTAACGTATATGAAATAAATATTAACAAAATGAAAATAAAAAAGACATTTCTTTTCTGTTGTTTCATTGTAATCGATTTAACACACTTTCATTTTCAAAGTTCATAGTGTGACCTTCATACACATTATATTATTATAGTGCAGAAGATATCAACAAATGATCCGTTTCATTATGAGAGAAATTTCCTCCAATGCAGTGTTTTTTCTAATTATATTTCATCATCGATTTCGAAGAAATCCTCAGTATTCGAAAACAGAGTGATATATAAATCGCAAGCAACTGCATTGATTGATGTCATTTTGAAGTAACGTTTTTAATAGAAATCTAAAATAGGATGTAGTCATACACTCTACTTTTTCGTGTAGCGTGTAACGGTACACTTTATTTCGAAGATCAAGGGTGAAAATTTAAATTTAAACTAAAGCAAATTTACTTTAAAATAGATTCTTCTCTGCTGTTTTTCTTTTCTTTTATCGCTTTCCAAAAATGATTTCATTATCACCATGTTCATATCGAACTGTGCAGTACCGAAACTATATACTCAGTTATGTAAACATGGACGATGTTATAGCGCCTCTATCTATTTTTCTATTGGAGGAGACATGAAAATTACGTTTAATGGAAAATTCTTTCTTTCTTTTAATCATTAAAGCACAACAATTTTTGTAAAAAACATCGTGTACAGTATATACAGCCTATTTTTTTACGGTGTCAAATAGGGTGTAAATCCTATTTTATTAGGGTACCGTACATTTTGTTTTGCTGGGTACACTCTTCAATTAAAAACCCTGTTTTGAAGTTGGCACAAATTTTCTAGTAGTTAATGGTAGTATTAATATTACTATTAGTATTTACGGTTAGGCATCTTTCTGATGAAGTTTTCAAAGGGTTTTAAGGGAAAACTATGGTATTTTCTGCTCGTATCATGATTGGCGGAAAAGGCGGGCATATTCTATTGGTCGTCTGGCTAACTGTACAGCTATTCAAGATTATTTGTGAAATTAATTAACTAATCATCAGTAAAGAGGCAAAATGTCTATATCAATTTGTTGAATTTCATCCAATCCAACGTTTCCTCGCTGTTCTGTTCTATGTACAATTCTTGATCGGGCGCAGCGCAATATCGATGTATACAGATTCTTCCTTGATTCTTTTCTAGAACGATACGGAAACAGGAAACAAGGCTATTGCACATACTAGATGTTTCTCGACGATCAGAACAGAAAATATGCTACGATCGTCACTGACCTATTAAGTGTTGAACTCAGTACATCTTTCCTATACTGATTCTCTTACATCACTGATCTAGGTCTTGTTTATTTAACGTCAATGAACATATTGAATGATATAAACGTATGGTTTATATACATTTTTTTGTTGTTAAAATTTTGTAGATAGTTTGTACAAAAAAAAGGCAATGTTTTATGTTCAAATTTTTTATTTTCTGCTTGTCAAATCATTACTTGTTCACAGTGAATCATTTACATCAACAACACATTTAACTTATTTATTCAATACAGAAGTTGAATTAGCTAAACAGCTAGAATCTTATCTTCATGAAGAATATGAACGATTAGATCGTGTAGAAAAGTATTAACATCTAGTTTAGATCGAAATAACTTGATATAGAATTATATTCTTATTTTAAAAGATTTCTCAACATTATTAAAGATGAAATCCGCCAAGCACAAGGAAAAGAAGAAAATTATTTTGGTAATCCCATCAATGCATATTTATTTACTAAACATTTAACAGTTGATTGGTATGGTATCGAAGAAATTGCATCTCGTGGTAAACATATTTTATTTTAACATCTCACTTTTTCAAAATGAAAAAAAAATTCTTATTTCAGCTATATCAAAAGATATGGGTGATAATTGGGTATTTCCTGCATTTGAAGATTATACAGGTAAAGAAAAGTTTTTGTTATTTCACTATTGCTTGATATAAACTTCATAAACAGGATCAGCTATTGCTTTAATGCGTTTACAAGATACTTACAAATTGAATACAAGTGAATTGGCAAGTGGAGAAATAAGTGCAAATTTTAAATCAAGAAAATTAACTGGTCAGTAAAGAAAATAGTTTTCATTGATTTGATTTTTTAATTTACATTTTAATAGCTGTGGAATGCTATGATTTGGGACGTATTGCATATACCAATAAAGATTTTTATCATACATTAATGTGGATGCAAGAAGCTCTCGATCAACTCGAGAAAGAAGAGAATAAAACATCGGTGAATAAAGTTGATATTCTTGATCATCTTGCATATGCAACATCTCAAGTAAACAATAGAATTTTAATAAAAAATTTGTATTTATAATTTATTCTCTTTTGTAGCAAGGAAATCTTGAACATGCTCTAGCAGTAACAGAAGAAATTCTTAATATTGGTAATAGACTCGTATTTTTTTTGAATTTGTTAGCTATTCATATTCATTTGATTAGTTCCTGATCATGTTCGAGCGAGGAATAATAAAGAATATTATGAAGATCTTATTCGAAATCAAACATTGGGTAGTGATGAAGAACTTAAATTATTTCGAAGAGTAAAAAGAATTAATAATATTCAAATTAAAAATGATCGACCAAAAGATTATTTGGATGAACGTGAAGCTTATGAAGCACTTTGTCGATCAAACGGACCCGAAGTAAAATATTACACCGAAATACAAATGAAACTATATTTTGAATCTTTATTTTAGCTAAGTCCGAAAATTCGAGCGAAATTATTTTGTCACTATCGTCATAATAATCATCCATATCTTATTTTACGACCTGTTAGAGAGGAACAATTATTAAATGATCCAGCGGTTTATTTGTATCATGATATTATAAGTGACAAAGATATTGATGAAATTAAAAAACTTGCTCTACCGCGGGTATTTATTCATAAATTGAAAAAAGAAATTTTTATAGAAAATATAAACGAAAATAGATTTTGAGAAATATTTTATTAAGTCTGACTAAGTTCTCGCTTTATAGTTACAACGTGCTGTTGTGCGAGATGCGGAGACCGACACTTTTAAACCGGCTACCTACAGAATTAGTAAGAGGTATTGAAAACAATAATTTATACTAACTAATAGAGTTAATTATTTGCTGTTATATGTCTTATTCTACTAACTTGCACTTTTGTGTTTGGTTTTCCTAATATACTCAAGCAAGAGACTTAGATTTCTAGTTGAACAAGTAAACAGAGCGACTCTTTAAAGTAGTTTTTGTTATAATATTGATGTTGAGACTAACAATGTATAATTATGAAGAAGGATAATATTGCTACTATTGTTGTTAAAATTATTTGAATAGTTTTGTGTTGGAGTCAAGTCAACGATGGCTTCCAAATATTGATTCGAGTGTATTTTTTTCGAATGGCATTTGTACCTTTCTAAGGAGTTTTAAAATACTACTGTGGAAAAGTATGAATGCCGGTCGAAAAATCGATTAGTAGCTATTATCAATAGGAAACTTTCGAAATATAAGCAACAGCCAGTTTGGACTTGATTCTAATACAAGAAACAGAAATATTTTTGAAACAGAGGAAAATGTTCTTATTTTTCCTCAGAAATAAATAGCAAATCTGTCCAATATTTAGATGTATATCAGACATTGATAGTATCAAAGATCAAAATCATACGTCCCATATCGTGTTATTATATAAGATGCACAATAGTACTATACGATACTAATACATCTTAGAGTTGACATATTTCAAAGAGTATTATTTTGAGTACTTGCGAATGTAATTTATTATTCTCAGATGTTTTGTTTTTTGAGTTTCAGTTCTAGCCTTAAAATTTTCAACAGACAATTATTTCAACAACTCATAACAATAGAAAGGATAAAAAATATTGTGTTTTTATTTATAGACATAGCTAGAGCTTTATTAAGGTTTGCCATCAATACCAGTTGTTTTGACAATGCTAGATAAAAAAAAGCTAGCCTCAAATCTATAACATAAGCTTTTGTGTTTCGATATTTGATAAGATAGTAATGCCATTTTATCGGCTCAGTACATAGATAATTATTACAGCACGTACTAGATTTGCATTAATCAGTGTCTGATATATATTTATTTTGAACTTTATCTCTACTTATGATTGTAGCTGAGAAGAGCAGTTGTACAAAATCCTAAAACGGCAGAACTTGAGCCTGCCAATTATAGAGTGAGCAAAAGGTACACAAATTTATGTCTCTTATTAATATTTTTTATTGATATTCTTGCATGTTTGTTAAATTTTGTCTGTGCTATGCTAAAACTGCTTTGTTAACACAGGCTATTCAAATATTTTATTTTTTGTCTGTTAATTCCTATAGATTACTTGCATGATTTTATTCACTGTAGACTGTTAGATGAATATTTGTAGTGTTAAAATAAATATTGTTTTTTTCATGTACGCAAATATTTATAATTTTAGTGCTTGGTTAAGAAATGAGGAATCTCCAATAGTAGCTCGTTTATCTCGATTGATTGAAGCTTTGACAAATTTAAGTATGGCAACTGCTGAAGATCTTCAAGTATGAATACATTGAACAATCATAGGATTGAAGAAACATTAAAAACTTTGTTTTTTTAGGTTGCAAACTATGGTGTTGGTGGACACTATGAACCACATTTTGATTTTGCACGAGTAAGTTTATAATATTTTGAAATGAAATAAATGAATAAAATTATATTTAGAAAACAGAAAAAGATGCTTTTGCAAGTTTTGGTGCTGGTAAGTAAAACGTTTTTGTCTTTACTTGAATAAAATTAAGTTTATTTTAAGGCAATCGAATTGCTACATGGTTAACTTACGTAAGTTTTATTCGAATGGTTATTATTATCATTATTATAGTTTGAATTCCTGAATGAATGTTATAGTTCACCGACGTTGAAAAAGGTGGCGCAACAGTGTTTACTGCTCGTAATGGTTATGTGAAACCAAAAAAAGGTAGTGCCGCATTTTGGTATAATCTTCATGCATCCGGCGAAGGTAACATCTAATCTGTTTTCCGCTTACTAATTCATCTATTCCTATATTTAGGTGATTATACGACGCGGCATGCTGGTATGTAATTTATTTCTTTTTTGTCTCATATTCTTAGTAAAAAATTTTCTTTTAAAAGCTTGCCCAGTATTGATTGGTAATAAATGGGTTGGTAACAAGTGGATACATGAGCGTGGCCAAGAATTTCGTCGCCGTTGTTCAGTTGATCCAATGGCTTAGTCAAAGGAAATATTATTATGATGTCATAACAAGAATGTTTTTTCTCTATCTATTAAGTCAATAGGCATCTCTTTTTTTTTTTAACAAGAAGGATTTTCAAAATTCAATGTGCATTTAAGGGTAAAAACATATTAATGATATGAATAGCCTAGCTGTTGAAAAAAGAAGTTAGTGTTTATGTTTTGAATGGATTTCTTTTTATTACGTTTGTTTTCTTTTTATTAATTGCATGAATATTATATTGGTATTATTAGTTTTCAGTTTTTCTCTTGCAATCTATGTATGATTTATGACTTGGTTTTCCTCGTTAAATAAATTTAATTAAACCAAAATTGAAATTTAGCGTCTGTTAGAATTCAATATTCTACTAGAATATTCTACTAATATGCCTCTAGAGAATATAAAAGCTTGTATTTTTACGGCGAAAGATATTAAAAATATTTCATTATATTTTATGCTGACGACACGAATAGCATTAAAAGTGTCAGTAAAGATGACAGAATAAATAAAATTTTGGTCCAGCGATTATCATATATTATTCCACTTACTGAATAAACAATAGGAGGATGTTGCTCACCTTGTCAGAAGTATTAACAGAGCGCAACAAATTATTAATGATATAAAAATAATAAATTTCATTTGCCATTGAATACAAAAGTAGCAATATAATGATTCAAGTCGCGTTTATTTCACAATAAAATATACCCGAACGAGAAATTGGTTTATTCATAGCAAAAGAAAATTATTTATTCGTTCGCTCTACTAATGATTTTTATTTTTGAAACATTTCAATAAGAAAAAACCAACTGAACAAATTGAAAATTTCTATTCTACATAGTTCAGAGCTCACAAGAAAAAAAGATACAAAGCTCAAAAAACAAACCTTCTCTGATATATTGAACGAACGATAGTTTTCTCACAACACATATACATTAATTAAAAACAGGATTCGGCAAGTTTTGTCTTTTCTTGCACTTTGACGAAAAATCTGCATTCCATTCGCATTCATTATTCTTTTTCTTATGGAGTATTCAATTAGAATGATAATAAACTTAAAAAGACTAGTTAGAATGGCTCGAGAGCGTTTCATCACTGAAAGTTAACAATAATTTAATCGTATAAAGAGTATCAGCTTAATAATTTCAAATAATATAAACATACTGCAAATGTCATGAATAATGCGCTTTCATTAAAAAACAACATACTTTATGGCCCTTCACATATGTGCTTAATTTTGACAGATATGTCAATTGTATGAAGGACATAATTGAGTCATTGTGGTCTATCGATTGGAAAACTAGTCATGAGACAATGAGCACGTCCTATATAAACTTTCTTCGGTACACGATCGAATACCTGGATCTCATTTTATCGGTGCATTTTAAGTGAAAATAACTTGTTTACTATTGAAAAAATGTTTCTAATTTTCTATCCACTGATGAAAAACAAGTCTGTCTGAAGCTTAGCCTTATAAAAGGACATTAGAATAGACATTTAACCTTATTGTTTCAAGACCATATGTTGTTTTTTTACTTTCTGAACTGTATTTTTCGAGTATATGTTTCTATTAGAAATCTTCCGTTTATCTTATTGATTGAGAAAAAAAAATATTAACAAAAGGTTAACTGTATTCTTATAAGAGGAGAAGTTTTCTCTATAGATTATAGCTGTAGAAAATTTAGAGACCCGTTGCAACATCGAACAAGCATAAATGAGCATCGTTTCGGATATTTTGATAGGCATGTAAATAAGATTATACCGACAAGACTTAGTATAAAACAGCATAATAATTCTTGGAAAATACTAAACAATAGACAATCAAATAAAACGGGGGAAACAAATACAAAAGCGTCATTAATAAACAAAAGCATAAGCATAAAATAGAATTCGAGAACTTGAGTAAAACAGCTAAGAAAAAACAATTGATCGAATAATAATCCTAAAGATAAGCATAACAAGTACTTTGTCTATTATTCACTATAGAAACTTGAAACTAACGAAACCTAGAATACATACAAGTTTTATTTTATTTTATACTTATAATTGAGGCCACGATATTATGTTGTTGATGATGTCGATATATCATATTTACACTTGACAATGTCAAATGAAAAAAAAACATATGCTGTTGGTTTAATACGAAATACTCTTATATGAATCCTTGCTAGATTTGTTGTCTTATTTTTTTATAGCAAAATAATAATTTTAACATTTCTCTATTTGACTAATATTGGTTGCAATCATCAGTAAATATGAATATTATTTTAATAATTCTTGTCATCAGTCTAATTCCTATATCAATATTGACAAGAAACCCTAAACTCAATGCGAAGAAAAAATATTCCTAGCATTAGTGATATTCCAGTGTACTTAAATGATGATGAGATTGGACAATTTTTTCCTATTCAACTACCGTAGTGTTGAAGTAAAAGAACCTTTTTTTTTATAAAGAACTAAAATATTGGGAAATCGATCGAAATGGAATGCAAGGATGATTTCTTTCTAGGACAAATAATTGGTTTTTATCATTCTTGTACTCATAAATCGATAACAATGCACATATGTTAATTTCTCACTATATTTCATGCATAAACATAGAAATATTTCTATCATCTACGACAAATTCACATAGGAATATCATTAAAGATATAGGTTTATATATGATATCAAATATGCTTATTTCTTAGGTTCATATAGATTTTTAACTTAATATACATAAATTAGACTCAAAAAATAATATTAACTAATACTATACGAGGGATACTATCTAGCTCTAGAATAATTATAAATAAAAATACAATATTTCATGCAATTAATGCAGCAACTACTCAAAACGTATAGACATTGCCAATTTGAGAAAGTAAATATATTGACTTTTACTATCGTAATTCTATGCATACGATGAATAGATAGAAGTAATTTGTTTTTGAATAAATCAAATTGATGTGCCGACTAGATAAATATTTTGCTGCATAATAGATGAGCAACAACTAATGTTATCGCCAATCTTGATGCACTCGTCGTTTTTCATCAAGCATAGTTGTTTACTACTTGAAACAGTAACAATCTATTGTTTCATTCCAATTTATTAATGTTTATAAATTTAAGTTTAAATATCTGATAAACTAGTGCATCTAACCTTTCATTTCCTAAAAAAAGCAACAGTGAATCGAATAGCGAGATTATAATGATTGTAACACGGTAATAAAATAAAATAAAAAGATAACTGAAAAGCTAAATCATTACATCCATTTCGGATCAAAGACTAGAGGAAAAAAACGACTATTGATAGGTTCACCACGTGCTATTTTAGGTACACCATGAAAAAAGGGTTCATCAGTATTACTACGTGTGCCTTCAACAAAATAATTGAGCACTGCAGAACGACGTGGCAATGATGTTCGATTAGGATATGAGCCATGAACAGTTAGTGGATGATGAAATGAAGCATGACCTTTTCTAAGTAAGCTAGGTAATGGTTGAAACATTTTCATCTCGTCTTCATTTAAAACTTCTTTTATACTTTCCATCTTTGTAAAATCCATATTAACTACTGGCAATGGTACTTCTTTACCATTTTCAGTTCTGTGCCAAAGATGTGAACCCGGAACATAATGTACGGTTCCATTTTCTTCTGTTTGATCGTCTAATGCGATATGTACAGTAATATGTTGCATCGGTTCACTATGTGTCCAATGTGAATAATCTTGATGCCAACCGACTTGTCCACCACGATGTGCTGGTTTGGCAAAAATTTGATCATGCCAGAATTGAACTGGAACCATGAGTTGTTTCGATGGATGAAAAGCAGCAAGTAACTGAGATGCTGGCACGGTAATTGTTGGTATAAAAATTAAATCATGAAATAAAGGTGATATCCTCCAATGGCCTAACATGTGTGTAACAATATTATTTGGATCATTACTTTTATTCGAATGATATTCATATAAGAGACTTTTTTCTGGAAAATCCAAACAATGTGATTCATGGTTCCCTTCTGAATTGTCATGATTATGATTCCATAAAAGAAACTTTTTATATTCATCTATGATACGATTACATTGTTCGTCAGTTAATACACGTACTTGAGTTAAATATCCATTTGCTTTATAGAATACTATTTGATCTTCTGATAAAAAAGAACGAGAATAATCATCTGGACTTACTGGTAATTGTCCAAATAAATCACCAATTGGTTTTGATAAATATGATAAATCTGACAGATTTGTCGATTGCACCGGTCGATTCGTTGTCATAATTTGAACTGAGAGAACTAGATAAAACAAAAAAGAAAAGAAAAAGAAAGACCAGTTAATATTTCATCCAATCATTTTGTTTTAATGCTGATAGATAAATTTTAATTGAAAACAACAAAATGATATGACATTTAATTGTTGCACATTATTCACTGCAATGTTATATAATGAATAAATAAACAAGAAAAGAGAAAAAAAAGGAAAGAAGGTTCTATGAACAAATCACAGTACTTTACATTCAATAGTCTCCTTTGCGGCTTTTTTTGTTTCTTCATCTAGAGTTTTATTTGTTTATTGCCAGAATTCAGTAAACGATCAACATTACTTAAAACGGTTTTTCTTAAACCTCGTCCAGTTTGTATTGTACTTTGAGTATTTCTTGATAATGTCATATCCAGTTCATTTTCATCTGAATTATCAACAAAATGAGTATCACCATAATTTTGTATTTCATCATATTGATGTTGATTTTGATTATTATTATTATTATTAGTAGTAGTAGTAGTAGTATCCTCATCGTTATTTTCAGTATCATTACCATCATGTGCAATTAAACCACATTTATCTGTTAAATCATCATGTGATGATGATGTCGTAATACCGATTGTATTTAAAACAGTTTCAGCTGTTTTAATAGAAAAACTTTTTTGACTACTCGTTGTCAATGAATTACCAATCATGTTTGTTGAACTGAAATGATAGTAACGTGTAGAATCACCACTACGACGCGAATTATTGTTATTATTATTATTATTATTATTATTCAGATTTAATCTACGATTATGCACTGGGGAATTTTGTTCTTCACTCAAACTGCGATAAGACGAACTATATTGTTTTCGAGAAATCTTGTCAGATCCATGATTGTTTGATATTGACTGTTGTTGTAGAGGTAGTAATGGTGGTGGTGGTGGTGGTAGTGGTGAGGATAATGTTATTGGTGATACTGCTGTGTAATTTGTACTGTTTGTATAAGATCCATTTTCACATGAATGTTGTGATAAAGAATATGATGCGATACTTAAATTTGATAATGATGTACTATCTTCTGACATATTAAATAAATTTGTTAATGAATCAGACCGTTGCTTAGACATAACTGGTAAAGAATAGACGCTTCCAATTTCACTCAAATCACTTGTGGATCCGCTAAATGATACTATGAAGGATAAGAAAAGCAGGAAATTATTGGTTATTTTTAATTAAGGAGTAAAAACTAAATAGATCTAAATACTTACTTGACTGACGTGAAGATGCTGGCGTAGTATATTCCTCCATTTCGAGATAGACTGGTGAATGTGGAGGTAGAATACGACGTTGAAATTTCATCTTACTTTTCCTTTTTTTTTCTTTATCTCTTGCGTTCGCAATTATCGTTTCTTCTTTATCTGTTACTTTTGTGTTGTATGCCTTTTTGATTACGTATATATTCGTTCAGCTCACCTTCGTTATTCGGAGACGTCAAAGATTCGACCTTTTTGTTCGTTCGTTTCCTTCTTTTTTCTCCTTCTTCTTTTTTTACTAATAAAATCTAACAATATTCGTAAGATGATGGGTGCGCTTGCTGCTTTTGTTATTGTTTTTTTAGTTCGTTGTCATCGTGGTGAATGCAAATATCGACAAAGAGAGAGAGAGAGAGAGAGAGAGAGAGAGAGAGAATAAGAGAAGTAACGATGACTAAATATATAGAAAGTAAGAGAGAAGTCAAATATTTTCTTCTGACTCAAATACAACGATAATAGTGCAATATGAGAAAGACTACGTTTGGCAGATGGAAAAGACGATAAAAGAAGAGAAGAGAATGAGTTACGCACGCTAACCCCCTTTTGCGCTGTCGACCTCGTTCTTTTGACAAGGAAAAAAATTTACATACACATATGCGTTATTCAATTGCTTTTCTCTTCAAAGCATTGAAAGTTTTGTCTGAGCGTACGTCCGCTCGCAATTTATTATGATTTTTTCTTGTGTATGTCTCTCTGTTCTGTATTCGGTGTTATATGAATACAAAAATAAAAGGAGAATGGAGAATATAAATGAGCCCAAAAAGAAAAAAAGACTAGATTATTAATCAGTCAAACAGGCGAACGTTAAAATTGCACATACGTACATACAACATGCAAATGAACAAAAAGAATATAACAGAGACAAAACTTTTCTCTGTTGTTTTTTTTTCTTTTTCAAAGGAATGATAAAATTTAATCCATCAATAAAACGAACAATAAAAAATCAAAATTGAAGTCCATGCATATAAGTATATTCATTCAGTAAACCTTGGAATTATGAATCTCTGTCAATAAGCGCCGCGAATTCTACAAGAAGAATAAAAACAGTATTATTTATCATATATTACTTCGTCATTCGAATTTTCTCTAAAGAATAAAAAGCCTTATGAATATTTCATATCATACCTTCAATGCATATTTTTCCATTGCCATCTCGGTCCACTTGAGCAATCATGCGACGAATCTAAACATAATAGATTATTCATTTAAGGGCTTCATAAAAAAAATGATTAACTTCTTCATTAGAATAATTTCTTCCAAGTTTTGCTAAAATAACTTTTAACTCGTCAGCTTCAATATAACCATCACGGTTATGATCAAAACGTCGAAATGCTTCAACGATTTCTGCACGTGTAAATTTTTTGAAATAAGAATCGGCGACAACTTCAGCAAATTCCTCAAACTCAATTCGACCTTGAACAAAAATACAAACAAATCGTAGAGAAACTTCTTTTATCTTAATATCACAAACCATTCTCTAAAATAAGAGAAAACAACAATCGTAACTAGTATATTAAGTAATTATCTACGAGGCTTTTACTATCTAAATCAATTGCTGCAAACATCTGTCGTGCTTCATGATCAGAGACAGTAACACCCAAGGCTGCTAATGCTTTTTTTAATTCAGGGAGTGATAGGTCATCACTGCCGTCCGCATCGAATAAATCAAATGCTTGTCGAAGTTCTAAATAATAATAAATTCAAGCATAAAAAATAAACCTAGTCTTTAATCTGTTTTAAACTATACGTACCTTTAACTTGACTGGAAGTTAATTTCTTAATTTTTTTATTCTATAATATATCATTATACACATATATTTATATATGCAAACGTAACGGGCACTTGGTATCTGTCTATCTATACTTACGTAAGACATAACTGATTTAACCAGTAGAAGGTATCTGGAAAGAAAAGAACTGTGCAATTATATCCTTTCAAGACTTTTATGCTAGTGCGCATTTTTTTAAAGTGTAATATTTACTCAAAACACGAAAATACTCAACAATGTGAGCAGTATGCCATTTTTTCGTTCGATTCTTCTTCCTTACTTATTTACAAAAAAACCATGGCTTGGGGGAAGAAGTACATGAAAAAAATGAAGGATATACATACTGACATTTTTGTGTTGACAGAGATAAAGGGATGAGAACTCTATGGGTGTTTTCTGCTAATACAAATTAGTGAACTAACATATTATTTTCTTCTGACTCATATTTCACGAGTTTATACGGTAAAATTTCAAATATCTATAGAATGAGTTAATTCAGTTATGACTCAACTCTTCAAAAAGCCAACAGATAGTTTGATCTAGTGTCTTCTTTGATTTCTGCTACATACTTACTGAATAAATAGGTCTACAGGTAATATACTATCAACATTTGATAACTCTCAATAGTAAATATGAATATAAGTCCAAATAGTTCTATTCGATAAACGACTCTTTACAAATGTTTTACTTATTCTTGTATAAAACAAGATCAAGAATAGTATGTCTACTTCTCTTTTTGTTTTTTGTTTTGTTGCATATTCATCTATGCGACATTCTAGAAAAGCCGTTATATATAATGGCGCATAACAAATGGAGTAACTAACTATTTATTCTTTTTATTGAAGTATACTGACATTTTGTGCATATTCCTCAGAGAGAAAACCTTGCGTGATCTAAAACAAGAAAAGAATGGAATGGAAGAGCCGATAGAGACAACTTGATTATGGGCTCGAATTTTCACGTTGTAAATATGCACACCTACCTAAATTATATTGTTTATAAGAAATGTCCGCAAGAAAGTATATACAATTATCTAACTGAAATTATTTTGTTATATGTTAATTAATCTCTAAATCGACAAATATTCTATACATATAATCACCAATCAATCGTTTTTCAATGATTTTTCTTTGCATCAAATTAATCACTAAATAAATAAATATTTTTGTCATATTAAACACTTTTTTCTTTACTTATGTACGCTTCAATGAATATTAGTAATATTTTTGAAAAGTCAAAATAAAATAGATTAGTCACTTTTGTGATTCATATTGTAATGAAATACTTGTTATATTAACTATTTTCAATAAATCAATCGACCTATCTATTTCTCGATGTAGTATGACAAATAACTCATACGTACCTCATCCATCAATTTCTATAAATTCATGTAAGAAAATGATATTCACAGACAAACGTGTCACTAGCCATGTATGATCTGTCAAATGAAACATCACATAAAAGATATTTTGATTCAATGTCAGATAGATAGGACAACGTAAATTATACATATATATCCATATTTATGTGCAAATCTCTATCGTAAAGATAAATACAAATAGAAACTTCAGTTGACTCGGTGTCATTACATCGAATAAAGAGTAACAAAATGATACTTCATGGTAAAGACAAAGCTCTAGAGCAAATTCCCAAATCTTCAATTGCTTTTATTGGTAAAATATCAAATGTTCAACGTGGTATTTCATCGGTGACAATGCCACCTAGAGATCATTATAAATTACAATTTGATCGTAGAGATTTACGAACATTACGCGGCCGTGTTTATGATACAATGATTGATTTTGATTATTCTCAAGTAAATCTATTTTTTTTTCGGTTTTTATGAATTATAAATCATATTATTATTTTGATATATATTGTTTTCTAAAGATTGGAGAAGGTATCCTCCCAGCAACAAATGATATTTTTCGTGGTATCCGAAAAGCTCAAATTCAAATACCAACTGCGGGTCATACTTATGTTGCATGTCTGAATGATAATACAAAACAAATCAATTACTTAATCGAAGTCAATCGGTTTGAAGCGGACGACATAATTAAACGTTTGAGTGTCACGCCAACTGCAAATTTGAAAAAATAAGACATTGACTTTTTCTTATATCTATTTATTCATGAATAAAGAGAGTTATACAAAAAGGGAAGAAACAAAAATATTCTAATTCTGAATTTATTTGTTTGTTCATCTGACAACAGCCAAAATAATTTCTCTTGATTGTTTCGTTTAAGGGGTTTTCTTTTTTCTTTTTTCGTAAATAAATCAAAAGTGTCTGTTTTTATTTAATGGGATACCTTGCGTCTTTTATTGCTCGTTGCAGGACGCCGAGTCTTTTTCATGGTTGTTCCATGTTTTTTGGATGATGCCTTTCGTTTCGGTCGTACATCTCCATCATCGGTTAATGTTTCACTGGTATCAATATCTTCACCTTCTTCTTCTTCTTCTTCTTCTTCATCATCTTCGTCTTCATCATCCGTTTTAGCTGCACGTTTTCCGTGATTATTAATAGAAGTTTTCTTTGATTTATTATTGTTTAATGAGCTTGAGCCACGCTTTTTATTTCCATTATTCGTTTTTGAACCATATTTTTCTAAGAGTTGATCATAAAAACTTGAACTAGCACGCTGCTGCTGACGCAGTTGTATAGCACGCTCAAGACTTGCGTCATCGTTACCAATATTTAGTTCTTTCATTAGTTTTTCAGCTTCAGCTGCTTCCTTTGTCAACTATTTATATCAGTAACATAAAAAGTCATGAATAAAAAGTAATTAACAGAAAATTTTTAATTTCTTTTTACTTTTCTATGTCGTTTATTTCTTTTCGCTTTTGTTTCTTTTGTATAAGCATCAAAGGGTGGTACTTCATTGTCTTCAATCATTTGATCTATCATAGAACGTAAACGGTCTTCATCTTCAAGACATGTAAGAAGATGTCGTTCAAATATTTGATCCATATCACCAACAACTTCAACATATATTCGTTTTAAATCATTTTTTTCTTCATCCGAACCTAAAATATAAATATCCAATCATTATTCTGGAAAAAAATTCTTTTTACTCGTGCTAATCAGATTGGAAGTAATTTAAAAAACAACTTTAGCTCATAACGACCTGCTGCAAACGCAAGATGAAGGTCGTATCAGTAATTACATGCTGTTAAACATGTATTTTTTTCTTGCAATAAAGATATTGAAAAACCTCTAAAGAGTTTCTACTTCTTTGGAAATTTCACAAGGTTTTCCAAATGCTAGGATTTTCTATATTCTATTTTTTATAATTATACAAACAATATTATGTTCTGAAATGCATATATATATATATATATTGCGATCATATTTCAATCTAAATAGGAAACTTTTGTGATGTTGTGAAAATTTAGATGCCATTCAAATACAAGGAAACTATACACTTCAAGTTTTAAATTATCGATTAAGATTTTCATTAGACATGTCTATGGCCAGTCTAGAAATCTCTACAGAGTTTGATATCTAGGAATACATTTATTTACCTTTATATTTATTTTCAAATTCAACAAGATCATTTTTTGTAACTTTTCGAAACATTTTTTTACAATAATCATACCAATCATTGACTCCCATGTTTAAATCATCATCATCCATAGCACCTAGAAAATATAATATGGAAATATTTCATAAAATGAATGTGTCATTATTTTTCTAAATACCGGTATCATCATAAATTTTTCGTTTTTCTTCATCCGAAAGAGTTGCATAAACTTTACCGATGATTTGGAATTTCGTTTTCGCTTCTTCTTTTTGATCAATATCAGTTCGATCTGGATGATAACGAAGAGCTAACTGGCGATAAGCTTTTTTTACTAAAATCAAAACAGAAATTATTAGGTAAGAAATCTATTTGCATCGTTTTATTTTCTTCTAAAATTTATCATTTATGAATTAGTACGGTATAATTTTATGTATACATTTATGAAGATAATTGATTCATCATTTGAACAATCGAAGCATACCTTGAGCATCAGTAGCTGTTCGTGGAATTGAAAAGATTTCATAAAGATTAGTCGTTTGAAAATGTTGCTGACATTCTTTTGCAAGGCCACGTTGTACTGGCATTTTTATTTTACTAGACGGTTGAATAAAGAATAGAAATAAGAAATGAATGCGCGAATGTTTTATTTATATCTATATATATATATATGTATATCTATACTATGTTTTTTTCTTTTCTTTAAAGAAAATTTGACAGTTGTATATAGAATTATTATAACCAATGATTAGTTGAATATCAGCTGTGTCGAAGGTAACGAAACAGTTTTTTATTAGTGATACTATTCAACCAATCAGTTCCATCTTTCATTTAAAGAAGAAATGAAATAGTAACAAGAAAAGAGAACGTCTCTAGGCACAAATATTAAAAGAAAGTCAGGAAATAGGCTGTTCTATTTTTTGCATTGCTAATTGAACAAAATGATTTTTCAAACGACCTAAGATAAGCAAACGATCATGTCAACTGGATCGATTGGATCGACGAGTTTAATAGCTGTTGCCAGTAGTACTACAACACAATCATTAAAGCCTTCACAACAAGCATCTATTGCTGAACCATTAGTTGAAATAAAACATAATTGGTTAATAAAAAATGTTCAACATAGTAGAGATGGAGATGAATATACAAGCGAATTTTTCCCATGTACAAATTGTTCAACAAGGTAAGAATCTTTTTTTATTTGAATGAATTCTTTATACAAATATTTTTTATTTGTGATTAGTTGGATTATGCGTCTTTATCCATCCTATTGTGAACGTAACAGTATTTTTGTTAAATTTTATGTGTTTATGATTAAGGTATGTATTGAAACTTATATTTAAATGAAAAATGTTGATTACAAAAATTATTCTATTTCTAAAGCCGAAATTACGAACAATTAAAGCTGAAGTCATAGTTACATGTGAATATAATGGAGAAGAAATCTATAAATATACATGGTCAAATGCTAGTTTTTACTGTGATCCGAGTGAATCATTTGATATAAAACGTAAATAGAAAAATAATTGCCTGTAATTGAAATTATTCTTATTGATATTTTCAGGTAATTATGTTATATCTAATTTTTTGAAATCATATATATCATCGTCACGTGATCGTCTATTATCGTGTCCTTCATTAACGATAACACTTCAAATACGTCCGATGTGTGATGCATCCGGATGTGATGATTTACGTTTAATTAAAGTTCGCAATGGAAATACAATTATCGATGAACCATCATTTACTTATCAATGGGTTATCGATGATTTTAATACTAAAACAAAGGTATAAACGAAAAATTTTCATCCTTTATTAGATATGATTGTCCGTTTCGTAATAAAATACGAGGAAATTCCATCGAATGCGAGTTTTAGTAGAGTCAGCTTTGCTTTTTCTAGTATCGATGTGTCAAACAAATAATGTTTAATTATAGACTGTGATGAATAGATAAATATTTGTCAGGTCTTTCTTTATGTTTTCTGGCTTTTTTATGGTTTAATAATTTTTATTCGCGTTGATAGACGTTGCAATTTTTGATATTTATTCTCCAGGTAAACTACCAAATATTCATCGAAGCGTCTTATATTTACTATCTTATTCATATCGGAATCGTTTTATCCTTAGATGAAAGGAATGAGGACAGATTGTCGGCACATTTCTGATCTATTCATAAACAATTAGTTTTCTATTATAAATTTAATACTTTTTCTGCTGCAATAAAGTGTTTCATTTTAATGGCAAGAGAGAGAGTTTTTCTAAGTGATGAACTATTTTGTTTTTGCGTGCAGACTTCATACATCTTAAGAGACGATGAAGAAAGTTCAAAAGATGATATAGTTAAGTGCTTTTTTTCTCAGTGTTATATTCATTTTATTCGAAATTTTCACTTTTGACATGACATAAAGTGAAGAAAAACAAAACGATAGCATGCTAATTTGATATTTTCCAGACAGACTAATCGAATTGTCAATAGAATATCCTGTCAGTTTCACATGCAATAATGTTGCCTTCGTAAGATATCGAATTTCCGATAGACAGCATCATCTTTGACTTTCATGAAGTATGAGTTATGTAATGAAACTTTAATTATATTTTGTAAAGAAAACATTCTTTGATGCGAACCATTTAAGAACAAATTATTATTCAATGTTCCTATTTGAAAGCTAAATGTCCTATTGAAATAGTAGCGACCGTTCGATAGGTGTAGACTACGAAGGGAACATATTCAATTGCGTGTCTTTGTAGCTTTTTTATTCTTATGAAAGCGAAGTCTACCTTATGCATAGATTACAAACTCAACAAACAGCTTAACACGTCTCGTAGTTCGTTTGCCAGAGTCAACTAGTCTTAAGAGTAACGAAATATCATAATGATGATCGAGATACAAAGATTTCCTTATGGGCAAACTGTGATTTTTTTTAATGATATACACTGAAGATTTGGTGCAACTAGTCCGAATCAAAAGAAAGGACATAAATCACTTTAGGACTTGTTTATTCTCAGTAGACTCTACATACTGATAGCAATTTTGTTCAGAAATCTTTTAATCATATTATACAATACCCTAATGAGAATAAAATCTAATTAAACCTATTCATTCGTTTAGCTATGTTATGAAGACGAATGCCTTGAAAGTTCAATATTTACATTTGAACATAAATTAGATCGACATTATGTACATTTAAATAATTGCTTTCAATTATCATTGACACTTCAACGTGAACAAAATATGATATTAATGTTATATCTTTTAAAATTACGTATTAAAAAACATTTGCCATATAAATTTCGTATAGAATTTTTTGTTCGTGCTAATTTTTCTACACGTTTACTTAAAATGAGTGACATTGTTGATCCAATTGATGAGTATATATTTGATCCATTTACAAGTAAAGAATTAAGTGATTGTACACAACAATATAATTCTAGTCCGTGTTTGGTGTTTTTTGCACGAATTGTACTCTATGGACAAGAGAGTAATTCAAAGTTATGTTTAAATATATTAGATGAAAACTTTTTATTCAATGATCCAAAATTAAATTCATCATTAACAATAGAATTATTTCATACAGGAAAATTTTCTGATGTTACAATAAAAGTGGCGTCAAAAGAATTTAATGTTCATCGTTGTATACTTTCGATGGCGAGTGAAGTTTTTGAACGAATGTTTTTATCCGATATGATTGAAACACGTTCGAATATTATTGAAATAAATGATATATCGGATGATATATGTGAAGAAATGCTTCGTTTTATTTATTGCAATGAAATTAAACATTTAGATATCAATGCATTAGATCTTTTGTATGCCGCAGATAAATATGCTATTGAAAATTTAAAAACATTATGTATACAATCATTAATCAATACATTTACATATGAAACAACAGCTGAAATGCTTATTAGAGCTAATATTTATAATTCAAAATTACTGAAAGATAATTTACTTGTATTTATTAAAACATATAGTAAAGAAATCTTTGCGACCGAGCAATGGAAGCAATTGGAACGAGCACAGTAAGCGTTGAAGTGCGCGGGATATCTGAGAAAATCATTAGTACATTATGCTGAGGAAAAGAATATTTCTAACTCTTTCATTGCCTGAAAGTATTTTCATGTGGTGGATCATAATGAGTAGTGGTGAGTGACTTTCGATTAAATTTCTTGAGTTATGAATAGTTTACCCCACATGAACGTGGAGTTTTAGCGATGCATAGGCACAATTGGGTTTCTATTGAAAATTCTAGTTGATATGAGTCGTGTCTTAGATCGAAGTTTGATTAGCGAGATTCTCATGAATTCAATACTAATTGAAGGAGATTGACTATGATTCAGATCTAAATACTGACATTTTCTTATTACAATACCACAAGTAGTTTTCTAAATTCAATTACCGATAATCGGTGCACACTGTTATGTTCATGTCATTGAAAACACACAGAGTTCTTCCAGCTCATCTCGACCCATGAGAACGATACAAAATGTTGCTCCTGCATTAACATGACGTTTTTGCTGTAAAACAAACTTCAATAGTTACTGATATAAGCTATCTACACATTTTTTTAAAAATATAAATTCTGCTTATATACAATTCATACATTTTATTTCTAGGCCGTATCTTTTAGTTGATGTATTGCGATTTTTGGCTAATGGAACGTATTCTTAAATGCTCTTCAAAACTTCTATTGTGAGACGCCGCTATCGTTCAGATATCATTTTTTTGCTGTTTCTTTTTAATCTCGAATCACTTATTATATAGTATATTATCTTATGAATTCTGTTTTTCTTTCTTCCGTTATCTATTTATATATACTACAAATTTTTAAAATTAAGCAATCGTCTTTTTTTTCTTCTCAATTTTTTTCTGTAATATAAAATAAAAGACATCTTCTAATCTTTAGATGTCTGTCGCTGATTCATCGGTATTCAATCAAGAACAATTAATTTCTAATCTTCAACTAATTAATAGTATTGGACGATTACTTGAAATTGATGCAACACAAATCGATAATGGAGAAATATTCGTGACTAAATTATGTAAACTACAAAATACTTATTATGAAACACAAAATCGTTTAGATACATTTGATGTTATTCTACCAACAATACAACAAAATTATATTGAAATGACAAATTTGGCTAAAACACTACATGAGTAGTATAAAAATTGCAAATGATTTCTCTAGTAAAACTAAACCTTTTGTGATTGTTGTATTATTTAGAAAACAACAAAAGATAATTAATTGTCAAAATCAAAAATTCGACGAATATGAATCAGCCCGTATGACAGCAATGGCTGAAACGAAATTTGTTGAAAATAAATTACAATCATTTGATATTAATGCTAAACCACCGGTTACTCATACACAAATTGAAAAATTACAAAAAGTAATCCGGAAAATAAAAGAAGATTTGATGGAACACTTTTATGTATTTTTATTTAAGGAAATTGATAATATTCGATGTGAATATGAAATTCTTAAACAGAAAATCGCTCATTGGATGCCATGTGATGAGCCAGTAAGTTTTATAGGAAAAATTATTTTTCTTCCTTTTTTTAATAATTTTTTGTTTAATTAGACAATTGATAGTTTAACAAATAAAGTCGAAAGTGTACGAGATGAACTTGTAAGATGAGAAAATTGTCTTTACGTTTTATCACATTAAATATTCTTTTTTACTTATAGAGAGCAATCGAAGATGAAATTTCAATGTATGTTACAGATGCATTTCAAATGAATAAGATTACATCATCAGAATGAATCCATTAATTTTTTTCCCTGTTACTTTGTTATTCAATAAAACGTCAGATAATTTTTTTTGCTACAGAAATAAATAGATATATTCTTCTAGAAACTATGGATATGTTGTTAGTATTTTAGATATGCGTCATCATCAACAGTTTCATCGAAACAGCATTCAACTAAATTGAACAGTAATGACTATGAGCTTTACTCTACAGGTGGAGATGATGATCAGGTAGTTATTATTGTGAGATCGATGCATGCAGCACTAAAGCATGAGAGAGATGATGTGGGTTTGTCTTGACGTCCAGTCAAAGATACTGATTTTCCATTTGCTGCTATTGAGTGTTCCAAAGAATTTTGTTTCGGTGATTTTATGATATGGTTTCAGTAGTTACGTTAATATTGCACTGAATTTATAAATTAACATTTTCTTATTAATAACCTATGAACAATCGAGTCCATATGTTAAGAAAAATTTCCAAGTAAATAGAGCAAAAGTATTCTAATCTATTTCATAGCATATGTGCAAGTTGGCCACATCCAAATCAAATCAGTAATGCGAACACTATTTGAACTAGTAATCAATATTCGAGCGCACAAAAGCTTCTTGGGGAGAGAGACGTCAGACTAGTTCTCTATTCATACCATTCAATCGAAACAAATTTCCTTTTGTTAACATTTTGAAATAAACTCGAATTTGTTTCATGTGCCTACTCTAAACAATTCATTTAATAGACTTTAGATGCCTAGAGCACAGAATATTCTATCAGACATGCGACTTATATATGCTGAAGATTGTACCCTGAAAATTTGCTTATTGCACTTTTTTAACATATGCCTATAAATGAGTGAGAAGTATTTTGCGAAACAAAGTTCGAAACGTTGAAATAAATCAAGATAGTTCTCTCTAAGTTTGTATTTCACTGGTAAAATTCCTCACTATGAAAAGCTACATCGAATTGCGAAAAAAACATAGAGTATTTTCCTAGTCGAATTTTTATACTTAGATTGAGTAATCTTTTCATTAGTTTGCTTCGAATATGCCTTATCGAATGGTAAATACAAATATGGATTCAGTTGTTGATTATTTAAGCGATGATGAATCTGACTCTGACGTACCAGCTGGATGTGTAAGTATAAACAAAAGATTTGTCTTATTGGTAGCAGAATGTTGTTTTTTGTCTTGCTTTCGTATGTAGAATTTGGATATACCTAATCCTGTACGTGAAGTAATTTGTCAAATGCTTGACAATTATATGAATGATGATAAAACAAATACAGAAATTGAATTTCCATCATCATTATTTTGCCATGAACGGATTTTTGTTCGTCAACAAGTACAACAACGAAAGCTTGTTTGTAGAACTTTTGGGTGAATAGTAAAAAAAGATTCAGCTTGTTAATAACCTTTTCAAAAACTTGTTTAGACGTGGCGCATCTCGGGTAATCGCTATTTCAAAATCTTCGAATGAATCCGTTTCAAATAATACCACTGGTTCAACTAAACAAATAGCATTTTCATTGAATAACTCGCAATTAATGCATGATGTTAATCTCTATTTGCAATCATGTCCTATATCAGCTGGAGATAATGAGTTACTTCAAGCAAAAATACAAAAAACACCGAGTTCACTCAACGGTAAATTTTCATTTAGAAATAAACTATTTTGTACTTGAGTGTAACATATTGCTTTAGATTGGTTTTATTGCACGTTATTACGATCGGGCAATCCACTTGCTAAAACAGCAGACATAAAACCACGCATGCCAGATCAAAAATTTCTTTCTCATGAACATCTCATTCGATTATTACCTATTGATAAAACGTCAACACGTGATAATTTACTTCAGTCAATTGAAAGTAATAGTTACACGATAGAAAATATATAAAAAAATCCAACAAACTTTGCTTCTCTAGGTAATAAAATGATATTCTTAAATGGACCACCAGCGATTGGAAAATCGATTCGAGTCAGTACTGAAGAGTTTGCTTTCTATTTAAACTAGTACTTTTTGTTAATTAGGTTTGTCAATATTTAAATGATGATCATTTTGACAAACAATGGCCTATTCGTATTCTCCATAGCTGTGCAAGTAATCTTTCTGCATATGCATTGTCAACTATTCTATCATCATTCAATCAGCCAATCGATTGTTTTACATTTGAAAACATGTAAGATGCCGATAATTTCAAATATCAGAAAACTAGTTCTTTTTACGACGGCTGGACAGCACAGGTCGATCTAACTATAAAATTTTGTATCTTCAACTTCTCTTCGAATTCTGATCTTCGCGGAAGCACTCGTCAAATTATTCGAAAATATCCATGAGAGAGCTTGAGAGTTGAAATCTGATGTAGATTTGTTTTTAAAATATTGAGTATATTACGAAAGATCTACAAATCACATAGACGAGACTATCTTTGTTACAACATTTTTTTGTCTTTTTCAATAGGTCACTAACTGCTGAAGCAACATCATTGATTACCGTGACAACTCATGAATTGCTTTTACATACATTAATAGGTGGAGATCATTTATTGAAATCCTCAATAACACATTTAATTATTGATGATGTACATAAACGATCGCATACATTGGATATGTTATTAGCTTATTTAAAAGATACACAGCATAAATTTCGACATTTAAAAATAATTCTCATACAAACAACAATACACTATGATACATTGGTGAAATATTTTGGAAATGTTGCAACACATACAAGTATGTAAATACGATATATTCTATGCAATGAAATTTGCTTCTCCTTTTTTTTCGTAGTTGATATGAATGGTATTGCAACTGAAAAGATTGAAGAAATATTTCTTGATCAAATTTTATTTGATATTCAACGAATGGACCAAAGCAGATGTTTGTCGACCGGTAACAAAAAAAGTGAAAATCAATCTATAATTTACATTTCATATTGTATTTTTTAATAGCTAATTATGGAATGCAATTATTAGATCATTGGTGCCATTTAGCAGAACAATCGGCTATTCATCATCAGATATCATCCTTGATTATCCCTGAATCATGTCAAGCTATTTATTCATTATTAGTATGAATCAATTGTTTTTTTTTGTTTTTTTTTAATAAAATTATTTATGTATCTATAGGAACAAAATATGAAGCCAGAAGAAAAATATTTCAATAATTTAATCGGTCGATGTTTTACAAATGGATTAATAGAAGATTTTCAATTGATGGTGAATTTTATTATGCAACAGCCTAATCAATGTAAGGATTATCTACTGATAAAACATTTCCTTTAATTACATATCTTACTCAATTTCCTGTTTATAAAAAATGACAATAGTCTCGATACTTAACGATTAGGAATTAGAAAACTAGTCAGTTTATCAAATCATTCGCAAGATTTATCTTCATAGACCATCCAAACAACTTCATAGAATGCTTCTATACAAAACTGAATTCTAAGGCATTGACCGATAGATATGAATGCATTCATTGTGTCTTAAATCATTTAGAACACTGGATATTTGTCAACATAATATTTGACAAAAACTGAAAACGATTTTAAAAGAAGTCTTATTGCGTCTGGTTCTAGTAGGGTTATGATTATCCTGTTCATGTCTACCGATCTCCTTTCTGCTACGTTAAAATAATAGATCCGCAGATATTTTAATATGATAATGTACTTGAAATAGAAACAAAACTATAGACAACAGTTTTCGTATATGAGACTCTGATTGTTGTATAATAATTCTAATGTTATTCTATTCGTTGGTTTAAGGTAACCATCAACATCCATTAACACTGATAACTCCATTAATGTGTGCATCAATGTGGAGCTTAACAGCATTAATTCAACGTTTATTATCAACCGATAATATACTAGTTAATCTTCGTGCTATAAATAATTTTTCACCAATTGATTTTGCACGAAAATATGCAACTAATGAAACTATTGATTTACTTGAGATAAATATAACGTAAGTATTCTAAATAAACCATGATCATTGCTTTTTTTTCTAAAAATTCAATATGTATTTATCAACAGTTAATATAGCCATCGAAACGGTAAGAATAAAACGAAAAAAAAAACAAACATAATAGCTATGTTGCATGATTAGCTTAGAAAAATGCTCGACAATATGTAAAAAGAGAACATTTGATTATTGGGAATATGTGCATGTATATCAGCGTAGAAAAATTGATTGATGAATCTACAGAAATATTTATTTTGATAAATAGAAACTTATATGTATTGATAAAAAATTTCTAGACATGATCCTCTTCTTTTGGAACAACTATTAAGTTTAACAAATAATAATGCAAATTCTACAGCATTAGTGAAATATTACTTACAAACACGAAAATTCGATGATGTTATTGATTACGAATTGATTTTATCAATTATTAAATATATGTGTCAAATACAATCTGGTAAATTTAATCCTGATGCAAATGCATATCATTTTCTATTGGCCTTGTTTTATTTATTTAAGGTCATATTCTTGTATTCTTACCTGGTCCAGATGAGATATCAATATTCACTGATCTAATTTTGAGTACAAATTTTTCAAACGAGTAAAATTTCTTTTAGTTTTATTACACAATGATTGATATATAATGTTCTATGTAGATTTGCCATCGAAGTTCATGCGATTTTGAATACTACTTCATGGCCATTCATCAATAATGATCGTTCACGATTATTAGTATGTGATTATTGAAATTATTCGAATAATGATAATAAAGTATTTTCGTTTGTTTTTTTGTGTTAAAGATTCTCTGTGATGCTAGCTGTGAAACAGGTGTACCTTTTCGTAATATTTGTTGTGTTATTGATACAGGAATTACTCTTGAGGTAAATTTTAACAAACAAAATTGATATCGTTTGATTAATTTTAATGCTAAAGAAATGTTATCATACAACATCATCGAAGTTTTTACCGAAATACAATTGGATAAGTCAAACGAGTGCTACAGAAAGGAAATATCGGTACATCAATCTTGTTTTTATATGAACTTTGAATTTGAATTTACTGTTTTTTTAGGGCAAATTTAGAAGAAGGTGGTATTTGTTATCGATTATTTCCTCATTCGTTATTCGATGAAAAAATTAATGAGAATATCAATTCAGAAATGGCTCGACAACCATTACTTGTATGTAAAATAAAACATTTCTTTCCTCAGTACTGAGAAGAAAAAAAGAGAAATCAATAAGATAAATATATCATGACTGTAGAACTAGATCAAATGTCAATGACAGTTGTGTTCGTCTACAAATGAATCGAAATTATTAGTAAATAATAGAGATGAACGAGGTCGTCCAAGTCGTTAATAGAGTCAAACTAATTCAAAACATTTCAAAACTGATCGTGGCTAATTCAAACTATAATAGGATATCATTTGATACAAATTTGACATAACCATAAAAGATATCACTCCTCATGAAAAATCTTGGTGCTTATCACACCGAATTTCTCATAGGCTTTAGTAATAGTTAAAATTTCGAAAATAGCGTTTCTCACAGAAAGAAACTTATCGTTGAAATTTGTGAGACAGCTGTTTGGTGATACTCAGACATCACTTAACTCATCAGAAGGTCTAATTCATTTCAGCCTGCACAACTATGTTGAGTTCGATTGATTCCATGTGTGACCATACATATTTCATATAAAAGTGTCAATTAATGCAACTAATAGAAGATATTTCAATGGACTGGTTGACTGTTGTTTTTCTTTTCTAGGAAAATATAATGCAAGCAAAATTATTTGCCTGGACAAATTGTTCTGTTGCAGAATTTATGTTAAAATTACCATTTCCTCCCCCGTTCGCTATTGTTCGGGCTGGTATTTCTCAATTAAAAGTAAATTCTTTGTTTATTGATTTCTTCTTCAACAGACATTTTTTGGTTTAGAATCTTGATTTACTTGATAAATGGGAAGATCTCGTCGAATTAGGCGCATTTTGTTTAGCATTGCCCATTGTCAGGTTACCCTATGCAATGATGATTGTTTATGCTCACCTTTTTAAATGTCTCCGGCCAATCTTAATTATTGTATCAACACTCATCATTGGTGATCCATGTAAATAAAACTTAAACTACATAAATCTCTGCTTACTTTTGTCTTCATTGTAGTTCAATCGAAGCCGAATAATCGTTCCTCATTAGAGTTCAAAGGGCGATTAGTATCAAATAAAAATTCAGATCATTTTGTTTTTTATCAATTATATTTGGTAGGAATTCGAATGTTATGTTTACTTCTAATTAAGTCTCGGTTGTTTTTTTGTTATAGCAATGGGAACAATCAACTGATAAAAGACAATTTTGTATCAATCAAAATATAAAATATTTTCGGATGAAACAAATTGATTGTTTTAAGTAAGAAACAAATTTTGCGAAAAACTAAAAATTTTCGAAAACAAATTTTCTTAGAAAATCAATTATTGATTATTTAATTAATATAAAATTTTCAAAATTTTTCTATTCAAACAATGATGAAAATATTGATTTAAATGAAAATTCTTCATGTTGGCCACTTATGCAGGCAATACTTGTTTGTTGTTTGCCACAAAATTTAATTTCATACGATCAACAATGGTTATCAAGGTAAGACTTTTAAAAGTCAACAACGAGAAACCTTCTTTCTTTGTTTTCAAACATTAATTAGTCGCAATGAATTAGTTACTCTCGATCAATCGTCAATATTAAATCATGTTCAATGGAATGAACGCGATAAAATTCGTTTTGCTATATGTGATGACATAATACGTTCAACAAAAGGCTTATTTATTGGAAAGTATTGTACATTGATTGAAGATATTGTTTTATTATTTTTTGGAACAATTAATGATGCATTAAAATTAAATGATTATCAAATCGTTCTGTCGGATAATAATCTATTCAAATTGCGAACTAAATTAAATGCATGTATAAAACGAAAATTGCAATCACTCGGTTGTGATAACGATACAACAAATGATTATCATTCGTTTAATCTGCTGGTAAAGATTTTTTCAAATATTAATTAATAGAAAAAACAGCCAGAAAATAACAAGCCGTACAATCTGTGATAGAAGAAAAACAAAAAAAACACAAAACCCTTTTTAGTTTGTTGTGTTTGTGATATTTGTAATAATGATTCTAGTATCCGTATTCGCTCTAATTCCCTTTTTTTCTTCGTCTATGTCGAAGGTCACTTATCAAGAATAAAAATCTGTACAAAAAAAAGAATGCTTCTTTTTTTTTAAAACTATATACGAATGTTCGATCGCTTGTTTTTCTGTAGCACCAAAATAAGCAACTAATATATTTTTAAACAGAAGAAAACGAATGATCACTTGAACTGATTGTACTTGTACTTGTCAACGAATGATTGTCGATATCATTGTGAGTTGGATAGAAATCAATAAGATCTAAATCAAATGCATGATCCCAGTCTAATTCAGCTTTTCGATTACGATATTGTCCACGTTGTTTAGGTTCTCTCTGTTGGACAGAATGATAAGTCGTATCATTATCGTTATCGTCATCAACATTTAAATCATGATGCGATGAAAATAAATCGTCTTTCATTTCCATTAATGGCCGGATCGGTTGATGTTGATAAGGATAATGTATACGATCGTAATTGTTATAATATTTTTGTTGCGGTTGGCGACGTGGTGATGTATGCTGTGGATGAGTATAATATTGCTGCTGTTGATGGCGATGATTACTATTGTAGTAGACAGTTTTCTGTTGAAAAGTATAAGGTCGGTAGTTATCTTTGGAACGGCGTGTTCGCGAATTTGAATGCGACTCAGCTACTGATCGCTCTTCTGTTTCATTTTTAACTGTAACTAATAAACTCGGATATCGTGATGAACATTGTTGGCGTTGTTGTTGACCGGCCATACTCACCATTGATAGTAATAATTAGTATAGACCACTTAAAAAATTGTCCGTAATGACAAATAAATAAATAAATATATATATATATATATATATGTGTTCGTCAATGTTGAAACGTATAAAAATCTGTAATTCAAGAACAGACGTAAATGAATGAGAAAAAGTATTCTCATTTGCACGCACATACATTTTATGTGTACACAAAGAGTGAAAAAAAGATCAACCTTCATCGACCATCAAATGGGTCGTACATCTATCAATCATTAAATCGGACACACACACACACATGCATAAAGTAGTGTTTAACGTTATTTCCTTCCCTCGTCTGTATAGAGACGAAGGTATGATCCGAGCAAAAGAAAATCGTTTATTTCGGATTAACCGATTGCCGATACATTGAACAAGGTTTGATCAGTCAAATATATCATCAATAAAATGATGATAATAATAATGATGATGTGCCTCGGATATACAAGGACAATAATAATATAAACGCACGCATATACCCACACGCGCGACACTTACGTTGCTCAATTTTCAAATGAGTCCAACACTATTACGTCCATCATTTATCTGATCAGAATAGTTGTCCTGTTTAATGTGAAGATATTTTTGATCCTATTTTTTTTTGCTAGGACATCAGTTGTGGTCTATCTATCGATAATAAGACATTATACTTAGTCTAAATGTTAAAAGAAAACAGATGCTACCAAAACATAATCTTTACGAAGTGTAAGAAGTACTACAATAATATAGACGTAATTTTGTTTTTATTAACTGTGATAGAATATTTTTAGTTATGATCTATTGAGAAGAAAAAATAATAGCTATTGCTTACGATATGCATTTATTAAGTAATGGAAACCAGTAGTGTTAAATTGTGTTTTGAAAAATGAGTTGAAAGAGAATGATTAAGAGTACCATAGTGAGTTAAGTTATTACTATCATGTATAAATACATTTTTCGTTCAATTAAGTTGACTGACAGCAACATACAAAAATATAGTTTTGGCTTTCTTTTTCTTCCTCATATATCCATCGAACTTACTTTCTCTCGTTTTTATATTCATAGGTTTGCATAGCATCTGTTACTTTTTTTTCTGTATGAAGTTACACTTTTTCTTTTCTCCACGTTTTTTCTTTCTGTTTAATGCAATGAATAAAAAGAAAGAAATCAATATAAGGTGAACAAATGAACAAATTCAATAAAAGAAACATTATTTCAACTGCTTTTCCCCCTCCTTCGACACTGTTGTGTCATACATTTCAACCCAACGTAGGTATCAATCATGTATATACATATATGTATACATACATCTGTATGCTTCATTTCACGGATCTAACTAATAATGCGTTTTATCTATGTAACTAATATTTACTTGCCGCTGTTATAAACATTGATTATTGATGAGAAAATTTTTCTTCAAACATCAGTATGTACTCGTCAATTGGCAATGAATAAAAAGTTTGTATTGGCATTTATAGCCATCCAGGCAAAATGCGCATCCATACACAGCATGATGGGAATGGTAATAGTAACAGTAGTGGTAGCAAAAAAGAAAAAGAAAATAGAAAAGAGACGTGAAGCATAAGCATGTACACAATAATTAGGCAAAGCATATACAAAAAACATAAGAAAAGAAAGAATCAACAGGCGAAGATCGAAATCGATAACAAGTGACAGTTTCCGTTGTTGTCATCGCCATCATCATCATACAATGAATGTGAGGCAAAGAGAGTATTATAAAGATAATAAACTAATCGACATGTCTGTTGTGATAACTATTCGAAAATGGTATCGATATATATATAGAGGCGTGTTATTTGCTTTCTATACCATCTAAGCTGTATAATCACAGTTCTTGACTAATTATGTATTTTAGTGGTTGGTCTTATGACTATATTTTCTTTCTTTTCAATAGATAGACAGTCAACAATAATCCGAATAAGTAAATACGTGAGAAGCTATGTCAAGTATGAATAATAGTCAAAGCAAACCTATTTGGATGATTCGAAACCAAACTATGTCTATTCAATAGTGTAGTTTGTCTTTTACAAATTATATAATTATATACTATAAACTATGTACAGTCTTTTTTCTCTATAATAACACGCAATTTCGATGAATAATTGTTTAACCTATCAACTACGATTTCGAACATGAGTAAAATTTTAAAAGTTTTGTTTTCTTCGACTGATAAATTATATTTGACACAAAATAATGCAACCAGCATTCGTCATTTGTCATTTAAATGTCGTTGTTTGTATTGGAATAAGCATATGTCAGAGAATATTAATACGATAATAAAAACATATGTTCCCGTTTTACGCATTTATTTATATTGAAAATTTTCAACAAATTAAGTGCCAGTTTTTATAAATTTTTCAACAGGTGATTTCATGCTATACAGAAAGATATTCAAATTAAATATCAATCGAAATCTTCTCTTATAATCATATCTAACAATTGTTCAAACGTTAAAATGAAATCTTTCTCTTGTTGTCTACTGTTCATCAATTGTTCTTTCGTAATTAAAATAAAATTATTGTTCAGTGACAAATCCCACAGGTCTTGGAAATCGAAATGAATAAGATAACAAAATCTGGCATTCATAGAAAAAATTTCTTGTTGGCTAAAATATGAATTCAACTTCAAATTAGTTTGTGTGATTATGCCCATCGACTATTCAACCCCCCTGTAACGCCTTGATGAAGATCAGAGTCGCAACTAATAAAAATGGCAGGTGCCACAATATTGGTTATGACAGAATGACAACAACGAAAATAGAATAGTATTGAATATTGGATGAAGATCCAATTGTTTATTCAATGCACAGAAATAGTTGTGAATAAGAAGAATTCCACCAGCAAGTAGCTGACACGAGTTCGAATGATTGTAATGAACAATCAAGTTGAAAGAAAAAGGTAATACGCAATTAATCAAAAATATGATTCTTTTTGATAGAGCAGAAGAATAGTAGTATATCTCAGTGAAGAGAGATATATGAAGACGCTTGCAGAAGCTTGAAGAAGAAAAAAAGAGAAGAATAAGAATAATTATCATATCATTTTCTTGAATTCAAGCGTGAAAAACGAAAAAGTGCCAATATTGAAAATAATAAGCGCGACAAATAAGTAACAAGAGAGAACAGTACAGAGGAGAAAAAACATACATGATATAACAAACATCAAGACAAGATCAGTGATGTTGCTGCCGCCACCCCCCTCCCCTCCCCCACATGCGAGGCGCCCTCTATTGATTTAGTGAAAGTTGATTTTAAAACAATGAATTGAAAATTTTCAAATTAATTGAGTAAAAATAAACCATAAATTCTGTATCTATTTAAGAAAATGTGAATCAATCAATATGCATGGTAGTCGCATAGCAACATCCTGGTGAAAATTATGCTTGTATCAGAGTATCGTATATTTCTTGTTTTCTTTGATGAAATAGAATATTTTATTCTTTGAGAACAAAATTTGAAAAAAAACATTTGCTATCAATTTTCTTTCTTCTTTTCTTTTTGATTTAATCGTAAAGCTGTCAATTTAATATCTTCATACGACATATTTTACTGATGTACGGTCGATCAAATGTTCGACCCGGTAAAAATAATCGCTTTACGTTGTTGTCTTAACAAATATATTGATCATCGTTTTCTAATTTTTCAAAGTCGGTCGTCCAGCAGCAACGAGCAATCGTACAACAGCTCGGACGCCTGTTAACATGGGGCCAAGTAGTGGATCAATGGGGCGGTCACAGCCTGTACCACGGTATGTTTACATTATTATTTATGGATTAAATGTTAAGAAATAGGCTTATATAGAGAAACAACAAGCCGATATGAAGATGAATCACCACCACCTCGTAATGCTCCTAGGCAACAAAAACCAACAGGTGGCGGACAAGGATATGGTGAATATGATCATCTATATAAGAATGCTCCAGTAAGTCTTCGGGGAGAAAACCGAAGGACAATGTCCGTCAGACCTAATATATATAAATAGATTATTTAATTTAGCGAGCAACTGGACAACCGCCAGTGATGCCTAAATTTGCTTTATGTTATGTTTGTGGACGAAAATATGGAACACAATCAATTGAAATTCATGAACCACAATGTTTAGAAAAATGGCATTTTGAAAATGCAAAATTACCTCCAAATTTACGTCGACCTCCACCACGAAAACCTGATGTTCAAATTGGTAGTAAGTTACTAATATTATTTTTCTTTTTTGCCTCTTCTAAGTCTATTTGCTTTCTAAAACTTTGAATTGAAAAGATGGTGGTGGTAATTCACTTGATCAATTCAACGACGCAGCTTATGAAGCAGCGAAAGCTCAACTGATTCCATGTGATAATTGTGGAAGAAAATTTGCTTCCGATCGTATTCAAGTTCATCTGAGAAGTTGTAAACCAGGTCATACAGCCAGACCTATAGGCGTATGTTTTTATTTTATATTTCGAAATTTAACATTGATGTTCTACTGTGAAATTTAGCCGTCAGGTGGTGGTGGTGATCCACGAATGTCTGAACGACCTATCCAACAAAAAGGAAATGCCTATAATGGTATAGATATTTGGTTTTGTTTTTGTATTTCAAAGATTATATTTGTTCATCTTGAATATATTAATTGAATATTTAGATGATTATGATGATGTACCCAATAATTATCCAACACGGCGTGGTGGGGGTGGCGGAGGACGAGGAAACGGTGGTGGCTCTACATTTCATAATGGTGGTTCTTCGGGAAATTCTGGCCTCTATCCATGTTCAGTGTGCCATCGCAATTTTGCTAGTGATCGTATTCAACAACATGAAGCAGCATGTGTGAAAGCTAGTAAACAACGTCGTGTATTTGATTCAACTAAACAACGATTACAAGGAACAGAAGCAGCAGCTTATTTTCGTAAAGGCAAAGCACGAAATGAACCTGCTAAACCACAAGTAAACTATATTTCATAGAATTATTGGTAATGAAAATGTTTTCTTAGGCTTCTAAGTCTAATTGGAGACAAAAACATGAAGATTTTATTCGATCTATTCGCTATGCTAAACAAGCAACAAATTATGAAAAAGCAGGTATGAAAAACAAAATCATCACGTTAAATAAAAAATAATAATCAATAATGAATATGTCGTAGGAGGTCGTCTCGCTGATTTACCACCACCACCGACTTCTGTCAATCCTGATTATGTTAGATGTCCACATTGTGGACGTAACTTTGCACCAGCCGTTGCTGAACGACATATTCCAAAATGTGTTAACATTCAGAATAAACCAAGGCCACCACCAGGTAGCAATCGAATGGGAGCTCCACAACGTGTACCTGTGAGTAATACGCGTACACCTATTAATAACTACAATAATAGTTCTAATGGTTTCGGTAACAATACTGCCTATCCAGCTCCAAATAGAGCTGCACGGGGTAATCGTTATTAAATACGAAAAGGAATCTATTGTACAGAATTTCATCTTCTTTCTAATGGTTTCGTTTTTCGATTTGCTTATTTTATTAGCCTTCCTTCAGTATCTATGTGGGAAGTACTATCTTTGTTGTAACCATGTTCGTTTTCTCTGTCATGTACTACTATCGATATGATTTTAGCAGATCTCTTTCAGCAAAAACAAAAAAATCTCACGCAACAATACGAAAGCAAGTAAGACATCTACTGTTCTATTGTTCAGTTTACTTATACAGCTACCGGTTTTTTTGTCACTTTATGTTACTCTCCCTTGATTGTTGTTGAATTTTGTGATTTAACCTATGCACTATGATTTTATAGTCGGACAAGCCTTTTCTTGTTGTTGTTGTTGTTTTTTAAACTGATAATTTGGGCATTATTAGATACAGATCTTCAATTGATATTGTAATTTACATTTATCTAATAGTGTTTCTTTTTCTTTTCTCCTTATTCACAATAAAATAAAACTGCATACCTTTTATCTGTGAAACTTTAGTTTATTATAGCTATATATACGTATATATATGTATGCTTGGTATCATTAGCAATTGATAATGTTGATAGAGGCATGGGCTTTATGTTATAGAGACTGTAGCGTTAAGTTGACGTATTGAGGTTTCGATTGAAATTAGTGTATAAGTTTCAGGATGATTCGATGAGTATATGACAAAAACAATCTACGCAGGTTTACATAGGTTCTTAGCTTTATTAGGTGGAATGTTTAGTCGAGATTCAAAGAAATTATGTGGTCAAAAGTTACTTGTTTCTTTTTAATATTTGAGCGTAGGTAAGTACGCAAATTTGACACATTGTGTTGTAGTAGTCGTTACAACAAACAGTCAGTAAGTATTTGTTCATACAGAAAGCGAACGTGTCGATGCTAAATTTACTTCAGTTTATTTACAAATCTAACTCCAAAAAAAGGTGAATCTACAAGAACTGTAACGATGTAGGCAGCGATTTTCACTTGTAATTTCGTGCCTTAACCAAAAAAATAGATACTGAATATGAATAGTATCCAGGACAAGACTTCAACATTTACAAAGCATTCATTTATAAATAGAGTAATGCATTTAAAATTTTTGTATTCAAGAATATAATACAATCACTTGTTGAGACTTGCGGTAGCATCAAAAGATTGATAGGATACATTGATTTGCTAGTTAAAGCAAAAATTTTAAACATAATCAAAATCTTTAACGAAGTAAAAGGAAAATCAAAACGTAAATAATTAATATTGCTGTCAAATACAAAATAATCAAGACAAATGATTTCTCTAGTGATCAACTATTCTTGGAAAACCATCTTAACTTTGTTTTTAGAGAATCTTCACTGTGCCAATCTATTCATGCTAACGATTTCTATTCGAGTTTCATATTTAAGACTCAAAGGTCCGTACTGACAATTTTTTTAGTATGTTATTCTAGTCACATTCACACTTAATAATTATGATGGATTGATGTCTGAAAATAGAAATAAAATCTATCACAAATTTGAGATATGACAAAAGACTCATTTCTATGTCATAGAAACGGAGTCAGTAAGACACAACCTAATTAAACTACAAATAAAGCTGGAAAAAAAGAAAAGCAGATTAATAAAAACACATTCATAGTCAATCACGACAACAACTAGCTTGCCATTCACGAGAACATGCACATAGAGTTACTGTTGACTATAATGAATAGGATTTGCCTTTCGATTAAAACAAGTATGAATAAATAGACCACAAAAAAAACAAAGCGTAATCAAGTTAACCTAGTTAGCCCGGGACTCATCAGAAATATCTACTTCTGCAAGATTTTGTGATAAACAAAAAGAATCATTGATCCATTAAACAAGATATAAATTATTTTGTGTTCCATTTTTACACAAAACAAAATGACTACGAATGTTATCTGTCTCAACAGATAATCAATATGTTGACAACGCTTTTACATGTTTTATCTTGCACAGTAAAAAATAGATCTATGTTGACAAATTATATATTCTTGTCTTTTTTTCTCTGATTGAAAAGAAGAAAAAAGAACATTAAAATACTAATAATCTATCATTTCAAACAATCTTATTTTTCGTGTAATATATATATATATATATAAAGATGAAGAAGAAGACGCAGAAGGAAATACGACAATGATAAAGATGGTAACGATAGTAAATAATTAGTTTATTTAAGGTATTTGAATGTATTACGCTGCATCAAATCCATACAAGGTCCTAATAAACGTTCAAATGATTCAACTTCTAAAGAAGCTAATTTAACTTTCGGACTAGCTGCTATAATTGTTGCTGACCGAGGTTCGTGATTAAGAAGTGCTAATTCGCCAAAATAATCTCCTTTATTAATACGTTTATGGAAATTACCATTCATAAATATATCACATTCACCATCTTCAATAAAAAACATTCGGTCACCGTCGTCACCTTGTTTAATTATTATTTCATCTATATTATATTCAATTGGAATTAAAGCATCGGCAACATTTGATCGTTCATAATCGGTTAAAGATTGTAGAATAGCAAGATCACGTAAGAATTTTTCATACATTTGTCGTTTACGAAAAGCATGTTTTAAAACAAGTTTACGAAATGTTTGTCGTCCCATCACCCATAAAACACCATCTGTACTGGCAATGATTGTTGCTGAACGTGGTTGATTATACATAAGTGCTAGTTCACCGAATGAACCTGTTTGAATATATTCACCAACTTTAGATGGATGACTAAAATCTGCTTCTTTTGATACATAGATATCATAATTACCATTATCAATAACATAAAAATTATCACCGTCGTCACCTAAAACGAGAAGACACATTTTATTTTGTTAAGTTTTTTTAGAACATGAAACAGGTAATCTTGATTTACCTTGTCGAATAATAACTTCATCTTGTCGAACGGTTTTTTCCCACATTGCATTAAGCACTTGATCGATTTGTTTTGCTTCAAGTGTACGAAATAGTAAACTATTGCAAACTGCATCTTTTAAGCGTTGACGTTGTTCATGACTCTTTTGATAAGCATGAGGCTGTTCGCCATCAGAATCATTATCATCTTCGGGATTATATCGTTCCGCTGCAACGGATACTCGACGAAATTCATTTTTCTTCACATAATGGCGCTGAATAAAAGAAAAAAAGTCATTAGTATGAAAATAAACAACAACAACAAAAAGTTCCTCCCCCCCCCCTCCCCCAATCAAACCATTGACATACTCGCATTTGTTCATCATTGACCAGGTCATCAAGTGAATTTTGTTTTTCATCTTCATCTTCACTTGAGCTATCTCCATTATCTGTTGGTCCTTCTGTTGAAATTGATAATGTATGCTCATTAGAAATATATTTCGAATTATTTGCATCTACACTTGTCATTAATTTATCTTTGTCGTTTGTTGAATTATTGTTTTCTACAGTTGAACCAATTCCTAAATCACAAGATCAAGTAACAATCTTTCTATTAGTTGAACGCTTCGATCTGCGTATTTCCATAAAGATCTATCTATTCACATATATATATATATATTTTTTTTCTTTTCGTATCGATCACAATTTAGTTAGTGCAAAAAACAAGACGACTACACAACTATGGTAAATGCACAAAAAAAAGTCAATTGTATTTCTTATCTCTTTTTCGCGAACATATTTATCTAGTCTATAATAATATGAAAGCAATCTCATTTTTAGTTTCGAATCGTTTTGTTCAAATTATGATTTGATCTTTCGCGAATAACTATCAAAATACAGGGAGCACAACAACAGCAGAATAATATGGTATCTTTCCGTTATTCTTTTTCTTTTCGAATATAGTTTTACATAATGAGAAAAACTATAATTCATTCATAAGCCTCAAAGGATCGATCGAAATGAGATAGATGTCAGATGAGAAATAGAAAAGATATATTGTTTTCTTCTTCAGCGGTTCTTATATATAATAATCTCAAAGTGATCATCAGGCTATAGCGTGAAATAAGGAAAAAAAAGAAATATATATTTTATAGTCATGGCACGCAAGCATCTATTGTCTTTTTGCTATATAATTTTAAAAATCTAAAAAGTCCTTATTGCTTTTCTGATATCACAATAGAAGCAATGCGAGACATTCATTTTGACCTTGAATTTTGTTTTTCTTTGAAAATAGAAAAAGAAATCTACCAGCCAATTATTGGCGATAGTATTTAGTATGGTTTTGAATTCATACAAAATATATAGATACGCACCGGAAGTCAATTTTCTAAATGCCTACATAGAACTGATTGGATCTGATGGAAAATGTGGATTGTTGATTGTAAATTAGCAAATGAAACCTAACACTACTTGTATCCGTTTATAATATTAAGAAGAATCTAATAAATATATGTATACAACTTTTTTTTTTCTTCTTTTACTTTATTTACTTTACCGTAACGATCAAAATATTTGTCAATTCTGAACTCTGCTTTTGAGAAAAAAACATCAAAAATTTATGAAAAGAAATGTCAAAATAATGATGAGCTCTTTTTGTTTTGTATGTTAGCGAATTCTGGAACTTATAAACCTCAGGAAATACCTTAAGAGCAAAGCTCATCAACAGAATGGAAATATCTATATTGCGATTAGCAAAGTATACGGACCTGATGATGATATAACATTGCGATTGGATATTTGGTGACGTTGCGACTGTTGACTAGTAGAAGAAGGCGAAGATGAAGAAGCTGCTGTAACTGGATTGCTGCCTGTCACGAGTGGTTCTGATGGTTGCTGCTGTTGTCGTTGTAATTGCGTAAAATAATCAACGGCATGATCAATGATATCGCGTGGTTTTGTACGTAATACACTTAGTGTAAAATTTCTTAAAATATTGGGCAATTCGCTTGGAATTTCAATGTGTGTCATTAGTTAACGTGCGATCAAAGTCTGAAATAATAAAAGAAAAGAAGAAAAAACAACGAATAATGGAAATTGTTATATTGCTACTGGTAATAAAAAGAACATTTTTTATCATTATTACTATATGGCCATATTTTTTCTCTCTTTTTTTTTCGCTACATCATAGCTATCTATCGATCTTCATACATTTATATCTATATCTACCCATGTATGCACGAAGAACAGTAACGTTAGTCACTAGAGAGTGTGAATACTTGATGAAAATTAATATTAAAGCTGAAGAACATAAGTATTTTTTTACTTTTTCAACAACTCGAACGATAAAAAAAGTTCAAACACGCAGAAAAAAAGAAAAATAATAATGTCTATAATTTTAATCACAGCATGTCTTCGTAATGTCTCGAAAAAAAGCATCTATGGTGTTTTTTTAGAACAGTGTGTGCATTAAGAATAACTCCAGTTCGTTACATTTAGATGTAAAGAATACCGATGGGGGTTGAAACGTGTGTCTCTGCATTCATTTATATTCATTCATCGATCTGCTCTTTTTCTTCTGCTTCTTCTCTTTTACAAAAACGTACAAAATAAATTCTTTTTTGAATCTCATTTATAAGGCTTCTTTTCTGTTACACTGTTCCCGTTTTGATATTTTTACTAGACTCATTTTCTTCTTTCTACGAATAATTGAAGTAAAAATGTTTTATAAAAATGTGAGTAAAACAAAATATTTTTTCGAACTGATAATAATGGAGATGTGCAAAATGGCGTTATTGTTTAATTTTGTGGTCGTTGTTGTTCAATTTTCTGTCGTCTTCTCTTTTCTCTCTTCCGTTAGGCACCAAATTTTTTGATGATGCTCTTGCCTTGCTCCCATTTTTTTTTCTTTTTTTTTTTATATTGCAAGAGAGAGAGAGAGGGAGGGAGAGGGAGAGACCGGGGGTGGGGGGAGACAAAGCAAGAGCAAACAATAATCAACCGTTGACAACTTTTTCCAGTCTATAATAAAGTCAACGCCCTCTGGCTTTTCCCAAACAAAATTATCATTTGAAGACTCATCCATCTCTAGTGTTTCTATTCTATCATTTTGATTTTTTTTGTCTAGTAGAAAATATGATAAGTATTATGACTAGGGCAACCGCAAAAAGGAACAACTTCTTTTTTCTTAACTACTTTTGTTTGCCACCAAAAAAAAAAGACGAAGAAATGCGATAAAGAAAACAAAAGGAAAGATCAATTTTCTCTCACCTGTGATGTGTTCTATACATAGTCTTCAATAAACGATTAAAAAGTAGAATTGAAAGCAAAGATAAATTTAAAAAGAAAAACAAATTTTTTTTACAGTATGATTTCCTTTCGTCGTCTATACTACCACAGTTACTGTTGATACCGGATGCAAGGCATTAGAGACTTATACGATAGAACATAATTAAAGTTCTATAATGAAGATATATGTATTCTTCAATACTTCGTCAATTCCCAATAGAGATTTCAATCTAGTGGTCGCGAACTAGATGATCCAGAACTATTGTTGATAGTGAGCCAAGTGAGAATCGAGTTTTCTGTTTTTTACAGCGATTTTTTTTTCTTTTTCTCTTTGCTTTTTACAATGAATAAATGAGACACAACGAACACACACATTTCCACTAGGGAATCTGTCTTTCATCGAGAGAATAATCATGCATACCTATTTTGGACGTGTTGATGTCAACAAGAAAAGAAAATCAAAGAAAAATAGAACAAACCTATAGGAGATACACACACAAAAGCAATCAACAGTTTCCCAATAGAACTTCTGTTCTTAAAAGGCAACAGACATGTTCGAATGTTTGCTTGCTCAGAAAGATTCTGATTTTGTCGATAATCAAATAACTCAAGCATATTTGCTCGATTTCTTTTATTGATATATAGCAGAAAGATGACGATAAATGTATGTAAAATAATGAGAAGCCGGATAATGTATGCCTATATATGCTGTGATATGAGTCAATCTTGTTAATAGACAAGATAGTCGAATTTAATAGATAGCAAGTCAATAAAAGTAATATAAATATATTATAAGTAGGAAGATAGCAGCCAAAAGCATAGACAAAAACAGAAAAGAAAGTTCTACTAATAGATCCAAGGAAGCCTAAATATGATTGCTTCTATAGAATAGAACTTATTGGCTAGAAAATAGAACCAAACGAAATCACGTAGATAATTACTACCCATAGGCCTCAGTTTACTATGAGCTGTTGTGTTTATTTCGATATATTTATATATGTATATGTTCGATCGACAATGATGATGGATGGTGGATGATGGGCTATGACATTTGATTAGTGTTTGATTAAAGTTATGTATATTTTGTTTGCGTATGTATATGTTATACTACACGTTTTACTTAGAGGGAAGAGAGAGAAAACATAATAATCACTGGCTCTTTTTCTGTATGTATTCCTAGGTTAGTAATCGGGTAATAACCACGACAGACATATACAGAACTAGAAAAGATCTATGATGTATATAGCGAAGAATGAGCTCATGACAAGATAGAAGAGTAGCAGCATCGTGACTTTATTGATGCGTTCTCGTCTCTTCTTCTTCTTTTCTCTATCGTTCGTATTGTCGAAGCAGCTCATTATATTGGTGAAAAAAAGATGAAAGCCAACACAAAAAAATGAAGTAGTATTATGATCATTTGGCGTTTTCCTTTCGATACTATCGATTCGAGTGGCAATCTGCTTTGAATTTGAATGACCTTGTTTGCATATATTTTTCGCTTCGATAAAATCTCAGCATTAACAAGACTAAAAACAAGTTTCTTTGTTGAAAAAAACCTAAGCAAGAAAAGAACCATTGAATATTAATCTCAAGATTTGTTGATAATAAGAAAAGACCAAAGAAATATAGCCTATTCAAGCCGTTGAAGTGCTATCAAAAGAGTTGTTCCGCCTATCTTATGACAGCAATAAAATTTACTATTTTCTTCGAAAATAATTTTGTCTTAAAAGGAAGCCAATGGATGTATTTCATGTGTTCGCTGTCTCTTTTCTGACAAACTTAGCCTTTGTTTTTATTCATATTGTGGTTACTATTATGTGCGTCTTTGCAGTTGCTTCACTGAATGATGAGAGTGATTGTTTACTATAATATTTCTGTTTCTTTAGATTTTTTTTCTTTGATTCGATTATGTTCCTACAAAAAGCATTCTCATCAAAAATGTTTGAAAGATGAATGGAATAATGTTGATTATCTAGTTTTTTTATGGTTCACTATTTTCTTTGTAGTCATTTGTTGATTGAATTAACCAGGAAAAAAGATTCCATTGAGAAAATACCTGTTTTATTTTCTCAATGAAAATCCGCTTAGTTTCTGCTTCAATTCAGTTCTTGAAAGTCTACGTTAATTCAAAACTTTTAGTCAATTAAATGCCAACGAAAATAATCTTAATTAGATCGACTCAAACTGAATGCTGCAGCATAAAATGTGCTTTTTTTATTACTCTAATCGTATTTTATTAGATTATAAGAAAACGAAATGAGCAAGAGAATCAACTTAATCTTTCTATTATAGCTATCTATGAAGTTCGTCGTTATAATCGACATGAATTTATGATACAAGCATCAATAAAAAAGAAAAACACTTGGAGGAATACTTTAGCTTACGTCAGTTGCGAATCGGTTGATGTCACAGAAATTCAATATTAATGTTGCTACTAATGAAAATGGATATCGACTGTTCGGTGATCTTTTGAAAATTTTTATGGATTCTTACGTTCTGTTCTACTATAAAGGATTCCTTCATTTGCTATAAAGAAAAAAGAAAAAAGAAAAAAAATAGCTATTCTATTATAGAAAAAGAAAATAATAAAAGATGTGACATTAGCAGAACTTTAGATACTGAGATTAAAAATATATATTTAGATATACAAAGGCGCCATGGTTGAGTGGATATGTTATTCGGCACATATTCGCAAGGTTCTGTGTTCAAACCACAGTATCACCAATCATGAAATAACCCTGAGCAAGTTACTACCGGATGATTGTTCCGGAATCCGGAACAATCATCCGGTAGCGCATCGATTATACCATTAGTCGGTATACAGAGTCAAAACAAAAGTTCAACATAGATGTCACGACCACGTGATCCTATGATGACCGTCAACCCATAATCATTAACGGGGGAAGCGTTGGACAAATGGGGCGCAGGTACCGTCGTCTGTAAAAAAAAAAAGAAAAGAAAAAACGATAGAACCTGACTGCTTGTGGACCCTTTAGCAACCGCCCCAACGGGCGATAAGCCTATCGGAGATATTATTATTATTACTATTGTTTAGATATACATCATAGCCAATCTGATAATTAACTTTTTAAGTAGTCAACATGCACTTTATCAATGTCTTCATAATAACATGTTTTTTCTCTTTCTTCATGTTTCACTATGAAGAAGAACAAAATAGAAAAGGCACTCTTATAAATTAGAACGGAAGTGTTTTAATAATGTGATATATTACTAATGCTTTTTTCATAGAATATTGTATTAACAAAAAAACTAATAACAATATTGTTCAAGAACTATTATTTGATAGAATGAGTTAAATAATAGCCTATTTCTTATGTTTATTTGTTAAGAAAATTATATGGCACTAGAGATTGACATTAATCAATAAATTGAATCAAAGAAGTAGGATCTCTGCATTTTTCTATTAATTTTCACTTGAAAAATTCAATTATCCGAATCGATCAGTAGTACTGAATATTGCATTAGTGCAGTATAATAATATTAAGGATAAAAGTTTCGAGGCAACTGCTATGCACGCGTCGTATTTTTTTTATTTATTTATTTTTCGTACTTCTCTCCTTGGCATGTCGTTTGCAGATGACATATGGCATTGGAAGTATAGGAAACAGCTATGAAATATCAAATTATGTCTATAGTAATATTATCTGTTACGTTGTATTAGGCTAACCTGATATATAACATATCATATTTTAGTAAAGTTATTTCATGTCTTACCAATTTAATAACATTTTAAAAAACACTTGCAGTAGACATTTGTAAAATAAATAATTTCTATCATAATTGTGACTTTTCTTCATAAAAATAAATTTTGAATATTATTTTAACAGGAATCGTAATTTTAAATTCTATTCTTGTCTTTTTGTAGGAATTAGTTTTTCTTTCTCTCTCTCTCTCTCATTGTTGATTTTTCTTTCGTCCAAAATACTCACACGTATGTGAAATTAGATATTCTATTCATCATCCATTGACATTTATTCATTTCAAAAGTGCATTCTGATTTGTCTTTCAGTTAAAGTTGATGACATTTTTTTATTTATTACTAAAATAAATGAAGAGCAATTCGCAGATCTACGCTATAATACTTTTCATCATGTGACATAAACACGGCAGGGTTACAAATTTTTCCTTTTGTTAACAGAAAAAAGGGAAGCATCGAGCATTTTTCAAGATTTCTTCATTGTAAGAAAAAATGAAAAGAATATGCTTCAGATTAAAATCTCATGAAACAAATTAATCCACTTCCTTTTTTTTCAGTTGTCAGATTATATCTTAGTAACATTTGTTTTGATGTATTGTTTTCACTAGACATAGAAACGGGGTCATGAATAATATATATTTGCCGCATGATGTGTACGAACACTTGAGCGGAAAATGAATGCTAAAAATATTCGAGGTAGATGAGCTTTAGTCATGTTTTTTGTATGACAACAAACCTCAGGCGTTTGCTCTTAATCTAAATACCATTATATCGAACTAAAAACACGATTGCGTTCGTAGATAAGTAGAATCATTAATTCTTTTGTTATTATTGTTTCGTCGATGGATTGTTTAACCAAATTCATTTCAATATCGTTTATGCTATTAAACATATATATATATATATATATATATATATTGTAGCTAAACAATTAATTGTATTATCCGATTGGATCTATTCGATGAAGAATCACGTACGAATTACGAAAGAGAAATGATCTGATTTGTGCGATTTTTTTATTTTTTTTTGCAATTAACAATTGACCATTGAACTGACGTGAACAATACACACAAAATAATTCACTTCCATAGAAAATAAAAATGAAGCATTCGGTTAAGTTATTTGTAAAAAGTGCTAACAAGCTATAATCAAAAACAAGAGAAAATGATCAGATCAATAATGTATTAGAGTGAAGAAGACAAAAAAACACGACAAAATATGATAGTTATTCAATGAAAACGGTAAATAACAATAAGAAAAGAATCCGAAATGTAATGGAATCGAAGTCTTTTTCGTTGTATTTGTGTTTACTAAGCCATACGTAGTTCACGTTTTGCATAAATAAGAAATCCTTTGCTTTTTATAATTCCACGATTAGCAATAACCGAATTGTAACGAACAACTGAACATGGCTTCCAATTAAGTGAATCGTATTCGTGACAATATTCGCTTATAGTTTGTTGAAATTCTGATTCATTAATAACATCTATTAAAATAGAAATATGATGATAATGAACAAGTCATCAATTGATTTGCGAAAATTCTTACCAATGGGGTCACTATGTGTTAGCAGTTGAATATTATTCTCTTTAACATACTTATTGAGTTCTTCCGGAATCGAACAACATACGCCTAGATTGATTTGATTTGCATAAGGTTTGTGCTATAAAAAGAAAGAAGAATCATGATAACAATTTCAATTAGAATTTTAATTAGACAAGAAACAAGCTTTTAGTAAACCTTCGTGGGATAGACATGCAAAACATAATCTAAGTCTTATTCCTAATGACAGGAAGCTGATTTTATCCTATCTATGTCAACATACCATTCCTGATCATCGTTTTCATTTAATCAATAACAAAAATATAATAAGGAAGTAATGCTTTTATTTTACAAAGCTATTATTTATATACGATTTTTGTATCTATGTCAAAAATGATTGTCGGATTGAAGAAATACTGTGTTGCTAAGATATCTAGAAAGTTTCCATAGTTACATTCACTTCGATCTGTAATTTTACGTCTACTATAGCTTCAGGATATAAAATAATAAGTTATATTCTACAAACGAACACAAATTGATATGAAATATATTGATGAATTACCTTCGCACTATCACATAAGTCAGATAGTAATGGTAGCATGAAATCACAAACTCCTGCTGATAAAATTTTTTGTTTGTCTATAAAATCTTCAATAATACGCCATAATGGTATAAACTCGTTCAGTGTCAGTTGTGCACCGTAACTAGGTAATGATATCATAACACTTTCTACATAGTTTTCTTTCAATTCATTCAAAACTAAACATAACATAAAACAAAAAATCTTATTTTTCATTTTACTTAATTAATTTACATACTGACAAACCTGCATTTATTGTATGTGTTAGAATTTCAGGTTCTAATGAACGGAGAAAAACTTTTACTGAAAATTTCATGTCTTCTCTTGTCAATTGCTCATTATCAATAGAAACACCTGGTGTAGCACCACTACTTGCTGTTGAATTCTCATCATCTTGAACGGAGATCAGTTTAACGTACCTATCTTCCTATAGAGTAAATGTTTTGAAATTTGAAATTTTTTTTTTTGTTTTTATCAAAGAATTATACTTGATGTTGTTTTATGTCCATATTTGTTCTAATTGTTTGTAAAATCATTGACATATATTCAATAACCTGATAAAAAGAAAACCAATGAAATTGAAATTTCGATTTTCAGCAAAATAATTACTTCATCAGTTATAGTAGAATTTGTCTTTTTCAATACTTTAAATAATGCCAAGGTATTTCCTGTATAGAATAGAATTTCAGTGGCCTTAGGAAAAAATGGTTTAAGGATAACTTCTGATTTAGATTGAGTATCATCCTAAAATAAATTAAATTATCGGAATCTATTTTTTTTAAAGAGAAAAAAGTAGTTATTTTACTTGTGATTCGGCAGACATGAATTGTTTGGTATATGTATGGAAGAAAATAACGTTGCTGGCGAAAAGAATGAATAGGAAAAAAAGTCAAACAAATGACTTTTCTCGTTCTGAAAGTGAATAAGAAAAATAAGACGATTGAATGATAGGGCTTGCGTTTTTCCTCATTTCTATATTTATATGCCAAATCAGATCATGTGAAATACGCATATGACACAAATAATCACTAATGCTATATTCAAAATCGCAATATCATAAACACGAACACCGGAAACAGAAAAAAAAAATATCAGACTAATAGAAGAAAAAAACAAAAACAGAAAGTATTTTTTTTTGTTATTAGGTCATCAACTAATTTTTGTAAGCTGGGAGAGGATGTGCCTCCGTATTAAATACCCATTCATCATATGGAAATAAATTTTGTGTATCAAAAAGTAAATAAAGATATTTCAATGTTTCAGCAAGAAAAAAACTTTCCATTTTATCACGTGGCCGGACGTTGTCTTTATTTCGCACATCATTAATTGATGAATAACCATCAGTTTGTCGTGTATATTTTTCAAAGGACTGAAAAATATTCCAACCCCAATCTTGATATATTTTGTCATTCGTTAAAAAATACATATAATATAAAGATTCAATAAGTTCTGGTCGTAATAGATTATGTGCATCATTGTCCTGCAGGAAAAGCAAAATAAAAGAACAACGACTCAAATTAAACTTACTCGAACAGTTATGGTTTCTACATTCAATTGTGCGTCAGTATTAAAATAGGCTATTTCCGAACTAAGCCCTGTCGGTTGTTTAGCATACATTTTATAACAAGTTTTTGTTAAATCTTTGGCCATGTCAAGAAGATATGTTAAGTTACGTTGATAAGACCAACCAAGAGCCATATTACCAGCAAGAAAACAAGCCAAATGATCCTATTCAAAATGTATATTTTTATATAGGGAAGTTATTTGAAATTATTTTATTTACCATTTTTGGTGAAAATGTTGACAGGCTCATTAATTCACCTACGAAATATAGTTTTTCCGGATAAGCTAATCGCCAGAGATGTTTACGAACGCCACCTAAATGAAGTTTTAGAAAATATTATTTCTAGATCTATTCATTTCATGTGACATACCTATACATTCTATCCAATCGTCCCAAAATCTACAAAAGAAAAATTGCAATCGAAAATAGAAGCGCACTGTACTGATTATCACGTTTCTCAAGATACCAACCAAATAGCATAATTTCGATATTAGAAGGAAACTATTTACTTACACGGATCTTTGCTTTCCTGTTTGTACCCATTGCTTGAGCAAATATTCATAATAAGAATCACCACGTGCACCAAAGGACACAACACCACCTGAAAATCGACCATTTAATGGACTAATAAATATAGGTACAAGACCATCTTTTTTGGATTGATTATGTAGCACAGCTGCAGATTTATCAGCTGCATTCTAGAAGTAAAAAGAAATAAATCGAATGATTCAGCTATTGGACGCTCACTTCATATTTTTGATCACCACTAATTCGTGATAGATCACGCATTTCAAGTTGAACTGTGCCAACTTCTGATAGAGCTGAATCTGAAGTCCATCTAAAATTCAATAGGAAAAATAATATACGAAGTTTAGTTGTAATAAATCAATCTAACCGATAGCCACTAGCTGCTTTTCGTTTAAGATTAATTTCAGCTAGTGGTAAGCCTGTCGGAGTATTGAAATTGATTAAAAGCCGATCGCCTAATTCCACCTTAGGAAAAAAAGTAAAATAGTTTAGTCTCTTTCTCAGATGAATCTTACAGCACGTTTTAAAAATATTTCATCTCCTGTTAAATGATAAATACTAAGTAAGCCACCCAAAATTCGTATTGTTATTTCAAAATGTGAATTAAATTTATCAACTGAATTTGCATCACAATCAAAACTAGTTGCAATCCATTCACGAGCATCATTATATTCTAAAAATTCAAAGTTATTTCATAAAATAGAAAGACTTTATTTTAACCTTCAGTCATATTCATAATATATAATGTATCAATACAATCAACAATTGTCAAACCAATACCAAACCACATTGATGGTGTTTTTGATATTGGTAGTAATTCATCATAACCCCATGCATAAGTTCGATATGCCTTCCAAGCATGTCGCATAGCATCTCGTACAGCTATTTGATGTTCATTGATGGGATCTAAAAATACAAAAAAATTACAAAAACTATATTACTTGAAATTTGTATTCTTACTCGAAAAAATTCTCTTTTGAACTTTTACTTTATTTGATTCAATTTGCTAAATAAATTAAAGTCTTTAAATAAATTTTCTATTCAATAATTAAGTTTACTTCAATTTTTTTCCGTTGCCACGCTTGTTTGTCTTTGGCTACTTCTTGTCGATGATAGTCCTCGGGCAATTTTTTCATTTTTTCTGCACCATGTGAACGATAACCAATATAAATAAATAGGCATAGTAAAACAATACCAATAATGAATAGACGTTGTTGTCGATGTAATTGGCGCCAATACTAAATTATTTTATGGGTAGGAAAAAAAACAAGTTAGTATCAATTTATATTAAATATTGTACCCGATAGAGTGAAATAGAATATGGGGATGTATGTAATTTATCGTCAAAATTGACGACATAATGATTTGTATTTTTCATGGAATTAAAAAAGAAATTTCATTAGATTATAAATATTCGAAGATCTTTGTTTGAAGAGGATCTTCTGATAAAAACGAAATAAGATTTCTTGTAACTATTAGAAATCCAGTGTTTTTTTCTCCATCGTTTTTTGCTATGCTGCGTTTTTCGATAGTTGGATAAAGGACAACCAATTAGCAGAATATGTTTCTTTTTTTTTATAGAGAGCGCTATCATTCTTTTGTGTGTTAATTTTTCTAAGCAATAAATTATACATCAGTTAAATAATTATATTCAATGTAATTTAGAGAAAAGATCAATTATTTTGATTGGGTTTTAAAATTGCAATTTATTTTCATAGCGAAGAATGTAGCTTGAGTACTCGAATCGATTATTATCTCGATAGTCGTCATATTATGATATTCCCGTATGTTTTACCAATCATAATGCCAGGGGCATCAGTCATGATTGAAGGCAGCGGCTCATAAGCGGATTTCAGCATAGAAAAGTGTTCGGTAATATAGTTTTATTGTGGAAAATATACATTTAATAAAGAATACTTTTCAGTTTCACTGCGAACCAAATGTGGATTTTGCCGTGCATTATGCCCTTGTATTATACAGTAGGGAATAATCTCAAAAGAAAACCATATAGATTGTTTTTTTTCTATTCAATAAATTGTGCATAATTCAATTTTACGTGTACATCAAGACTCAGACTAAGTAGTCCTGATTGGATCGAGACTATTGTTTACTTCTCTTCAATGAAAAATTTCCATGATCGATCTTAGTTAAAATATCGGTTTATGCTAGATCTACCTAAGGGCAAATATAGGTGATATTGAACCAGTTCGAAGCATATTGATAAAATAAATTGTTTTTCTTTATCCGTCTGTTTCACTTGATACCAAAAGTATAGTTCGAAGTCTTATCTGTTACCAATTTAAAAAGACCTTTACCGATTCTCAAATTCACATTCTATTTATTAATCTTTCTCGTATGCACTTTTTGCTTCTCCGACCTCAGTGCTATTCAGATTTATAAAAAAAATTATTTTGCACCGTAACAAAAGAACTAATAACGCTTATGAATCTTGTTTCTTTCCATCGATGTGTTCAGTCCAATATTTTCTAAAATGCAATTTAGCGCCTGCATCATCAATTGCTTTTACATCTTCATCATTTAATTGAAAGTTTTCATCAAGTACTTTAAGAAAATCTTCAAGACGTTCACGTTTACTTGATGTTGTTATAATAATATCACCTAAATAGTAAACACTAATAATTTTTGTAAGAAACTAAATTAAACAGACCTTTTATAAGATTCCATTTAAGTAAAATTTGAGAAGGTGATCGATTATATTTTGTTGCTAATTTTTCAACTACTTCATCTACAGGTCCTCCTGGTTTATAACAAATAGGTCCAAGTGGTGAATAGGATGCAACAGCTATTTCATTTGATTTACAATAGTCAATTAATTCTCGTGATGCCTCGTACACATACGGATGAAGTTCAACTAAATATATTTTCATAGTTTCGTCATAAAAAAGAAGTATATCTAATGTATTGCGACTCACATTGATTAACAGCTGGTTTTATTTTAGGTTTTAAAGCAAGCAATTCTTCTAGATGTTGTTTTTGAAAATTACTAACACCTATAGCTTTAACTTTTCCATTTTCAACTAATTTTTCCATTTCTTTCCATGCATGTCCAAGTGAAGTTTTGTTTCGATCAAAAAATGGACCATGTATAAGCCAAAGATCAAGATAATCTAGGCCCAAACGAGATAAAACATCGAAACAAGCTTGTTCAATATTCTCAATATTCTTATAGACTTTTGATGTTATAAATAATTCATTTCGTGGTATTACTTGTGTGCGTAACGCTTCACCGATAGATGTGTCTGTTCCATACATTTCAGCCGCATCTATATGACGATAGCCAACAGAAAGAGCTTCGCGAATTGATTGTAAAAAATTTGTGTCGATAGGTTTCGAATTATCACGAGAAAACCATTTTGTTCCAGTACCATAACCAATACGTGGAATAATTGTTTTCGAAGAAACAAGTGTTACTGTTTGAGACATCTACAATTAGATATTTTAAAATAATAAAACTTTTCTTTCATCAAAAAATAAATAAACAACTATTTATTCTCGCTAATAAAAGAAAGAAATTTACGCCAACTATTTTCATATTAAGAAAATAAAAATTCGATGTCGATAGAAAATGTTTGTACTTTTACCAACAAATAAATATTATTATTTTGTTGTTTTGTGTTCTCTTTCTACTTATATACCCTTGCGTTCGGTTCGCTACTTGTAGAACAAAAAATTATGCGTCATTCTTACAAGACTATGACAGGTAGTTACACATTTGGAACATTTTCCCGTCAGCGTTTTAGATTATGTTATTTTTTGGTGTTTTGTGATGGTGCTCCTACTGACGTTAGTTCAGCAACAAAAGATGTTACATTTGATAACAAAGCATTCATATAGTTCGTCGCGTACGCATGCAAATTTTGTTGAGATAAAGTAAAATTTGATGTAGCGCGATGATGAGCACAATGTCAATTTTGAATGAATTAAAATTTCAATTATTCGGTTTTCTTCTTATTTTCCATGTTGTGATAGTTTACTAAGCTATCATACTAGTAGAGATCCTATTACAAGTTTTAAAAATCTTACCAGCTGAGTTTGTGCTTCCGTCACGAAATTGGACAGTTGTATTGTCTTTGAAAAAATATACTTTGATTAGTTGATTTTCAAGTTCAACACAAAGATTTGACTTGAATAGAACAGAACCTTCGCATAAACGAAGTTGTATAACCTGGATCTTGAGCTTTTGTTATATGTTCGTTATGGGTTGCATCCGTATCTGGATTTATTCATTAAATGGAGTGTTTAGCTTAATTCTACTGCAACTAGATCCATGAAACTAAATATGAAATATCTAGTTGAGATGCGATTCTTGTTTTCTCAATCGAAGGAGAAGGAATACGAGTAATCCTTAAAATTACTTTAAACTTTGAAAAATTAGATTCTTTTCAGTATTCACGTACACGTGCCATTAAGGGTCAGATATCAATAATCAGTTTTAATTTCTGATTTTCGCTTCGTAACGGAAAGAAAAGTCTTGTTGTTAACTTTGCCCCATAGTCAATATAAATTAATTATTTCATAAATGATATTTTCTCGTTGATATGTATTGTTTTCTATAAAAAAAACATTTCAGAAAAAATCTTTTCATTAAAATGAATAATAGTGCTATATCAGCTGCAAGATTGGTGAATGTTTTTGTACGAAATCATAAAATAATACAGTTGAATCAATTTCTGCTCTAAAATTTATCGTTACATAGCTTTAGATATTACAATTTTGAATCGGAGAATTATACGAAAACTATTTGCAAGTGAAATCTAACGGTAGGGCCAATTAATCTTAGGATCAAGTGTGATTATAAAAAACAAACTTTGACATCTATTGAATATATATTTGACATAACTATGAGTTGTTAATTCTGGATGTGGGGTGTTCATGTCGCGTGTATGCGGGAGTGTTTATGTGATGAACTATTCTTTTGGATTTCATCAAACCCACATCCGACTCAAAGCTACATACCCACCCATCAATACTCACACCGGAAGCCGAAACGGCACACTCACACCCATGTCTCAACCACATCCACACTCATACCCACACGCACATTCGCATCTGCTCACCCACACCCACACCACTAAGTATTTTCCTTCACTCTCTTTCATCTTCACCGTTTTATTTTTCTTATTCATTTATTTCAAGGTATAGAGAAAGAAGCGAACAAAGAAAAAATAATTCACAAATCTTATTCGATAGAAAACCGTTGAGCACGAGCATTATTCTTATCGATGACATAGAGATTACCATGTCGATCGAAAGACAAACAACGGAGGCAGTTGAACTGATTTGCTCCTGTTCCTTCACCATTTCCACCTACAATTACAGTGCCTTGTTGTTGGTCTCCTTGAATCCAGCGCAGTACACGATCATTCCCCCCAGTCTGCTACATAGAGCGTACCCAAAGTATCAACGAAGAGTCCTTGAGGATAAGACAATTGTGTCAAAGCAGCCCCTTTACCTTGACCTCCAGCAATCACAATACCTTCTTTTGCACCTTTAGTCCATTTCATTACACGATGATTGCTGTTGTCTGACACGTAGACATTCTGTTGTCGATCAAGAAAGAGATATCTCGGCTCGTTGAGTTGATTGAGATCAGCACCCTTGCCATTACCACCAGCTACGAGGGTGCCATTCTTCTCACCTAGTTGATATCGTCTTACTTCATGTTTTCCTTCGTCAGAGACATAGAGATATCTCTGTGCATCCATTGCTAATCCATAACATTGGATGCTGTCGATAAGGATTTCACCTTGTTCTGTACCACTACGGCAAGACCATCGTACAACTCTGCCATTCATTCAATCACAAATAATGAGGCTGTCCGTCTCTTTGTCAATTAATACATCTGTTGGTCGATCCAATTGATGCAATCCATTTCCTCGGCCATTGCCACCAGCAACAACTTGTCCACTCGTTGTATCATCGCTCTTCCATTTGATGATACGATGATTCTCGTTGTCAGCAATAAACACTGTTTTATCGTCATCAACGAAGAGACCACGAAGGTGGTAGAGTTGATTAGTGGCATCACCACACCCGTGACCTCCAGCAATAGTCACACCTAGCTGTGCCCATGTGGCATTAGCAGGAATATTAACTAGAAGAGAGAAAATGTAAAATCAAAGGAGTTTTCTCTTCCCCCCCTCTCTCTCTCTCGCTGAAGTGATAGTATTAATTGGAAAAGAAGACATGGAATGTAGTGTGAAAAGAACCAGTCTCTCTCAAGATCGTGAGTACTCTTAGGTTATCAAGTAGTATATGAGTGACATCATCATCATAATTTCGAAAGTATCGAGCAAAAATTCTTTGAATAGATCATTTTTTTAGAAATTCAAGAAGATTCAACCCCCAAATGACTTCTCTAGCAAAAGGAAATTATACCGAACTTAAATGTTTTTCCTATACTGAAAGATTCTTTTGAAAAGAAATTCTCCTGAGAATGATAACTCTATAATGAGAAGAGTTTTTTTGTCGAAGATTCGATAAAAATGAAAAATTAATATTACGATCTATCCACGTAATAGTCCACGTTTGTGAGCAAAGTTAAGCTACAAAATTGAATTCAATAAATGTAACCATCTTGTAGAGCCTTGTGGATAGTAGATAAAAGTGTAGTTTTTATCTAAGAAGCTCAGCAGTGTCCAAGTTCCCAGGAGTCGGGAATTCGTTGGGAATTAGGAACTCAAAAATGAATGGACTGGAATAAGTGTTGATGGGGTGTGGGGTGTGGGGTGTGGGTGTGGGTGTCTTCTACTACCTTCCTTGATACATACACTTACACTGTATCGTGGGTTCCTTGGAGTCCCTGAGTTTCTTGGTTTCACATCGCTCGTTGTCGCTTTTTTTTTGAGTTCCCAATTCCCGAAGAGTTCCCGACTCCTGGAAACTTGGCCACGCCTCTTTCTCTACTCCAGTTTCTTTCTATTATTTGTGACCTTACCTCCGGCTTCAAAATAGATTTTGCTGATAAATTCTGTAGAGCCTTGTCGAACGGTAAAATAAGGTGGATCGTTCAATATTGCTTCTAGTCTTTGTAGTTCTTTTGGCCAATTGTTTATGTCAGTGTCCACGAACTCATCATTATCAGGATTTTGATGAACTTTATCATTTAAAGTTGACAATTGCATTTTTACTCGTGGAATAAAATTTTTGACATAAGGGATCAATCCCTCTCTAGTTTCTTGTGCCAGTTGTCTAATCTTTTCAATCGATTTCGTTTCCCATTCGTCAATAGTTTTCATTAATGCGTGCTTTTGTGGATCCTTTGTTTCTATTTCGATTTCTTCGAGAAATTTATTACATTTATCAGTCAGTTTCTCCAAAGTTATATTCAGCGTACCACGATGTTCCTTGTGATGTGAGCTACAATAGAAAAAATCTGGACATCCCAAGCACGCCATTGTCGCTCTTCTTTTACAATCTTTGGTGCAACAACACTGATTGATTGACGTTGCCATGACCTGAATAGTTACAAGAATAAAAAGACACTGGTGAATGAAACGAAAATAAGAAAAAAAGGGTACGTTTTATGCTACGCAAATAAGTGATTCGTGTAGGAGAATTAGTTGAAAAAGTTATCCAAAATATGACTCAGGAGAAAGATAAGTTTGATAAAGTAACCTGCTTGCAGATGAGAATTTAACTACTTAGTAAAGTAAAAGATCAAACATTTCTGTTATGTTCAACCTCCCATAGGTATCTTTGTATCATGCTCAGAAGTTTCTTCAGTTATATTTTATTCTTACAATTTTTAATCCGTAAAGCATTTTTGCAAGTTAAAAGCATCAGTAAATTCGAAGATAAGCTGTTTAAAAAAATGTTTTAAATTTTCGTTTCTTTCGTTTTCAGCAGGGAAACATCGATTTTTGCCTCTTTCTGTTCTTGTTTGCTGTTTTCTTCAAATTCTTTTCAAAGAAGTATTCTGTTGATAAGCATCTAGTATATCAATAGGGAAACATGTATGGATGTCATAGACGACAAACAATGATAAAAAGTAATAAAAAAACTTCAGATTCTCTAAAGAAATTCTTTTCATATGAAATAGAGAAATCTTGAAGGTGGTGAATAAGCTTTTCATTCCAGGTCAAATACTTAAGGCGGGAAACAGTCTGATCTGGTGATTTTCCATCAAATTCCGAAAACTGTATCCCTAAAAGGTTTCCAGTCTCTGTTTCCAGGGTGTTTCCAGCTAATTCCTGGTTCCGGAAGCGATAAACGGATACGGTTTCAGTTTACAGCAGGATTCCAGATTACATTTCCGATGGTGCCCTTTTGACGACTGAAAATAAAGAAATAGGAATCGTTTCCGATCTAGATCAGTAGCCAGGGCCTGACCGTTTTCAATCAGGGCATGGAATCCGGATCGCGCCGTTTGATCAACCGGATCCAGCGGTTAGGAACTATTCGATGCTTGCTCTTTCTAATTAAAACAAAATTATGAATTTCAAGGATAAGTACATCTTTTTTATTGGAAGTACGAATCTGAAGAATTACTACTTAGAGTTGCATTGCAACTAACTTTCCAAAAAGCATTACAGATAGTCTAGTAAACATCATTTTTAAATTGAAATCAACAGATTAATGAATTTAACTGAATCGTATTGCCGATTCTGTCGCATCAAATCTTCACGATATATTGTTAATCTAACCAATTTCGATTAATATCATATACATAGTGTAATACCAATTGCTTTTGACATAAACCCCATTTAAATTCGATTACGAATCACTATCATTTGCCACAAATTGAAATCCCTAGATACATCACTACATCATATCCAGACTTGTCTTGTGGAGAATAAAATAAATATGACCGATTCCGGTGAACAAATAGCAAGTTTGATTTAGGGACTTTTTAAATTTAGGGATTTTTTTTCAATATACGACATGGCTTATAAATCATAATTAAGCACCATCTACAACCGAAAATATTTTACCATTGAAACTAAGTACTTTAGCGCTAAACATAGTATGGGTAAGTACGTTCTAGTTACCAGAATTGTACATATTCAATATTTATTAGAATCATTTCGAGAATTAGTGCTGCTTATCAGAAAATCGGAGAGCTGATTCTGGTCACCAGTGTTACCAATACCCAGTATACTGGTACAGATGTATCCCTAGCTGAGACCCTGTTCGGTTGTGACTTGAACAGCATATTGTGCATAAAGAAATCGCTAAATTGAAAAATTCTCAAGTCAAAATCCCTAATTGGTCATCAGAATAGGTCATATTTGTTTTATTCTTCACAAGTGGGAATATGATGCAAAGATGTATCTGGGGATTTCAATTTGTGGCAAATGATAACCAACCGACTTTCTGTAATGCTTTTTGGAAAGTAAGTTTTAATCCAACTCTAAGCAGTAATTCTGCAGATTCGTAATTACTTCCAATAAGAAATATGTATTTATCCTTGAAATTCACAATTTTGTTTCAATTAGAAAGCACAAGCATCGAATGGTTCCTAATCGCTGGATCCGGTTGATCGAACGGCGCGATCCGAATTCCACACCCAGATTGAAAACTGTCAGATCCTGGCTATGTATCTAGATCGGAAACCGTATCCGCTAATCGCCTCCGGAACTCGATCGAAAATCGCTGGGATCAGACAACTTCCTGCCGTACGTATTTAACCTGGGTATATCCAGAGTGTAACAACTTCACGCATAACACACGTATTTAAAGGGAAGAGATACGAGAGAGAGAGAAAAGAGATATATTAGAACAATGGAAAGAGAACAGAAAGAGAAGAAGTGGAAATCATTGAAGCGTGCCATCAATGTCGGCACAGTATTTTTTTGGCACAAAATCAACAATGTCCTTGAAAGACTTTTCTTTCAAAGTGAAAAAAAAGAAGAAAAATCAACAACTAATTGATAAAGTTCGAGAAGACAACGAAGATGACGAAGAAAAAATGAGGGATTCTGAACAATCAGGCGATGATAATGCTATGGATTTACAGCAAAATCCACCAACTAATCAAAGACGAGAACATCATTAACAAAAAATGATTAATACCATGTCAAACACAGTGTCAGATAAAGTGAATCATTTGGCCATATTGAAGTCAGATGTTCCACCTAAACCAAAACGCATAATTACTTTAATTGCTTCTGGGAAAAAATTAGTAAAATATGAAAAACTAGAATATATTCCATAGTAGTTCTTAGACCATCAAGTTTCAAGATAAAACGATTGTCTTTTTCTGTGCTTTAGATAAATCTTAATCAAGCCCTCGAAGATAGGAAGTCTTCACGACTAGTGCAAAGCAACATGGTTTGATGGCTATCGATGTCCAACTGTCTTGAAGCTTTATTTATATCGTATCTTCCATTAAATGAAATATTTGACGAACATCAATTGGATAAAAGTCGCCAGGAAAAAATGAACATTTTTTTATCAGAAAAATCATGGAATTTTTGAAATCATGGCAACCATGGAAACACATCTCAACACGACTACAAACAACAAATGCGGGATCGATTGATATAGTTATACCTGGTATTGAAAGTGTAACAGCAAGTTTAGAATGAACGTCAAATAAAAGAGGTAAGAATTATTAATATTTCTGATTTTCGCTGAACTATGATAGGTAATTCATTTTTCACTATAGATATACTGTTTTTTCGACCACGTGCGAAAATATTGATGGAAGTTATGTTTGGTTATCATCCCATTCATTTTATGACTTTCTTTTTCAATCCAAGAACTAGAAAGATGCAACAGTATACAAGTGATGAAAGAAATTCATGTTTAGAATACATAAAACAAGAGATGATTATATTTGCTACTATATCTGATAATGATACACAATCAAAAGATAATAACAATATTAAATCGACAGAAAGACGACCTGGTGAAGTGAATCAAGCTCTTCGAATAATACAACAATATTATGAAGAAGAAGAATAAAAAGATGAACAGGATGATTTACCAACAACAACTACAGCAATTCATCAAACGAAAATCGATAACTATTTAAAATTTGGAGTCGATAAATAAAATGAACCATGCTACTCAAATACTTCTTTGTGTGATCAAGAATATAATTTATTACATTTCTGAAAACGTAACCATACATTATATCCACGTTTAGCAAAGATTGCCAAGCGTGTTTTTTCAGTGCCAGCGACTAGTGCTACTATTGAACGTGAGTCTTCTTTGACAGCAAATATTATAGCAAAAAATGCCGCCCACAATTATCTCCTGAAACAGTAAATATATAATTTTTCAAAACTGGTTTTGAAAATATATTCAAAAAATAGTCAAAACGATTAAACAAGATCAATAAATTATATTTCTCAACTCTTTTGATAAATTTTGTTAATATTCTTTTTACTTTTATATTTATTTATGTTCTCTAGTGCGTTTTATTTTCTTTTTTGTACGATGTTTATATTTATGTAAGCTCGACTAGTTTGAACTTGAGTAACTTGATAAAAAATAATAACTAAGAAAATTTAGATTTATATACATATATAATACAATTTTGCACAGCTCTATGAACTCTTTGAAAATCTATAGACATATAAAAGTAAAAACAATGACTAGACTTTTGAATAAATTGTATTTTATGCATGACTATTGGAATGATAAAACTATTCACTTGAATGCACAGGCTATGATGATTAGGTAAGTGAAGTGTGACAAACAATAGTAAAAGTTATGTGAACAAACATATGAGAACGAAGACAATATGCTTTATATCATGGTTTAGATTGAATAGGTACGCTCACATTAAATTAAATCAATATATTTGTGTGCATAGTTGGAAGCTTTCTGGCACGTGTGTAGTCACTCATTTACATATGCAGACGTGATTTACAACATTCAGTCAAACGTAATACGGGTTAGTGATTCACAATCAGTAAACAGCTTTTCAACTTAAAATCCTGGTATTTTTCTGTTAGAGAAAAGGTGCTTACAACAAAACTCATCGTCTAAAAAATTTCGGCCAAGAGTAGTTGTAGCCAAAGAATTTACTCCTGATGCTGGTTTTCTCAATATTTTGCTTCCTGCAACGCGGACTGAGTGCATGTGATAAAGTAGGCATAGTCTCATCGACAACTCTTTTAGATTTGACAACATATTATGTAAGTATAACTTGATTGCGTCTCATGATGTAATCCCATGCAAAAAAATTTGAAAATACTATTCTGTAGCAAAATATTTTCCGGTCTTTTAATCTTTTTTTCTATCGATCTCTCAGTTCCAATGAAATAGATATATGTTCACCAATAGAAGACCGAAAAGCGAAATTGTCACACGAAGGGTGAAAAAATACAACAAATTAAAGAATAGATTCGACTCTAAACTATTCAAGTTTCAATACAATACATTGAATTTTGCAGTTCAGAGAGTTTACTCATACTATAGTGCTAGGAAGTAGGGGTGGACCGTTGATTTTAATTTGAGTTAATGAAGAGAGTTAATTAAGTGGTTTTACTTAACACTTCATATTAAGGAAAAAACGTTTACATTAGCGACTTAATTAATTTCTATTAAGTGTTAACGTAATACTTAATATTAAGTAATTAAGTGAGTAATCTACACATGTTTTTCTTAATATTAAGTGCTCTAGCAATACTTAATTTTTAAAATTAAGTGTTTCGTTAACATTTAATATTAAAAATTAAGTATTGCGTTAACGCTTAATATTTAGTAATTAAGTCGCTAATGTAAATGTTTTTTTTCTTAATATTAAGTGTTAAGTTAAAATTTAACACTTAACACTAATTTAACGTAAAGTGCCACCCCTACTAGGAAGCATTGCACCCAAGCCACAACCGTGTTCAGCAAAACCTTGCTCAATAGATCTCACGATTTTGGCTGCTATTTCTACAATAGATACCTATATTAGAGCTAGGAATAAGTCTAAAAGTTTAGCTTAAACAGATGAGTCGTTCTCGAGATATATCACTTGGAAGTACGAGTACTCAATCAAAATTAGACTTTTTCTATTACAGTACTTTTCAGTATATTTTTATTTTCTCCCAAGTTATAATAGTTATCGCTGAGATTTTTTCATCCAAGATACTATCGACTACGGGCTATCTTTTGACACTTTTAAAAGTACTTCATTGTGGAAAAATTGTGATTGGCGCCATATTTCACTTTCAGAAGGCATACTCACGGATTTTGGGCAGCGTAGTCGGATCAGTGAGATCATATCCATTGAAAGTAGTCTCATTTGAAAGAGCACATCAAAATGCATTGAATGATGTTCTCAAAAGTTTGGCAGATTAAATTTTGGTTTAGAAGAAACCTTAACATTTTCATCAAAAATTTGCATCTGTAAAAAATTGACCTATCCGATATTTTTATTCTTTCATTAGTAGTAACTAGTGTTTTCTGAAAACTAACTAAGTTACATAATTTGATAGCACTTAAAATTCTCTACAAATTCATATACGAACATTGTGTGTTACATCTTTTTGTTAAGAAAATTTCTTGCACAATAAAGATGTTTTTCTTCTCTGATTCTGCTAAATAGAGATTTTGTATCCTTTTCTTTCAGCTTCTCATCGATATTTGAATAGAAAACACAAATTATTTCAGAGTCAAATGCATAGCGTAATAGAGCGTGAAATTCTCTATCATGGTATATACTAAAAACTGAATAGTGATATATCAGTAAGCCAGAATTTGATATTTGTAAAACTACAAAAAAAGATAGCAAATAATTTAAATTCTTTATGAATGATTAATGTTGCGAAAATTTGAGAAAATACTGCTGTTTCTAGTGTCGTTCATTCTCTTTATCTTGACCTAATATTATGAGCAATTTATTTCTGCTGCTATTGTCAAGACTCTTCTTGATTTCGATATCATTGAAATCGACGGCAGAAAAGGGGTTCAATTGTGAACCAGTTGATGTTTGAAGTCCTAGTACTGAATACATTTCCATGCAATGCATTGTACAAAGACGTTCATCGTATGGAAAGTATGCAAGATGTTGAATCGAATAAACGTGTGCAACACAATTGTATGATGATGATTTTTTTTCTCTTTTGAACTATGGGGAAATAATCATTGTGACCTATATGTGAGCATTTACCACTGCCTCTGCATCCTATACCAAATGTATATGTACGGAAGCAACCAACAAAATTTATAGATAGTAAAAATAAATGATAATAAAACTAGAATTTTACTATGTCTTTCCAACGAAAATGAAGACGCAAAAATCGTATATATTTTGAAAGGCTTTTCAATATCAATAAAATGTGCTAATAGACTAAGAACTGAACTGTATTCAGAAATGTCATATGATCCTTAGTTTTATCTGTAAATAACACCAATATGTACCGAATAAGGCGCTATACGTTTCTTTAAATTAGCTAAATATACAGCGTCCGGAAACAAATCGGCAAAATCACAAGGAATATAACGCAAAGGGTTCGGCCGATGATACCGTTTTTTTACCTAATTTGAGAGATATAAGAACTACAAGAACCTATTTCATCATATAGACAATATTCACTTAAAGGATACATCAGGTATCCGTCAAAGGGCATACTTATGTTGATTCAAAGAAACAGATACTAACAGAATCTAACAAACAGGAAAGGTTTCAGCGAACGAGGAAAATAAGATATTAATCGAGAGCTTATCCTACGAAGTAAATGTTACAAAGTTAGAATTACAAAATCCACATGTTCAATTATCTTAGCTAAAATAGTTGACGTATTCAAATATTTGAGCTCCAATAGCGTATTAATCTTAAATCAACAGTTTCTTTAATGTCGATCAAAAGTAGAACATATATATCTGATGTCCGCTTCAACCCAGGTCGACTAATCTGACGACGAATTCTATCGGATCCTATAAGATCCTGCTAACCGAGGAAATTCAATTGGATTCTGCGTTTCGGAATTATTGACAGATCCGATGGGAGAATTTTATAAAATTATCGAAATTCTATTTAGTGCAAAAAGCCCAGGTCGAAAAATCTGGCACAAGATCTTATGAAACACATACAAGATCTTGGAATACAGGCGAAATCTTACAAGAATCTGACAAAAAAATCGTAGTTCCTGAGATCTTGGATCAATTCACACAATCAGATTCTTGAATAATCTTACACATTAATACGATCTTTGAAGAATCTGATTGTTCGACCTGATCTAAGATCTCAGGAACTATGATTTTTTGTATGATTTTCGTATGATCGTGCAAGATCATATAAGATCAAATGCAAGATCTCATCAGATCTTACAATATGATTGCTCAACCTGGGAAGCTTTCCCAGGCCGAAAAATCTGACATAAGATCTTATGAAATATTTACAAGATCTTTGAATATGGGCGAAATCTTACAAGAATCTGACAAAAAATCGTAGTCTCTGAGATCTTATATCAAGTTGCACAGTCAGATTCTTGAAAGATCTTGCACATTAATAAGATCTTTCAAGAATCTGATTCTGTGACTTGATCTAAGATCTCAGAGACTACGATTTTTGTACGATTTTTTGTCGGATCTTACACGATCATATAAGATCAGATGCAGAATCTTATCAGATCTTAACCTCTGATTGTTTGCCCTGGGNACTTGATCTAAGATCTCAGAGACTACGATTTTTGTACGATTTTTTGTCGGATCTTACACGATCATATAAGATCAGATGCAGAATCTTATCAGATCTTAACATCTGATTGTTTGCCCTGGGTTTTAGAAGTTGACTATAGCAGATTTTTTTTGGCGTATAGGATCCCAGAGTAGGATACGATCGGGTATTCATCGGATTCCGATCATATGGATTCGAATCTCGGTCTGAAACCCGGAATCCGTCGATTCTCGTGGTTTCTTTTTATAAGATCCAAGGTAACCTGTTTTCAGATCTGATTGGATCCAATTGTAGGAATAAAGGGTGTGGGGACTGGCAAATCAAAACAGCATACGTTAAGGGAGCA